TTTCAGTTTGGCGATCGGTGACCGTGACTTTCTCGTATCAGCAGAGAAAGTTGCACAGCTTCAAGACGCCATGATTGACAAGTGCGTCAACGGCCCTCAGAGATTTGAGTACCAGATTGAGATCTATCCTGGCTGTGGACATGGATTTACTGTGAGAGCCGACAGGGGCAAAGCTTTCGAGGATACAACCGCAAATCAGGCTGCCATACAGGCAGTCGAGTGGTTTCAGCGGTTTCTTAGTTAATTCGTAGCTCTAGATGATGAATAACGGTTGAAGGGAATCAAGATCCATAATATGTCCTTTCATGGTCGTTCAAGAAACTAAGATAACTCTACATCGATCGAGACAATTCATGTATGTGACCACATTATGTAACATGAGATCGTTTGGAGTTGTTTATGTCCAATTATCTTGCGTTGCAATGAGCCTGGAGAAGATGCCGAAAAGGCGGGGTAAATTCCTTCCCAGCCAGCGAGCATCATGATACTTTTTCCCCCTCGCATGTTTGTAATCAGTCCTATACATTATCCATCCAGAATTCCCAACGTCGGGACTGAAAATCACGAAAGTCAAAATGGTTATTTCACCAGATGTTGCGGAAGTCATTCGTCGGAAGAAGTCCCAATATGGTCGCTTCGCGGACACTAAGCAATGGCACAACTTCGACAAAATCGCCTTGCCTGATGCCGAATACAGTTTCTATGATACCGACGGTTCCGTTTTACAAGTTGGGAAGACCGCTTTAGCCTTCGGCTCGACTGAAGCATTCCGCACATTTTTTTCTAGATTTTTTGCGAATGTACAAACACTCCACAATTTTGGACCTGGAGAACTGGAGCAAAATAGCCCGGAAGAGGTGAAGGCGGTATGGTCAGTGGAAGACCAGATCATCGCGAATGGAACAGCCGGCCTAGTAGAACTGCGAGGCGGAGGGTTTTACTACGAGACATGGAGACTGAAGGATGGAGACTGGTTCCTGCATTCGCTCAAGCTAGAACGCACGTACCAAAAGACAAGCCTGGGCTTCAAGTTGGTGTTGATTCTGCAGGGTCTTGGTCTAAACTTTTTTTAATCTTGCATATATGGATGTCTTTGAGATAGTTACGATATTTCAAGTAACATGCAATGCGACTAATAAGTAATACTTGTCCTGTATTGACCAGAGATCTTGACTTTTCTTTCTTTACTATATCTCTGACTTTACTGCTCTCAACCACTGCCGCTCTGTGCTGTTCTTTCCTCATGGGGTGCGGAAGAGCGGTTTCCTAATGAGCTCTGAAGTGACTCGGTAGATCCAGGACTTAGGTTAGGCGAGTTCGGCTCTACTGTCACTCGATCCGAATCGGGATTATTGGGGACGACTGGCGCTGAATTTGGTCTTAACTTGAGCCATAACATGATCCCAATGCACACCAAGAGCAAGAATGTCGTCACGACGGCCATGATCGTTCGTCCTGCTCCCGTACGCGCTGAGTCGTCGATGCGCTCAATGGACCACGGATAGCACGACGACTTGACAACGATATAAACACCGAGACCCATGTAGAGAATTGGCACTACCACACTCGCGTACTTTTGTGCAATCTGAAGTATATGTCTCTGCTTCATGACTAGAAATGCGGCGAGACACCATAGTCCAAGCAGGATGTAATACGTAACAACATACACTGCTATCTCAGCACCTTTTGCCTGAGAGAACAGCGGGATATAAGTCCCAATGTTATCCCCACCATTCATCACTGTGATACTCGCAACTTTGAACACACTCTTCATCCCACTCAACGTGGACATCTCCGCACTGGTATCTTCGTCGGCGCCAGGAAACAGCTCAAATAGCTTCCATATTCCAAGAAGAATAGGAAGAAGACCGAGAAACCCAATGGGTTCGGCAGGAAGGACTAGCGAGACACCGAAGCCAATCATGCTGACGACAACAATCACTGTAAACCCAATGAATTGTCCAATTGTGATCTTGAAAGGGGTGATGGCTTTGCAGGTGGTTGCTTCCGCGAAGAAAGTGACCAGAACGAACATGTCGTCAATGTTCGTTATGGCGAATGAACTGCACGCAGTTCCAATGGCTTTACCGAACTGCATAGCGCTTAGAGAGCAAGGGTAACGCCCCTGCTACACCGGCCTTGCGAGTTAGGTTCGGTCGGTCAGGGAGATGCGATTAGAGCAAGCACTCATCAATTACCGACATGCCTAGAGTCGCTTCCTTCTATGTCGGCATATGTCGGCTGATAACGGCTGCATTCCGGTTCTGTAACGGGCGCATAGCAAGACATACGGTTTCTCACCGTGTCGGTTGGGACAGGTTCCGTGTTTGCCAGTATGAGGTCGGTGGTGATGGAAATTTTCGGAGGTGGGCCGGGCCAAGCTGAAAGAGGCAGTGTTATCTCCAGGAGGATGCTGATTCGCTCACCAATTGTGGCAGTCAAATGAGGCAGTGTCGCTAAGACCGACCTCGCCAGCTCCGGGTCCCTTGTCAACACACCAGTCTGCCTTTTGGAGGCTGCAGTGCAGAGGCCTGTGATCGGCCAGTTGGAAACATGGGAGGCCTGCATTGCGAAGTGTTTTCTAGCTCTTCAAATGACCAACGCTTTCGTGAAATGTCATAAACAATAGATCTCACGTCCATTTAGCAAGCATCGATAGTCATGGAGAAAGCCAAGAAACTCAATTATCAGCCGCTAACGACGCCGAAATCCGTTCGCTTGTTACGGCTCTACCGCTCTAGCAAAGAGCGCTATGGCTTCCGAATCTCAATCCAGACGGTAGAGCTTTCCGATGTGCCCGCGTTCTACGCTCTTTCATACACCTGGGGCCCGGCGCAACTCAAAGACGACGAGGAGGGCTCTGAGCCGACAGAAGACGATGATGCGCACACCTTCGAGATTAGGGTCAATCTCGTTGACCCTGCAAATAACAACTCTGTTCCCAGTGACTCTTCTCGGCCAGGGAGGTTCGTCACTGTCAAAGAAAACCTGTTCTATTTCCTTCAATTCATGATGGGATGTGAAGATCTTCGAGACAAGCATTTTTGGATTGATGCGATCTCGATTGACCAGAACCAGACGTCGGAACGATCTCACCAGGTTGGACTCATGGGTGAGATTTTCAAGGCAGCCGAGAGAGTAGTGGTATGGCTAGGGAAGATGGAGCCTCCGCCAAATGTGGATTGGGTCTTGAGTCAATTTGTCCCACGGCTCAGTGATCTCTACAAGGAGAAGGGAGATGCATTCTTGAGGTCAAAGGATATAGGGTGCACTGACCCGGAGTTGAACAAGTTACTAGGAGAGAAGGACTGTGAAACGTGGCGCCGATCGCTGATACCGGTGTTGAAATACATCGGACAACAGTCATGGTTTGATCGCGGCTGGGTGTTCCAGGAAGTCCTGTTGAAGCGTTCAGCAGACGTTCTCGTTTATGCCGGCTCGGAAACTCTGTCTTGGTCAGGACTGAACTTGCTGGCTCGGATTTTCAGACGGACGGGGTGGGCTAATGATTTGGACTCTTATACCAGCTGGCCCAGCTCCGATCCGGACGTCAAGGGTTCCGAGTTATTCGAGGTCATAAACATCATTCGCTGCTTCAACAGGGCTAAAGGAAGCACAACAGCTAGAAGTCAAGTCGACAAGGCACAGAGGTTTATCCGTTTCGGATTTACCAACCCCGAAGAATTTTGGTACTCTTGCTTGTTTCTCACGCTTGAAGTCCTCACAGATAAGAAGTTCAGCGAAGACCACGATCACATTTACGGCTGTCTCGGTATGTTGACGGAAGCATTGCCCGATGGCATGGAGAACCCCATCATTCCGGATTACAACATCAGCGTGGAGGAGCTGTTCATCCAAGTCGCAGCAATGATCATTCAAAATATCCCCCTCTTGCACTGTCTCTCCACAATCCAATTGAGTAAAGGAGCAACGAAGTCAAAACTACCATCCTGGGTTCGCGACTGGAGAGTCGAAAAGACGAATTGCCGCCCTCTTGTTTGCCGAAAGTCAAGGTTTACTGCGTTAGAGATCAAGTATGGCCTTGGCGGATGGGACTTTGACGCGTCCTTGACAAATAAGTCGCTGGGGCCACCTCCCGTGATCACTGACACTGTTTTGCAACTTCATGGCGCGAGGTTTGACTCAATCGAGACTTGCTTCAACCTTGATTTTCCGCGCGGTTCAACCGTCGCCCGTCTTCTAGAATTTTGTCTCGAGCCAAGGGAGGTTTATGAGCAAACCGATGAGCCATACATGCAAGCCGTTTACCGAACCTTAGTCGCAGACTGCTTGTCAAGCAGCTCTTTGAAAAATCAGATCAACGAGATAGCACGGGCGTGGCTTACTAGATACATTTCTGAAGAGACATCTTTCTCAGGCGACGATGAGCTTGTTACTGAGGTCAAGCGGCTTCTCGCGCCCATTACGGAAGATTCGGCACCTCATAAGTGGCTACCTACAAATGATGAAGTGAATCAGAGAGTGAAGACTAATCTCAGTACCTCAGCTAGATATAAGACGGACGTGTACGACAAAGAATACCGCGCAGTCACGCTAAGAAGATGGCTGTTCAAGACCAGAAAAGGCTACATCGGGCTCGGTCCGCAACTGTTGAAACCAGGCGATGAAATATTCATGATACAACGCAGCAAGGTACCATTTATTCTACGCAAAACTTCCAAGGAAGGTGGAGCTCATCGGCTTGTTGGAGAGACATACGTACATGGGTTCATGCACGGAGAAATGATGACGCCCGAACTGGTTGAGACGATCGGGCCAGTCAAAATCGTCTAAGCTCGAAGAATACGCTTGTCGTGACTTCATTGGAACATTTCTAATTTTACATGATGGAAAGCAAAAGACTTTGGCGTTTGACCTAATGGAAGCCGAATTGGGAATACTTGAAGGCTCCGCATTGTCTACTCTCAGTCTGCCTTGTGTGGTCCTCAATCTTTCATCTACCTCTACCGACCCTGACTCATCTGCGCTCCTCCTCACGTCTAGAAGCACGACGTGATAGTCATGACAACTGCATCAATGGTTGTGGATGCCAAATCCGGGGCGGCTGTTGTAGCTGCTACAATGCTGCACTCCGACGCGGTTTGGGTGGCAGCTGCCGCCGCAGTCGTGCTTGTCGCCGCGGAACCAACATCCTCTCCTCCCATAATAGCGTTGAAGACATCGGCGGCCGCCTGGTCCTGAGTAGTCGCAACGGCAGCTGCACTGGCGCTCGTGCAGCTGGCCTGAACATCTGCAGCTGCATTGCAAGGGCTTCCAAGGCGCTGGCAGATGAAGCCGGCGATGACGGCGATGTTCAGAGCTGAGCCGTGGTTGAAATCGTTTTGGTTCTCAGCGATGAAAGCCGGCGTGTTGCGGCCATCCAAACCGTTCTCGAAGAGAATCGTGGCATCGCTGCAGGTACCGAGGTCGAGGGCACGCTTCTTAATCCTGCCATCGACGACCCGTGGCATCACGGCGGGGATGGGCGCCAATGGGGCCCGTCGGCGCTTGGCACTGATCAAGGCACGGCACTCCTGGTTCTGCGCATCGCAGGTACCGACACCGCCGATCGAAGTATCACCGCCGTTGGCGGCATTGGCGCATGCGTTGTGCTGTTTATCGCAAGATCGGCCGAGCGCTGCACCAGCACCAACGAAAGTGTCACCGTCGACGGAGAACGGGCGAGTGCCAGTGCTGGAAATAACTGGGGGCGGCGGACCGCCCAGGGTACCGGTGAATGTCTGAACGTTGACACCTAAGTGAGGTCAGCGGGTATCAATAGCGGGATCGTAACTGGTATAGCTGAGCTTACCTGCAACAGCGCTCGTCTGGACGGTGGCAGACGTCAGTGTGGCCATCACGGACGATACATCAGTTGACAGGACGGTCGACGTGATGATCGTGCAAGTGGCAGTAGATGTAACGACCGGGCAATCGGATTCGGCCGTGGGAGCGGCTGACGCCAAGGCAAACAACGAGGCCAGAAAAGTAGCAGTTTGGGACTTCATCTTGAAGGAGTGTTATTCGGCTTAAACAGTATAGAATAGAATCGAGTATTTAAAACAATTGCTCTGGGCAATGCAATGCAAGTACTATGTTCAGAGAACGAAAGAAGGTAAAGAGTTCGCAGAACTCGGAAAGAATGACAAGGCAAGGGCCGAAGGAGTGAAGTGCAGACTGGCTGATGAGAGACGAACAGAGGAAGAGATGGAACAAACAGAGATCGGCGGCCAGCCTTATGTACAAGAACTTGGGACGAAGAAGATCATGGGAGATCATATCGGGCCTAGTAAGGGCATCACGCTTATGATCCGAGCTCTGTCCCTTATTACTTAGTGGTTATGATCTGTAACGTCGTATCCCTTCCCGCTGTATCAAGCCTTGGCGGAGATTCTCCCAGGGTACTGGAACTCGCGAGCTATTGTGCTGTCTTCGTTGGTGGAATCATCTCATGTCTGCGGCTACAACGTCAAGCGAACCATGGGGCAGTCGGCTCAGGGCTGGTCGCTAGGTGCGCCGATTGGACGGGCCCAATGCACTATGGCAGGCGATGGTCTGAAGGGGCTGAACACCACGCTTGGGATCGTGAGAAATGAGCCATGGAGCCGAAAGAGTCTACCCATTCTAGTAAGCGCAGACCTAGCCTAACGCTGGCCGCATTGTCACGATGATGCTGGTGAGACGTGAAGAGCCGCAGATCCGGTGTAACCGAGTTTCACGCCGCTAGTTCTGCCCTAAAAAGCTTGGTGAGGCGGAGCTGGGACAGGGGCTGTCCAGGGTTCTGGCGCCGAATCATCCTAGCCCAGACCACTTAACACCCACCAATTCTGGGACTTGGGGCCGCCGAACCCTGGCTTGGTCGCTTCCAATCTGTCATTCTTATTTCTTATTATGAGAGGCTGTCGCTGTTGTTGATAAGCTCATCTCGGCACAACCTTGATGAGATCTTGGCGGCGTGAGATCACTGACGACAGGTCCGGCCTCGGACCAGTCGAGACCCGTCTCTCACTAAAGACTTGATTAGGCCGAACGCAGTTTGCGGAATGCATATGAGGCCAAAATTAACCCCAAGAACCACATGTGGGCTTAACGAGCTCGGTATAGGTGCTTACTACATATCTTGTATCCTAGCCAACAATTGACCCTTTTGTCCATTGTACGACCAGTGACCTTAGAGAACAAGATTGCTCGATTACTTAGTAGGACGTGCTCACATAATGCCAGCCTCACATATACGGTCTCGGTAAAGTAATCAGCTTGTCACTTCCGTGTAATAAAGGCGGAGAGGCAGAAGAAACCGGAACAAGAACAGGTCATGAGGCATAAACAGCATGCACTTCTTAATTCTAGATCTTCGATGTTTCGATGGGTTTCAAGGTCTCATCTCCTGTGTTACTGAGGCTACCTGAGACACTTAGTGAGAAAAGAAGCGAACCAGCAGAAAGTTTCATCAGCCAGCCATAATCCCACATTACCTATGAGGAGGGATCATGGGAAGATTTTGAACCTCTCGCCCAATTCTGACACTATACACACACGACCGACCCCTTGTGTAGCCAGCTTCCCGTGTGTCTCAAGCCGGAAAGCAGCAATGGAGTCTTTGGTTAAACTCGTTCACTTTCTTTAAGATCTGCCATGTTATCAAAACTGCACATGCGACTGCCTTAGCTCAATCAACATCGGCCACTGAGGTGAATAGGGCAGGGGCCACACCCGTTTGAAGCTCACCTTGGGCTCATGAAGAAGAATACAGGAGATGAGCAATTACAACAATCTTGCTACCAGAGTCTTGCATTGCATGACACAGGAAGGCCACCTCTTACCGAGTTTCCTTGTCCACGGGAAGTATATATTATTGACAAGCGAGGCATCAAACTGTAATGAGGAGCTGCTGTCCAGAAATGCTTTGCACCTCCCAGCTCACAAATTGAACAAAGCAGAAGGAAGCCATTTTACATGGGCACGAGTGATTTGGAGGTTGGCAGTGTATTTTCGGCAACAGGCTGTTTGAGCTTGGTGCCGCTATTTCATCACTAGGAATAGCTGACCTGTTCTTAATAATCAGTCCTCTAGGTGGACTCCTGCGCCAAGAGCGTTTTCGGCGGAATTTGGTTTTTGGTGATTCTACACCGGGGTACGCCATTCCACCTGCGGGTGAGTGCAGAGTACCTATCCATTTTAGGAAAAAGGTTAGTGCCTGTTCTGGAACCTAGTCCCCATAGCTAACCGAGCCGACTCAAAGAATGATGGTATGAAGACTTCCCAATTGTTCCTGTAGGAGCGCGTTCGTAGGCTTATAAATCTCTATTTTGAATGGATTCGAACCTATATATATATATATATGTTGATCCCTAAAGTAGTATTTGCAATCTATCAACTAACCACTCAATTGTCTTGAAAAGGCTCGTCGGTGTGCTTGCAACTTGCAGTTTACACTATGGCAATCGTCCCGTCCAATGCAGATGAGGCTCGCCAATGGCTCAAACACGTGCGCTTGCATCTCGATACATTAAGGCGTGCGATTTGACCATGCTGACACCGAATTCTCTAGTTTCATGAGGTGAGCGACTCATTAGACCCCGCGCGTCTCCCTGAGGTGTATGCCAAGGATGGCATCCTCCAGTATGCCAATGTGCCACCAGTTCAGGGCCTCGACAATCTCAAAGGCTTCTTTGGTCCAATCTTCGAAAAGCTTGAGCTGATGCGCCATGATATCTCTTACTTCGGTGCGTACTTTCTCTCAGTTCGCGATGTGTTCTATTGGTCCAGAGTCTGACAACAAGTATATAGACCTCGTCGGAGACAAGATTTACCAGGCATGCACGATCACGTACCGGGCAAAGAACGATCCCCAGAAGGAAGAAATTGTCGTGCCAGCTTTGGGTGTCTTTCACATTCTCCCAGCCGGCGATGACGCGGGCAAGATGAAAAAGGCAGAAGTATACATCGACCCTTCGCCTCTGATGGCAGCTATCGCCAGAGCAGGATAGGATTGTCAGCAATGAACAATTGAATAAAATACCAGGAGAGTTCATATCTAGTGTGCTAGCTCGGGCGAATATCCTAGACTTCAGATAGATCTTTTTAAGTATGTAAAGGCAGCTTATGTAGTATGCTTGGGTTATGTCAGGAGATTATTTACATATTGTGGAACATGCTGAATGAACGGTATTACCAATGCTTCATGTAGGTCTAGCATGCGCTCCCGGCTTCGTGACATGATTCCAGTCTAGATGTCAACGGTCATTCCCTCATTACTCATGAACATGCTAAGTAGTCTTTCAAGCTCTTGTATCGGTTGTAATCGTGGGACCAATGAAAACACCCTTCACCCATGCTGAAAACTTGGCCTCGTCCTCTTTGATCAATCTTGCAGTCTCCTCGTCCTCGAAGAAAGCCCAATTGGCGTCAAAATGAGCCTTATCCCGGTACGTGAGGACAGCCACTGCATCATAATCGAAGTCAGACTGATTACCCATCAAGACGGCAGCGGGGAAATCAGGCGGTCCATCTCGTGTCACGTAATGCCGTACATGAGTGAGAGGGAATGTGTCTCCGGTCAGGTTTCTCATGAGGGGGATGTGGACGTTCTCGTAGTGATCGCGGTATTCTTCCGGGGTGAGGCCCTCTTTTCGTCGACCAAACATGAGCAATTGGAACCCACAAGTGGTAAAAGTGAGCCCTGAGACAAGTTTCATTTTGGATTGATATCAGGATACACTAGGCTGGGAGCAGATTGGCAGTGAAAAGGATGGTAATGGATGTTGACTAAGGGGAAAATGAGGGTTCTTTCGGACAGAAGATAAGCGGCCACTCCGGAATTTTAACCCCGCATTAAATTCATCCCATATCAACAATTTTGCTTACCAAATATGGCCCGATAAGTATGGGTACGTCCGAGAACCCACATTCAATTAAGCAACAAGGGCTTCTTAAAAAGTTTGAAGTGTGTTTACCGAGTATGCAACCCTCACGATGGGAAGGCATTCAAATTCGTTGCGCAACTATATGCTGGTAGTGTAGCCAAAGCTATACGCAGGATGGAGACGCCTCGTTTCCGGCTGCTCGACCCGGTGCCTTAGTTTTGTGCCAGTATGTACGCAACCGACAGTCTAGTAGTCCTTAGTCTCGAATGCCTGCAATCTGCTCTTTAGGCCACACCATCAACTCCGCAAGCTCCGGCCATCCGGCAAGTCGTCGATCGACATCATCCACGATGGCTTTCGCCCAGCCTCTCACATACCAGAAACCGCCCTCGAAACAGCCAATCAATGAGGCGAAGTAGGCCGCGAGGAGCGTGGCGTATGGTCCAAAGGCTCGCAGATCGCTTATGACAATGTCGTTTACGACATAAGCCCAGGCCATCAGCAATCTAGGATCAGCAGTAATACTTTCCATGACAACGCGCTTGCAGCAATGTTCCAAGCGATCCACGGCGTCTATGTAGTATTGACGGCTCGTCTCTGGACAATTGGCACTGAAGAAGTCTCGGAGCTGGTTTAGCGCTTGGAACAAGTTGACCGGTAGCGGGGCGTGATCTAGAGATGGAAGACTGCGATAAAAAGTGAGCCTTGGTTCCTAAATAACGCGTTTCGGCGAAGGCTATATCACCTACCCAATTGGCAAGTTATGAACTGGATGTGTTGAGCGGTTGCTGGCTATTATGGGCTCCAATTCTGAACCGCTGATCAGCTCGGCGAACGGATCAACAGAAACGCGTACTCCTTTAACGGCTGAAAACAGCTCCGATATGCTCTGCAATGGTACTTCCAAAGTCTGGTTTTCCGAGCGAATGGGCAGGGTCATGTAGTACATGCCCACAATCACCGAGAAGGCAAATATGGGCCTCCAATTCTCGGAATTGATTTCGGAGACGGTTTCCCGGAAGCTTTGTGAACCTAAGACCTGGTGATACGCCGAGATATCGACATACGTCTGGAACTGGCTGGGCACGAGAAGAGCCTTATGTGTTGCCGCCAAAGCCAGTATACCATGCATGACGAAGTCGTATGTGTACCCTTTCTGCGGTATAACAACCTTCATCAGATGAACTACATCTTTACGGATGGCAAGAGTTCGGGCGGTAACAGTGCAGTAGTGATGCATCAGCTCGACATCTCGATTGCCAGGGGCTTTCAGCGACGACCGTGCATTGCTGCCGGACGAGAACAAGTTTCTGAGCTCGAAGAAACCGTGTTGGGGCGGCGAAGCTACCACCGCGGGGGCGCTATAGGCTGGTGATGTCGAAGTCGTCGAGTTTGGGGAATCGGGGGCCGATATAGCGTCGCGTTCGACTCGTCTTGCTCTTTCTCCGAGTAATTCGGATCTGTTTAGCGCGGCAAGACTGCAGGGTGCGCTGTACCTCTTGCAGTTGAAGCAGCAAGGATATGCTTCATCGCACTTAACGGCCGAGCCCAAAAATTAGTATAACTGACAGTAATAAAAGACTGTGACAATCATGGATAACAAGGGGATGCGCCACGGCTTTATCGCCTCAACTGACTTTGACCTTCCGTCGCTTGCAATTGGTGCAACCATTGCGCGACTTGGTATGACCTCGCCGTGTGACTCGGGTAGACTGTGGCTCCATGCGAGAGCGCGGGTTCGCTGCGAAGAATGCGAAAATATGAGGAGCAAGAGGGCGACATGATATGTCGTTAATACCCGCCGAACGACCCGAGCCAATTCTTATCCGAAATGCGAACCCGCGTATTCGCATAGGTCGCCTAGCCTGCCAAGCTGCCTCGTAATCCAGTGGTGGGCTAACTCCACTGCCCGGGAATGGCAAATAGTGTGTGCTGCTCTGCTCCATTTGGCCTCCAACACCACTGGAAACAGCATGAAGAAGATGTCGATGTTTGTATGCAGACTGGGATATGAGAGGAGGTCTATACCAGACCACTTCGAGCTAAGATGTTGCGCATACTCTTTCCTTTCTAGATTTATAGAGTTCATTCCTCGTGTACTTTCAACCTTGTGAAAAGCGTATCGCTGTCTATTTTAAAGCGAGGAAGTCACCGTTCTATCTTCATTTTATGCTTTTCCACCCTCAGCTTTACTCGACCGTTACACTGTCCTTTGTCTGTCGTTCATTTATAATGCAAAATGGCAAATGGATTGCCAGGTAAGATCTTGAAGGCTGCTTTCCACAGCAAGGCCACTGACCATCCTTCAGTAAGCCTCTACATTTACAACCCTAATAAAGGGGCGCCGATTTTCTTCGCTGTCGCATACGCCATCTCAGCAGCCGGGCACATCTGGCAATGCTAGTAAGTGGAATACCAGCTTTGATTGCTGCGTCATGACCTGACAATTACAACTAGTTATCACAAGTCCTGGAAGTTGATCGGCCTGCACCCTTTCTGCGCAGTCCTGTTTGCAGTGGGATATGCTCTGCGAGAATATTCAGTCTACAACCCTATGTACAGCGATTTGCACTCGTATGGCGCACGGAACTTAATCAGCTATGTTGTCAGCCAAGTCCTCATATATGTTTGCCCGTAAGCGTCACCTTTTGTCGAGATGTTGCTGGGAAATTCGCTGATGCGTGCGTCACATCGCAGTCCACTTCTCGAACTAGCCAATTATCACGTCCTTGGTCGAATATTCTACTACGTCCCATATTTTGCGCCTCTCCCTCCTGGAAGAGTTCTGTCTATTTTCGGGTTTCTCATGGCATTTGTCGAAACTCTGAATGCTCTAGGGGTGGCACTCAACTCTAACCCACATGGCTCTTCACAAGGACTCGGAAGCATATTAACCTTGATCGCCCTCGCGCTTCAGGTCTGCGTCATCCTTGTTTTTATCCTTCTCGCGGCACTCTTCCAACTGCGCTGTAGCAGAGCGAAAATCCACTCCAAGTCGGTGAAAATACCATTGATTACCTTATACGCTAGTATGACATTAATTTTTGTCCGCTGCATTTACCGGCTCGTGGAGCATGTGGGAAATACGAGTATAGAGCTAGACCACCCGGAAACATTTCAATCGTTGAGCCCGCTCTTACGATACGAGTGGTTCTTCTTCGTTTTCGAATCAACCTTCATGCTTCTCAACTCCGCCTTGTGGAATGTGTGGAACCCGGCTCGTTATCTACCCAAGAGTTACAACATATATCTGTCACGAGACGGAAAGACGGAAGTTGAAGGAGACGAATCAGTAGATGAGCGAACAATTCTGGCTAAGATTGGTCACGCCGTGACGTTTGGGCTTTTCTTCAGTAACGTGAAGATGCATCGGCAGTTTCACGAACTTCGAGAAATGTGATTATTGAATCTTGAGGCCAAGTGTAAGACGGAGTCGCAGTCGGCTCGGACAAATCGTCCTTAGCGATTACACGAACGCTCGCAAACAGCATGTTGACACAGATCAAGACGTTCTCCCAGGCTGTGAATGGGGATGTGGACTTCATATATCTTAACTACGCCGATGCTAGCCAGGATCCTCTAGGAAGCTATGGCATTGGCAATGTTCGATTTTATGGGATGTTGTCGCTAAGTACGGCCTCACTGGTGCTTTCCAGAGACGCATCCCAGGGGGCTTAAGATCAGTAGGGTGGCTTGAACAGGTCAGATGATTGCCAAGTCAGATCAACAATAGAGATGTCTTTTGAAATCCACCGGTCAAACAGTCAATAGATTTCACACCCTAAATCTCTATTAGTTCGTATCGATGATTCCTGTACCCAACCTGCAGTTCCCGATACCCTTATTGTATCTTATGCAATGAGAACTATATAATGTGGACCCAGTCATCATAATGGCAGCACTGATAGTATGCAAGTATGACTGATGATTGAAAGATAGGTTGTGGGTATATTGAGCTGGACCTAGTCTTTAACGTTAAGACATGTAGTAATACAAGATTTTGTGTATGCAACACTTCCTGTTATACTGAAAGGAATTGCTGAAGCTCTTGCAAAGGCGGAATGTCATTCAACATGTTGTGTTCCAGCCGATCCCAGAGAATGCCACATGTTGGCTTTAGCACAGATTCCACCTCGATGACTCTTTTTGGTGTTACGATCAAATCGCAGACAGTGTCAAAGACCTCGGGCCGCAACTCCTCCTCGAGGACTTGACAGTCATGCACCACTGCCACTGTCACCGTTTCCAACTGAACAATATTCCGTGCATGTAGCATGCCCCATTCCAGGTCGAAGAAGCCATGACCCTTGCCAAATCGAACACCTCGCTCGTTTATAGCGCCCGTGCCCGTCACCATAAGATCGACTTCAAGGCGCATGTCTACAAGCTCTTGTAGTGACACTGGCTTTGCCACCCGCTCCATGCCGTCCAAAGTTGCGGCATATTTGTACAAATCCGGTGTGATCGCGGCAGGGTCCAGCAGCCAGAAGCCTCTTCGGATTCCATATGTGGTGATGAGAACCTTGATTCCAGCGCGTAAGGTCTGCTCACGCAAATGCTCAAGGCAGTTGTCTGGTGTGATGAAGACCGTGCTGCAGCGCTGGTAACACGGCAGCGCGAACAGCGCGTCACAGGCGGCCTCGGAACCGTCAAAATCGGCTATGAAACTAGAAAAATCGTAATGGAAGCGCGAATCCGGTCGAGCAACTTTCCGTAACTCAGTCCACACTTTGGCACGAATGTCGGCCTTGTGCTGAGGACCTCCGTATATGAGAGACATGGCGCTATGGAACAACGCCTGCTTGATGCAACGGGATCAGGAGCGGCGACCGGCCAATTGCGTGTTAGATGATAACAATGCAGTACAAATGATCAAGTGAATGCTTCTCAGGATCGGACCATACCGATGAGGGGCTCCGGTACCTAGAAAATGAATCCGCTAACAGCACTGACTCAAGTTGAGCGAGTTTCTCCCTATCTCTAGTGGACCCTATCCCGTGTTAGGATCTTGTCTGGGAGTGCTTAGTAGGTCTAGCATCCCCACCACTACGGCACATTTGGCCGTAAAAAGCTTATCTCGACACCAGTCAAGGGGGCCATGCGATGACGACGGAACTGGAGACCTTGTAGGTCAGTCACCAATCACGCCTCTCCTTGCACCGGTGTTATCGCGGCCTCAATGGAATACGTAATTAGACCAGGGGAAATCTGGGTCTTCCGCTAAGACTAATTGATAAATTCAGAATCAAATAATAACACTGGATGTGCTGATTTTTTATTTTTTCTCTTTTTGAAAATGCTTGCGTGACCTATTGGAATACTCTGCGCTGTACCAAGCCCGTCCTACCCTTAACTCGCCAATCCGAAGCCGGGACCGACTCTCCGGCGCGACATGGCTGACACATCAGACTTGGCCCGGCCTGCCGCCGAAGGCAAGGAAAAGCAGGATCCCGAGATGCCCGGCCACAATGCTATTGTGGACGACGACACCTTCCGCGCCCTGGATCGCATTAAGAGCACTAATTCAGCACATCCTATGCACTGGAGCCCCTTGAAGAAATGGGCAATTGTATCGATCTACTGTTTGCTGCAGGTCTTCGTGACTCTCTCTTCAACAACTTATGTGAGCGCCGAGTTTCTGATTACAGAGCGCTTTGGTGGTGCCACCCAAGTTGTAGCCCTCGGGCAAAGCATGTTCATCGTGGGCAATGCGGTTGGACCAGCTTTCCTGGGTCCTCTCTCGTATGTTCTTCTCGAAAATGTTCTTTCAATGTGCCAGATGTTTCTTATCTAAAACTTGGTACAGCGATATTGGTGGTCGAAAATGGGTATATGTGGTGTCAATCTTACTCTTCGCGATTCTCAACATTGGCACTGCGTTAGCAATGAATCTCCCCATGCTTATCATATTCCAATTTCTATGCGGCGCGGCAGGCAGCACAGCGCTTTCCAACGTCGCCGGCACCATTGCTGACCTGTTTGGTAACTCGGACGGTGCTGGGCAGCCTATGGCGTTGTTCGTACTGTCTGCAAACTACGGCCCCAGCTTAGGATCTCCAGTGGGTGAGTGGATTGCGGATAATCCGCACATGGGCTTAAACTGGATATTCTGGATCAAGTAAGTTTCTTCTTATCAAGTATTATATGTTGCGGAGTTTGACAAGGCGATCTAGCGTCATCATTGGAGGAGCATTTGCGCTGGTCATGTGTTTCGTCCCTGAGACATTGCCACGGATCGTTATCAAGAAGGCCGTCGAGAAGCATCAAGTTAATGACTCGGAGGAGATCGGCATAGCTCAGGAGCACGTCAATGTTATGCGAGAGATCCGATTCGTCACCACGATGGCTTTACGCATCATGGTTACCGAACCCATTGTCACTTTCCTTGCTATATATAATGGCTTTGCCTACGGTCTACTATTCCTATACCTTGACGGAGTCTTCGATATTTTTGTTGTTAACAACGGACTTTCGTATGTTTGCCCTATCTCCGTTTGAATCGTGAGCTTTTTCTGACGATTTTATCTAGATATATCGGCGCTGATCTAACCTACCTTAACTTTGTGGTCGGTGTAACAGTCATGTTTCTCTTCATTCCGGTGCAGACATACCTATTCACCAGAGATCGTGAACGCCATGGATATGCCCGACCTGAAGCCCGTTTCTTGACCTCGCTTGTCACCGTGTGGCTGTTCCCGATCTCATTATTATGGTTCGCTTTCACTTGCGACGGCAACACATCTTATTGGTCTCCCGTTGTTGCCGGCGCGGTGCTCGGCTTCTGCGACCCTTTGCTCTACCTAGGCATGCTCAATTACATTGCGGATGCTTACACCAATGTTGCCGCCTCAGCGATCGCCGCATTCCTAATTCCCTCATTCACTATCGCTGCTGGATGCGCTCATATTGGTCAGTCTTTTTACATGACCAACATAACACAGACTGATTTCTTTCACAGGCATCGTCATGTTTGACCAAATGAGTTCCAAATGGGCTATGGCTACTTTGGGATTCATATCCTTTGGACTTGTAGCTCTAGTCTATATTTTGTATTTCTTCGGTGAAAAGATCAGATCATGGTCGAAACTTGCTAGGAAGTTTTAGCCCAATGCAACTGCTTTCTTTCATGAGAATCCTATCTGAATATGGTTAAGTGATCAAACAAATGTACTTTCAAAAATGGGGGCCACTTTTGAATGGCCAAATTCAGACGTCCACTAGGACGTACATGGAAATACTGGTCTACAATGAGATTATCTATAAATGTGGTCATTAGACGATTTGTGTATTTCCAGTATAATGAGAATTGTTCATATATCTCAGTAAAGCCTACGAGTGATTACTAGGCATCAGAAAGAGGACTACTGATTGAGAACACCTTACTGTCTTAAATTGGTTACTGTAAAGAGAGACAATGGTATTTTGTCTATTGTGTATCTTGTGGTGTATGGACAGAGTGATCTGAGTCAAATCTGATCAAATAAATTAATACTTCAGTGACTTAGTAAATCGTAAGCGTATTTCGTAAACGAAGCTCGCCGTATCATTTCATTGTTCCGGGGGGGAAAACATATTGGTTATGTCTGCTAAAGCTTGGTAGTAGTTTAGCTCGACCAAAAGTCCAACACCACCCGTGAATCAGCTTCTAAGGATTATCAAACTTAGCATAGCATGAGACAAATGTCTGATGCTCAAAGTTTCGAATTGTTGGATGCCAAAAGCTTTACACATGATTTAAGTTGTAAGAGAATCCGCCTACAAGCAAGGTGCTGGTGCGGCTACGATCTGCCAAGACAGAGTGGTTCCGATAGCCGGGATCTGTGATACGAGGGCGTAACCTGATTTGGCAGCTCATAGCCTCATGTCACATCGGTTTACCTACCTTGGTGGGCTGACCGTCTTGGACTCCATTGTTCGGCTAGGCGCCAAGAATGAGGGGACAGCTGAGTTCGTTGTTCACTACCGGCATTGTCCCGTCGTTCAAGTACCGTCCAGCTCTAAGGCACGACACTGCGGTGGCGCCTTCTACGCCAAGCTTCAGTCTAAGTGATGCCGTATCAATTGCGCCTTGGCTCACATTGGGTTCGGTTCAATGTATCTGAACGGGAAGCTCTGATTGATGACATATCTAAAGTCATCATTCTCGTCATTAAGTGACCTAGACTTGATGGGAAGGTCAACAATGGCATCATTATCAAAGACGCTTGAGTGAAGCCAGAGAGCAGTATAAAATTGACGAAAGATCGCTTCGAAGTCTCATGCTTTGTTCATCCTCTGATCACGAATCCTCATTGTCACTTGCTTATATCCTCTTCCTGCAATATTCATCATGGCAAATTTCCGAAAACTCGCTATTCTTCTTAGCGGAGTAATTCCTTTCATTACTGCTGCTCCAGTCAGCCCTGAGACCAGTGCTGGTACTCCTGTCAATGTTGAGAACAAATACATTATCACCCTGAAAAGCGGGGTCTCGGCCAGGGATATTGAGTCCCATTTATCTTGGGTAGGCGATGTGCATAAGCGTAGCCTGGGCCGTCGAGACCTTGCTGGTGTTGAGAAAACATACGATATTGGAGACTTCCATGGCTATGCAGGTAATTTCGACGAAGCTACCATAGAAGAGATCAAGAATAGCCCAGAGGTGAGTCTCTATTCCTGACGTCGTTCCTTCCGATTCTAATTTCACGTTTAGGTCGCCGATATTGAGCCTGATCAGATATACACTCTTGAAGCCCTGACTAGTCAGACAGGGGCTCCTTGGGGATTGGGGACTATCTCTAGCAGAACCAGAGGCTCTACAACCTACCGTTACGATACCACGGGTGGCCAGGGCAGTTTTGCCTATATTGTAGACAGTGGTATTCTTGCCACTCATACTCAATTTAGTGACCGTGTTGAGAAGGGTTACAACGCAGCCGGAGGCACATTCACCGACACGTTCGGCCACGGCACCCATGTGTCTGGGATCGTCGGGGGCACAACATACGGTGTCGCAAAGCTGACTACTCTGGTGGATGTCAAAGTCTTCATTGGTCGTGAAGCATCAACCTCAGTCATTCTTGACGGCTACAACTGGGCGGTGAATGATATCATTGCCAAGGGTCGCGCTCGACGAGCGGTTATAAACATGTCTCTCGGTATGTGCTCTTGTAGTCCGGCGCTTCCTTAGCATACGGAGGTTGAAGTAGACTAACATGTATATAAAACAGGCGGACCTTCATCGACTGCTTTTAACACTGCTGTGCAATCGGCGTACACATCCGGTGTTCTTTCGGTAGTCGCTTCTGGGAATGAGGGCGTCTCGGCATCTACCAGATCGCCAGCATCTGCACCCAATGCTATTACCGTGGGGGCCATCAACTCGAACTGGGCCGAGGATACATATTCGAACTACGGAACAGTTGTTGATATTCTTGCTCCAGGGACATCAGTATTATCCTCCTATATCGGCTCCAACTCTGCAACTGCTTCGTTGACAGGAACCTCAATGGCTACACCGCATGTTACTGGATTAGCACTTTACTTGGCAGTACTGGAAAATATCAACACTCCTTCAGCGTTGACAAGCCGTATTAAAGCCCTTGGGACTACCGGGCAAGTAAGCAACCTGAGGTCAGGAAGCCCTAATCTTATTGCATACAACGGAAACGCGTAAGGCTTGATTAACAACATATCGAAGGACCGTGTACGGTTGTGCTGTTCAAAATGGAGATGGAGGTGTGATCCACAATTGATGAAATACTTGCAAAGTCTGAAATCTCATCAGTTCACGGCTCATGCCGACATAAAACGTAGAAGACAGGAATTGATACAAATTATTTATATTCTACAAGCTGGGAGCTCCTGCAAGCTAATTGAGGTTGATCTCAGCTCCTACGTTTTCTCTATAAATCAAATAAGAAATGATTTGATAGGAAATTACAATGTTACTACAACCTTCTGTGCTGAGACCCCTTGTTTCTGAGTATCCATCGCCTCTTGAATCTTATCCAACCCTTTGCCTATTATGAGTGGCTCGGGAGCTGGTATAAACTTCCCAGCCTCGAGAGCGAGTGGCAAATAATCACGAAACACAAGACGGCTAACCACATTATCAGCCCGAATTAGTTCTTTAGTGTCGATCCATTTCGTATCCACCCCAGCTACGCGAGATTTGACAGTTGTTTCTCCCATTCACCAAGCCATAGATACTACGAAGCCTGCCATCCCCAACAGACTGTTGAGCTTATGTGCAGGTAGAGGAAACCCTGCAAAGGCAACTGTCCTTTTCTTCTTGTCAATACAGCATCGACGCAAGACCTTGATGCAAGCTTCAACAGCACCATCTCCAATAGCCAATGCTCCCACCAGATCCTTGCCTTGTAGTTCTTTCACCAATTCATCAACAAGACTTTTGTTGTGGTAGTCGAAAACGCGAGTCGCCCCTAGCCTTTTGACATAGGCAAAGCTCTTAGGCAACGACGTCGAATACACTTGATATCCTGCTGCGACAGCAAGCTGAATAGCATTATAGCCGACACTAGGGGCTCCCCAGTTACTATGACGGCTTGTTTCATTGTATTTGCCGAAGTTGATGACAACCCGGGTGGGTCCAATGCCAAGAAGTCTTCGTGAAATAGATCATAAGCCGCTGTCGCTAAGCAAAGTGGTAAAACACAAGCTCTCTCGTGAAAGATATGAGCCGGAATGACTGCAGCAAAATACTCTCGTACTACTGTATACTCTTGAAACGCACCCTCTGCTGCTTTGTTGGACTCAACAGCAGACCCCACGGCTAGACCGCACACCCGATCACCAACTCGAAAGCGCTGTACGCCGGAGCCAACCTCGACTACTTCTCCTGCGACATCACCTCCGAGAACGAATAGATAGCGGATGTGCCCTAACAAGGCGTCGCCAATCAACTCAACTGCTTCGCCCAGTCGACAGGGTTGATGGCTACGGCACGGCTCTTGACCACAATCTCATCTGGACCGGGTGCTGTGAATGGAGCAGGACCAATTTGAAGTGGCTTAGCACATTTAGCTAGAAGCCATGCTACTAAGTTGATAGGAGGCATGGTAGACTTGTCTACCTAGGTAGTGTGTTTTAAGAATGAAGACTCGTTTGAGCGGACAATTACTTGCCGAGACACTTTTTGAAGGCGCGCCTCAAAAACAGGACGGACACAAACGTCAAGGTTTTAATCTAGAGCGGACGAGCTCATTGCACACCCGCCAACTGTAAGCCTTATCACCATGATTGGCATATCAACAACCCAAGCCATCTCAGCACAAATTGAGTCGCTGTCTTTTCCCAATGGTCCTGCCCCCCTGCCGCCAATTCCATCGGAGGCTATCATCTTCACATCAGTCCCGGTATACTATGGTCCCGGGCCATCCATCCTCCTTGCTAGCCTTTCTATCTCGGCAACACTCCGGCTATGCTTTGCACCACATAAAACAGCGTTGAGACCGCACATCTCCACCATCTCCGAGACTGCTAAGCAGGGAACTGGTAGCGATCTGCCGGCTTTTAAGCCTCGACCCTCAGTCCGTGCCCTCATCTGTAACACCCCTTCCTTCTTTTTACAAATGTCAGTGTTGCTAGGGCGCAACGTTGCGGCGTGGGACATCCTCGCCAATTTCTTATATCTTGAACGACTATGGCAGAAGGGCAAGATCACCAAGCCCGAAGAGATGGCGAGGTGGATACCCTACACCGCACGTCTTGGTCCCCCTATCACTGTTATTTACTCGAGTCAATTTCCGGCTTTGTGCAGGACTCTTTCATGCATCTATCGAATCCATGGGACGCGAAGACAGCTACGCAAGAAGGACTCGCTTAGGTCAGTGGCAAAAGCCACCACATTTGTATTCATCCGCGTACTTGTTGTCGAATTTACCGGGCTTCTGCTGCCAGTGTGCTCCCTGGCAGTACTCGCCCTTCGTGTATGGATGTGGCACCAGATCTCGGGCCCCAGCGCGCGTGGAGCTTTGCAGCGCTTTCCGGGGGAGTATCTGCCTGGTCTTTTTTGGACGGGGTCAGCGAATCTACCCATGCGCTCATGATACCTGGGGCAACCTTGACTGGCGCTTGGTGTCTTCTGGTGCCAGCGTACCTGCTGTTGGTCCAAGGCGAGGTGTTTTTAACATGGCGGACAAAGGATCAGACCAGGGCTAGTGTAGTATTGATTCGTACGATGCTTGACAGGGCCATCATCATCCCTTGTATGTCAATTGCCTATGTACCAAGTTTCATACTGTATTATTGTACGTACGGGTGGGTTTTGAGGATGATCGACGTGAACAGGAGCTGTTTCCTCATCCCTTGCACGTCGAGAAGTATTTGGGAGTGGGATCAACTGTCAATGGCATTGCTCGGACTTTTCATCGTTTGCTATCACATCGTATTAGGCTATAGGTGGTAGCGGCCACAAAAGACTACCCTCGACGACCATACACCGGAACATAATCGAAGCGAGAGAGTTTGGGTCCGACGAGGTGCAATATCGCCCTTTGGAAGGTGATATTTGGTAGGAATAGCCTTCCCTGATATTCTGATCATTTATACAGATATAGTGACGATCGTAGCTATAGCTAGGCTATTTTCACCGAGATAAGTACTAAAGTCGATGTACCTACGCAACTTTGGCATAATACGATCCAGCTAGGGTAGACAAGCCTAAGCTTGCACACTTAGAACTCGATTACATAAACTTGGCTTAATTCACCGGTGATGGGCCGGCTCGATGGACAAACTTCCCTAATCGCTTCGACGAGACTGGGCGATTTGCATAGTGATCACCGAGAAATTGTCTCGGTCACCCCGAGAAAGGAGACCAGTGTGACCCTATATAGCAGCGAGGCCCATTTGCTGGACACACCATCGGATCTACTACAGACACTCGACTCGATGCTGTTGTTCATCAAGGACCTTACTTAGTATGGCGCTGAACTCTGACAGTAGTGTCCAGATTGTGAAGAAACCCATTAAAACGCACTAAAGCGCTGTAAAGCACAACATAGCCATTAAAGTCTACTATAAACATGCACCCCCGCGGATTTAAAGCAGAAGGCAAATCAGTGCAACAACACGCATCATCGCCGCGCTCAATGTTAAGACGACTGACTCGTCTTGGTCTTTAACCCTCATCATGCTTTGCTGCGACGCAGACAAGGGGCGTTGTAATAGGAAGAGAGCGGCATTGATATCGGAGCGTCATTATCGAATAAAGTCAAGGTATCAGTGAAAGGTGGTTTTCCGGCTTTTACAGGCCGCGCCCGGCAATAAGGTAGTGATGTTAGGGGAGATGCCGCCAGTGTACGTCGGGAATATCTTGGTGCGGGATTGAGGGAAAAAAAATAGTCATTGTCGGGAGTAAATAACGACACCATTTTTGTAGAATCGAATTACTTGCATAATACACCCTGCAATAAAGTGCGTTATCTTACCTTGCGATCGTTACGCAAGTCACGAAGTCGAGATAAGAATGGTTGAAAGCGCATGATAGACTAATATGTCCACATCTAGCATCAGCAAGCGTTTAATCAAGATGTTGATTGGTTTCGGAACCGCAGCGCGGAGGAACAAATAGATGCTTACAGATAGCCATACACGTGCGGTTGCATTGATACCGTGAGTGGGCTCTTTGTTCGCGTATTGACGCGTGCATCACGTAAGAGCAAGTCTCTGATATTATGCTATCAAACGCCCCGTGCACCGGCCACAAGATGGAAGCCTGGAAGGACTTTGACTAGTTCCCCCTCATCAAGCAAGCCACATGCACTTATTTCCGTAGTGACTCATCCGGCGTCTCATAGCGAGATCAAACTCCCATTCATAACTTGAATCAATGACTTTCCAAACGGTTGAAATTTCTCTCCTTAACCTATTCCTTGTATCAGGTGTGTTGCTGTTATTCCTCGCCTCCACAGATGCACGGCATGCAATGTAGATACAGCGCTGTCAGTTGCGGCGTTTGAGGTAGCAGTGGCCTGCAGCACACCCTGTTACCCCGGCTTAGGTAGGCAACTCCGTGCGCTTGAAGACCAACTCCGACCCTTCTCTATGTCCTTAGGCATATTAATAATTATTGATATCCGCTCTACAGTCGGCCCTCGGAGCTCGATATTAATACAGCTGCCGAAGACACTCTGCACCATGTTATCTCGCCTTTTGCAGCCATTACATCCAAGTTCGAGGAAACGTTCTAACAGCCATAAGAGCTCGTGAGAAAATGTTGTTGATTGCCATTCGCGACTAGGATCGTGTGCGTCAACGCAGGTGGCAGAGTCTATGCCGCCTGCATTGTCGCTGCTCAAGTTATAAGTCAGATTCGACTTCACTTGTCAGTCATGGAGCCTCAAAAGACAATGTCGTGGTATTGTTTGGGGAAATTTATATAAAAGACGGGTTCTTTTTGTAAAACATCGTGCCCGTCAATTGGGCATGGGGATGATAGGGACCAACCAAGTGGGGGCCTCTCTTCACGTGCAAAAAGTCAAGCTCGCCAAACCAGCTCAATGGTCAAGGTCTGAAAAGTCTAATAAGCATTACGGACATGGGTTTCAGCCATCAGCATCGATATGTCTAGGCTCGACGAAGTCGCATCACGGGAATGGACCGTAGGACATAGGCTCTCTTTACGCATCATATCAGCCTACCACCTGAAGAAGCGTAACCTGGGCGCCGCGTATAACATTACAACTTTGCGAATGGGTTTTGTCGATCAGGAAGGTTCGAATGGGTCTCTACAGTGAAACAGGAGAAGAATGGATCATGTGGCCTTATTTCTACGAGAACCCGGGCTGCGCCAAGCTGGACAAGCTGGACAAGCCTTTGGACCCCGCGTCTTCCAGGACGAGACATGGCTGAGGACTTACGATGTCTACGGATGTTTCCGACGCAATACAACATAGAAGATGGATGTCCTCTTATCTTCAGGCTCATGTTTCGCATCAGGCAGCCCACACATGCGCGCACAGCGAAACAGGTCGATCGATCGATCACCACGTCGCCCTGCCCTCTCGCAGGTCGCATATCCCGAGCCAACGAGCCAACAATGGTCCCGGCCATACAGTTGCGCGCCAAGATGGTTCACCCCTGCAAGGTCGCTTTTCTCCACCACGGACCTACAGGCTAAGATAGTTCAACGGCCTGTGATACCTTCGCTATCCTTGTTCGCCGCTAACACTCATGCAGCACAAAAGCTGACTGAGTAATGCAAATCGCATTATAGGGGAGGAGGTCAGAAATTGGATCGTCCTGCCCGAAGCGGCCGTCCCTACCCATCCAGCCATCTCACTGACTGCGCTTATCTGGTGGTCGACCTGGAGCCCAGAACAGCCGAGTCAAGACGCAAGCCCGGGGCACTGCCTTTGAGGTCATTCCAGCAGCGGATTGGGTTCGCATGAGCAGCGGATATTGCCACATATTAAAAAACCCGTCGCCAGAATGGTGCCGCATAGGGAAAGTCCTTATCACGTCAATAGACGCTTGGATAAAGACCTTCCTTACCGGTACAGACAGTTATTTAAGCGATGATTTGTGATTGGCAATGGAAGGCGTGCGATGGCACAAACACTCAGGTCGTATCACTTCACCGATTGCAACATTATCCCTCTATGAGGTCGATGTGCACCCAGACCTTAGCAGGGGTCTGCGAGAGTCTTAATATAGAGGCGCGCGTGCGCCGTCGCCGTGGTGTTGGGCCTGGCTTTACTCAGCTTCTCTCGCCATCAGGCCAGTTCCTATTGCTTTGAAACAGAATGTCTGCCGCTGCCGCTCACGGCGATTCAATCATCGTCGGCGCGCTCAACCCTGTCGAGGGCAAGGTCGTTCCGGTTCCCACACATCCGGCCATCAACGAGAAGGTCCGCCTCCCTGCGGAGGACGCAGCGAATAAAGACGGAGCTGGAGACAGCGAAATCAAGCCTGCCACACCATCTAACGAAGGAGACCATGATGGAGACCACGAGAAGGATGACGGCAGTGAGGATGTTATCATTATCACAGGTGCCGATGCCGCAGAGCATTTACTGCCGCTCCGCGACGATTTTGAGCCCGCTTTGACATTTCGAAGTCTCTTCCTTGCGACCGTCCTTTCTGCTTTCCAGGCCGTGATGAGTCAAATTTACTACGTGAGTGACTTGTAGCGTTCGGCAGATGCATTTGCATTTTCTCTTTTATCCATCTAACATCCTGTCCAGTTCAAACCCACCCAGGTTGTCATTTCCGGAACTTTCATCGTTCTTATCGCGTACTTCCTCGGTAAGGCATGGGCCGCTGCACTCCCCCGCGGTGACAAGTTTGAGGCTCGATGGAGGCAGAAGAACGGCGACGGCAAACTCCCGGGTTATATCTCTGTCATTCGATTTATCAATCCTGGTCCGTGGAACTTGAAGGAACACGCAATCTGCGCCATCACAGCCACCTCTGCCTCCAACGCTTCCGCCAGTGTAACTGTTTTCGCGGCACAAGATCTCTTCTACGACCTGCCTTTGAGCGCAACTACCGTCATTCTTAGTGTCATTTCCATTGGTCTTTTTGGCTATGGCATCTGCGGTATCATGCGTCCTATTGCCGTCTGGCACGTCGACGCAGTCTACTGGAGTACTCTTCCCACAGTGAAGACTCTGCAAGGTCTTCATTGGCAGGACTTGAAGCACTCTAAGCCTCTGCGATACTTCTGGTATGCGTTTGGCACGATGTTCATTTATGAGTTCTTCCCGGCCTACATCTGGCCTTGGCTCAACTCCGTCTCGGTGCCTTGCCTAGCTGCAATGCACGCGACCGGTGACAAGGCAGCTGTGCTCACAAACCTGTTTGGTGGTGCGACCAACAACGAGGGCCTGGGGCTTTTCAGTGTCTCTTTCGACTGGCAGTACATCACCTCCTTCAACACATCCCTTCCCCTAAAGCTCCAAGCTCATGCAGCTTTCGGATATTTCATTTGCTTTATTGCTATGGTCGGCATCTACTATACCAATGGCTGGAAGGCAAAGTCACAGCCCTTCATGTCGACTCGTCTTCGGTCAGAGGATGGCTCAGCATACCCCGTGTCTGAAGTGTTCACGGGTGGTATACTCAACAAGGAGGCCTTTGCCACCTATGGTGTTCCCCGGCTCACTGGGACTTTTGCGTATGCCATGTTTATGGCTAACGCAGCCGTAAGTAGTCTCACCAGTACATGATCACACTCGCCGGTACTAACCTGTTTACAGATCGGAGCCCTCGTTGCTCACTGTTTCTTGTTCTGGGGGGGAGATGTTGTAAGGGCGTACAAGAGCGCCAGAAGCGGCCGATACGACGATCGCCACCACGCCCACATGGCCAAGCACTACAAGGAGACGCCGTGGTGGTGGTATGTTGCCATCCTTGTATTCAGCTTTGTTCTTGGTCTCGTTGTCGTCATTAAGGAGAACATTACTCTCCCGGCTTGGGCGTACGTTGTCTCGCTGCTGCTAGGAATTTTCATCGCACCATTGGTAAGTGCATCTCACTGCACCACAAAATTGAAACTAGTCATCTAATCTCAATGTAGAGCACGATTCTTTATTCTCGTTATGGTAACGGTATCGCCACCAACAACTTGTCCAAGATGTTGGCGGGTCTGATGCTTCCGGAACGCCCTGTTGGCAACATGTACTTTGCTGCTTGGTCACACAACGTTATTTCCAACGCCGTTACCCTCTCCAATGATTTAAAGATGGGCGAATACCGTATGTTCTAAATATAACTGTCGTGGTTCATCTACTGATCTTCAAACAGTCAAAATTCCCCCTCGTGCCATGTTCCTCACCCAAGTTTACGGCACTATTCTTGGAGGTTTTGTGAACTACGCTGTCATGATTTCCGTTGTCAGTGGCAATAGAGAGCTTCTGCGGGATAGCAATGGCAACTCGAGCTGGAGTGGAGCCGCCATCCAGTCATATAATACCAACGCCACCTCATGGGCTCTGGCCAAGTACCTTTACAAGGCTGGCACTGAGTACGAGATGGTTCCCATTGGTCTGGGCATCGGATTTGGCATTGTTGCAGTCCATCGTGTCTTTGTTTACGTAAGTACACGCGATATCATCTCCTCTGGGCCGAACCGCACTAACCCCAGCCTCCTACCAGTTCGTCCCGAAGATCCGGGGATTCTCTACAGACGAAATCAACATGCCCCAATTTATACAGTATGCTGGATACTTACCTTATAATGCTTCTCAGACGTGTGTGATCTTCAGCCAGGTCATTACTGGGTTCTTCACTCAGTTCTACCTTCGAAACTACCGCCCCCGGATCTTCAAGGACTACTCGTACCTTGTGACTGGCGCATGGGATGGAGCCAGTCTCACGGCTCTATTCATTCTGTCTTTCGCTGTCTTCGGTGCAGGTGGTAAATCCAGACCATTCCCTACGTGGTGGGGGAACAACGCCGACGGTTACTACGATCTCTGCCCGACGGGCGAGTAACCGCGTCTCGTTGGCCGTGACTGTCTCTCCAGAAGCATCTTTTGGGAGTTTACAGACTGCCAACACCTGCATAGGTGCTGTGATTACTGAGTATCCATGTCGTTGTGGCCTGCTTTGAAAGTTGCACCACGATGGCATCTGATATTTCGTTTGAGTACCTACTGCCTAGTGTACCCCCTATATCATTGGTAGATCACGAAAAGGTTCAATACAATACATTATTCACTATTCAAATCACTCAATTGCGTAATTCTTTAATGTTGAGCACACGCCAATTTGTGACTAGTAAATCGGCGCCTGTTTTGGGATCTGGCATGATATCCTCGACATGCTTCGATGTAGTCTCACCACGTCACATATGAGATACTAGCAATTTTTTGCGCGGTATGCACACTAACGGTGTCGCTTTTGCTCCGTGACACATTACGAGGTCCATTACTGGCTACCAACAGCCCAACGAGTGCAGTAGTGAGTGCAACGTAGAGTGCTTCTCGGAACAGCTGATCCCAGGACCTACTTTGTCCAGATGAATGGATTCCGGAATCTGCCTCGGGCTGTTTCGATTCAGGAGCTGTAGTTGATAGGGACCTTCCCAAATCTCTATAGCGCCGATTGTGGGGGGCGAAGTGCGCGGCCGTCCGATGGTCCCGAGAGTCGTAAGCACGGATCTCAGGGGATCTCACATGCGGGAAAGCCCCCACGTCCCTAAATCCTTTATCAACATTATCGAGACTCTTATCGTCGAGGTAACATCGACGACATTGGAAGGCATTCCGGGTAATTGTATGTCAAAAATGAGACCAAGCTACCCGGTGTTGAAACAAGCATTGTTTCTTGTTGTATTGCATGTTTACAGAAGCTTGAGGCTCTCGAAATGGCTTGCCAAGCTGCACCTTAGTGGCTTGGGTGGCGTCAATTTAGAGCGCGATGTCGTCTTCGCTCCATCAGGAGCGCTTATAACGACTTTCCTTTTACAGCACTTACTCTGTCAGTTGGTAAGATTTAGCTTGGCAACATCCTATTGCGGCGGACTGGATCTAGACCTTTCGGCCCTGTTCAAAACTCGGACTCGCAGAGTTACCTTTCTGTTGATAAAGGGGCGCAACTCTTGACAGTAGAAACGTAAAAGATGGCGCTAGGCCCTTCTCGGTTAGTGGGGACGCAATGCCGATATGTAGACTAGTTGACACTATTTGGGAAATCTGCGGGATGTGGCGGTTCATGCTCGATTGATAGAGATAAGGCAAGAACTTCAAATGGACAGAGTGAGGGGGTCAGAAATCCCAGCTTCCCGGATAGCAGAGTGTCAACCCGTTGGGAGCAATTCATTCTATGACATATGCTGACCGCCTGGCAGCCACCTGGCTGTCAGCTGGCCATACTTTAGCCTTTCCATAGCCTTTACGTAGTTAGCGGTTGTTGTGGGCAGCCACACACATGATGCCCAACAGTCTGTCGTTGAGATCTAGCTTTCCTACATCCTCTAAGATCCAGCTGAACCCTACGTCATCCGAACGCATTTATTATGGCTTTGGCTTTGCCTTTGGCTCTTTTCTCGATTATCCCTTTGACGTTGCCACAATTCTTCATAAGTGATACATCAAACGGTTTGGTGTATAGTAAGGCGGCATTTAGTCCATTCGAGATTCTCAGAGTCGTAAGACTTTAGGGAGCAATAATGTATTGATTTGACCAGATTCGGCCCAGACCACCCTTTCCTGTAACAATAGGATACACAATGAGACATGACATCATTGTCTAGGTATTCACAGTCTGTCAACGACGTCTCGGTCCGCTCCATTGCCAAGGCACATCTGCAGAATAGGAGCTATACTGAGTTCCTCGGCCATGTTCATCTTCACAATAGCATTTCTTCCAAGAGTCTCCAGCATGATGAGATGGTCACAACTCGGATGATTGGAGGCAACCTCCTGCTGCGAACTCAGACCGTATTGCGGCCACGTAGGGGCACCACGATGACTATGAACTCGCTGTGGGAGCTGCACAAAATGTTCCTGAAATACAGTCAGGTCGACGACATCTGTGGACATAAGAGCTGGAGGAAGGGACGCGAAAAGTTATGGGTCGACGAACACAAGGTGGCTGACCAACACGACATGGCACATCATCATGGAAGCACAATGCTGTGGTATCATTCAGCTAGGTGTTGCAGCAATCGCGACGCCGTGAAGGCATTAGGAGAGATTGGCCTTAAGTCAGCCATCTCCGGGACGTTACGCTCCGCGCTCTTTTCCGAGAAGCATGTTGGTATCCTAGGGAAAGTTCGCGGATGTCCGAAGTGCTTCACCGACTACTGCCTCACATACGTTGATCTCGAGGACATAGGCCGTTGCATCGTCTTGACGACCTGGAAAGACCTCGGTGGCGTTGGTCCAGGCCAGGAGAGAAAATGGGACACTCATGTATGGGAAGAGGAGGCGCATCGCCAGCCAAGCGAGATGAGGGGCAACGGCCCTGGAGATTATATCGGCGATGTTTTCTGCACCTGGGAAGGCCTCGATGTTACCGCGGTCAACTACGAGAATCCGTTTCACTTGTACATGCCCGAACTCAATCAACGGTTAATTGATGAGCTCAAGGATGCAGCAACAAGGTATCCGACAGAAGAGGCTACCTAAGAGACCGGCATGGAGGAACTTCACTCTAGTGAAGACAGCGAGTACAACGCAGGGTTTATCGGCGACTCGAGGCCTTGAATGGGTGGACCGCAAGGGTCTTTTGCTGTAGTTGCACTGGCATATCACGCATTTGCTCTTTGAGTGGCGAGAGGTTAAGAAGGATTTTCCCTGCGAGCTGATGTACGGAAGCAAGACAGTGCTTCTGTAATACTATCGAGTCATAAGACCCCCACTCTTGATATCATGATTCTCAGTAGCGACAGATGAGCAGGTGACCTAGATTAATATAGAATATATCCATAACACTACCGAGACATTGTCACATTAGGACCCGCGGACTATTACCAAGCCCATCGCCGTATCAGCGGGGCCACGCCCAATACCGACGGAACCCTGAGAGCTAAGATAACGTAGGTTGGTGCTGGCGATACGCCATCCGCGCCCAGTCCAGACGTAAGTCTCCTCGTAGACTGCGCGGCCCCGGAACTCGCTGCGGCGGCCCGGCGCGACCAGGTGGTCACGTAGTCGCCAGATGCCCTTGGCACGGTCCGGCCCGTCGAAGTCGAACTGGTGCTGGTGGAGTTCGTGGCTGGTCTCCAGGGGATCCAGGGCGTTGCGCACGGTGGCGATGAAGTCTTCCTGCGTCAGTTGCAGCCCGGTTCCTTCGAAGGCGAAGTCCTCAGTGAAGCACTCTTTGAACGCCGCCCAGTCCTTGTTGTCAAGGTGCCAGGTGTAGTCGAACTTCAACCGACGGAGATCCTCAATGGCTTCCAGGCGTTCAACGCGAGCGGCGAGGTCTGTCCCTGCCATGTTTGTCGTCAAGACTTTGACGTTTTCGCTTCTAGGGGTGTTTCAAAACTGGGTATTGGTAGTAGTTCAGCGCCCTGAGTCGCAGTGGCTTATGTTTCCGACCTTTGTGTCTTAGAGTTGAATTGCTATTTACGCATGTTACAGATTTTATGAAACAGCACCAGGAGAAGAGGAAAGGACCTCTTGTATTATAGTTGTCATCCAGCATCCTTTTTATCCTCATATGGCTGGCCCAGTTGCGGCATTCAGGATGGCCTAATTCCCCGCTCTTCTAAGCTATCCACGGATATGCAGACATCGCCTACAGAGGCTTGAGTAGGTTCTTGAAAGAGATCCAGTTCCCGAAGAACATGCGGTTATGGTCCTTGTGTGTAATAGAGATACAAGAGTTGAAGGTTGAGTCCTCGGCCCGTGGTTAAATTTCCAAGCCGAGGCCACTTGAATCCATATTATAAGTTTCTAAGCAACCTAAGGTTTTGCGAGTAAGGGTCATCCAATCACTTAAAAGGACTAACCTAGCCAAAGCAGCTTCAACTGCGGTAGTCGTGGTTTCTGAAGCTAATGCACGGCCTCTCTCAAAACCCTTAGGATATAATTGACTCTTTCAAATGCCTGATCCATATTCACTTCCAGCAAACGCTGTATGGCTAAGTGAGTAGTAACATTTCCCTTGATACAATAGGGCTTTTGAACTCAGTGATACTGATAACTCATAGTAACGGGGGGATCTTCGGGTATTGGGCAAGCCTTTGCTACGTACGTCAACAGCAACAAATCGTATCGTCTTGTTGCAACCGCACGGACCCTCAATGCTTTGAACTACCTCCCTGATGAGCCCAACGTGCTGAAGGTTGTCCTTGATCTCTCGTCACCTGAGTCAATTAAGAATGCAGTCGCGAAAGCACTTTCAACATTTGGCAGAATCGACACTGTTGTGAATAGTGCAGGTTATACATTGTTCGGCGACTTCGAAGCTTTGTCAGATGAGCAAGCGCGTGGACAATTTGAGACTAATTTCTGGGGTGCTGTTTCCTTGGCCCGAGAGGCTGTTCGAGTTATGCGCGAAGAAAACCCGAAGACAGGTCAGATCGGGGGTGTGTTTTGCCAAATGAGCGCTGTGAGTGCTCGTGTGGCGTTTCCGGGAGGAGCATTCTACTTCGCCAGGTAAATAGGATTCTTTTCGTTTGCCCTCGCGCAGTTTTTGGAGGTTGTTCTGACGCCGCTGCTCTTTGTAGTCGATTTGCCTGGGAAGGTTTCGCGGAAAGCCTCTCGAAGGAGCTTCCTCCAGAATGGAACATACACCTCACGGCGGTTCACATAGCCGCTGTGAAAACGGACTATCTAAAGAAAAGCATTGTAGTAGCTGAGCGACATCCAGCATACGCAAACGCCAACTCAGGCGCGAACGTTATGCTATCGGCTGTAAACGACAATTGGGAGCTTTCGGAATTCGGTGGCCCTGAACAGTTGGTCGAAGTCGTTGCTGACGTCATTAGGCAGGGTGTAAATGGCTCCATTCCATTGCGTCTAGCTGCTGGAGCAGACGGCTGGCTCGTAATCAATAAATCACTTGAAAAGGAGCTAGAATTTCATCAAGAGGTCAAGTCAGTCTCTTTCCGAATGGCGCCTGAAGATCAGCGATCACCACTTGAGGCTCTCATTTGAAGTAAAAGAGTCCCAAGAGATAGCAAATTAACCTAGCCTATGCTAGAGAGGAAAGAAATGGGCTGAGAATGTTCCTGCGATATCTAGTCATCAATTGTCGCAAAATAGAGCGTACACTTGCTTGGCATTTAACGGCTTCATCCAGTATTGTGATCTATCGTCCCTTGTCTCGTTTGAGCAGTGCCAGTAAATTAGTATCATTTGATGTGGATGCTACTTTACAAGTAGGGTTCAAGTGAAGTTTCACTTTCCTTTCACTGCAATGCGAGTAACAATTCTACATCCTACTATCTAGTATTGCGTTTAAGGAGCCCGCTGTGGACATCATGGCTAGACACCTTTGGCTTACCACGAGGAAGACATGGCTAGGACCAACATAACGCGAGGTTGTGTATGTAAGTGGTAAGTATTGGGAGAAGGTTGTCTGCTTCACGATACTTGGATGATATACTCGTATCCTCGGCCCGAGGCTTTTATCCTTGGAAACACCTTTGTCCCTGACTACTCTTGCTTTCATTTAGTTACAAGTACAAAAGTAGAAGAGGATAAGGCTATATACTTTGCCATATACGTGGCAAGAGGGTCACTGACCTCGCCTTTCCACCTTCCGCCCAGTTCAAAACTCGTCACGGAGTCACTGACTAGCTGTACGAATCTCCGTACAAGTACAACTACGCCATGTCATCCTTAGCCGGCAAAGTCGTAAGTATCCGATCTCAAAATTAGTTGACAATCAGATTGATAGTGTTTGTAGTTTGCTATAACCGGCGGTGCTTCTGGTATTGGCAGGACCACAGCCCAGGTCCTGGCTGCTCGCGGTGCTATTCTATCCCTTGCCGATGTTAACAAATCCGGACTTGATGAGACACTGCAATCTCTCTCCGGTGGTCCTCACTCGGTCACTGTAGTAGACATTACCAATAGCAAGCAAGTTTCAGCTTGGATTGAGGACACAGTCCGAAACCACGGCAAGCTCGATGGGGCTGCTAACATTGCCGGCATAAATATCCCCTGCACTCTGCAGGACGAAACGGATGATAATCTCAAGAGGATAATGGAGACTAATGCATTTGGAGTCTTTTATTGTCTCAGGGCGCAATTGAAACACATAGTTCCGTTAGGTGGTAGAATAGTGAGTCTTGCGCGTGTCCTTGGCTATTCCTCTAACACACTTTGTTAACCTACAGTAATTACTCCTCTTCCCACTACGAGACTCCTATCTGTCATATAGTCTCAGCCCTATCTTTCCCCTAAACAAACAACTACTAATTGTCATCTTGCTCTCTTAGGTAAATGTCGCAAGTATTGCTGGCCTAGTTGGTGTCCCAGGCTGTGCGGCTTACACCGCTAGCAAACATGCCGTTGCTGGTTTAACCCGAGTGGCTGCAAAGGAAAACAGGAACGTCCGAGTTAACGCTGTCGCCCCAAGTGGTGTTGAGACACCTATGCTTCATATATTGGACTCGACAAAGTCGCCTCAACTCGTGAATCAATCATCAATTGATCGAGCAGCAAAACCACAAGAGATTTCAAATGTAATCGCATTCCTGCTCTCTGACGAGGCAAGCTTTATCACCGGGGCGGTTTATTGTGTAGATGGAGGGTGGACTGCCTAAGCTTTTGTATCCTTGGATACCCATAGGTATACGGGTTAATAATGTGGGAACAGCGATTCGAGCGAATAATACCGATGTTGATTGACAGAGCTAGCTGGGGAAAGGATGAGTAAGGAAGAACGAGAAGAACATGCGAGATATGCAACAATTCATAGATACTTATGTTATCTACTTATTTGGCATGTTTTTTACAGGATCTAAAATGAGTGGGATGTTACTACGCGCTTGAAGAACGCGGGCTGTAGCCCATCTGAAGCGGCAGCTAACTCACATATGAGATCAAGTAGTGGGCATTAGAATATATATCTATACTCTCACTGGTTTTGGAGTTTTCTTTGCGGAGGGTCGAATAGCATGGAGATTATAGCCAAGAGTCTACTCCTTGTTGGTTCATCATTGCGCATCCTCTTATCTTATTTTAATTGTTTAGCTCTTGATCTCTCCCGACTCCTGCAAGGTATCACCCAGTCCGTCCATTCTAAACTCCACGGCCAAGGCTTGCTTATTGATGTCCTTTTGGTATACTGCAACCAAGTCATCGTCCCCGAAGACGGCTGCCACTTCCTCAAGAGGTAGTCCTAATGTGTCTGGATAGAACCATATAATGACCGCGGATATGGCATCGAAGACGATGAAGATGATGTAGTACTTCCAATGCAATCGCCCTAAAGCGGTTGGTGCTGATTGCAGCCAAACGATACAGGTAAGACTGTAGGTGAATATTCCCAAGCCTATTCCCTCGCCACGAAGGAAAGTCGGCCATATTTCTGCTAGGTAAGAGAAAGTAGGTCCCTCTAGGAATAGATCGTAGCAGGCTGCGTTTAGGAAGAGCATTGCCGCACAAGCAGCCAGACCCGCCTTGTTTGTTGAATTGAGGTAGTAACGCTGTAGTATCGTTTCTATGATGACCGAAATCATACTTGTGACGAACCCCATGGAGAGTAGTTTGTTACGAGCCACCTTGTCCACATAGAGCATGTTCACCATGCACACAAAAAACGCCATGAGTTGATATCCGGCTTGGATTTGTAGGACCGTTGGTGTGTCATACCCAAGGCTTCGGATAATCTGACCACTATAGTCTATGAAACCAATCAGTGTATGTATACACAAGAAGGACAGGAACTCACAAGTCATGACGATTGTGCCACAGCTCATTTGTGAAAACATGAGGAAGATCGTAAGGAATGCACGCTTCCGGTAAGATTTCTTCTTGAAAATTAACGCGAAGTTCCCGATATGGCTGTTGGTGGAAAGGGTTCTTTCCAAAAGCATTTGCTGATGCATCTGATATAGTTCTTTCCTTGCAAAAGTCGAGTTGGGGTCTTTCGGATCCGAATGGAGCCTGTGTATGACTTTCCAGGCTTCCTCCACACGATCTTTCGACAAGAGAAAGCGGGGGGATTCGGGTATCCAATAAACTACTGCAAGGAACAATGCGGGGAAGAACATGGTAAGACCCATGGGTCCTCTCCATGCGTCTATACCTCCGTTCTTCCAATGATAGAATCCCACTCCAGTGTAGGAAGCTGCTGTGTAACCGAAGTTGATGAGCACAACATGCACATCTACCAGTACGCCCCGGTTTGTTGGTGGCACAAGCTCCGCAATCCATTGAGGTATGGTAGTCAAGAGTTGAACCGCACCCCACCCCCCGAAGAATCGAAATGTGATGAACATGCCCATATTTACGGATCCAGTTTGAAGAGCGCTTGACAAGAGTACCAAGACTGAGCCGGACAAAGCGGACATTTTCCGACCATATCTATGGCTGCACCACCCACTACAGATGGCACCAAACGCGCCGCCTGTATAAAAAAGGCCCATCGTCGCTCCAATAAGGCCAGACTGATCAGCTGCTGCAGACACATCCACGTCCATGGTCTCGTAAAATGATGGCTGACTAAGGGTTGTGGCAATAATTGAAAAGGAATATCCTGTCGCTGCAGAGGCTATACCCAAGAGTAGCACGAGAGCGACTGCGTACGGCCGAACTTTAGGAGGAGGAGTAGCATCCTCCACTATTTCAACTTCACCCTTGTCTGTGTGAGAGCTCATAGTGATGGGCCTGTATTTCAATTTGAAGAATAATGTATGTGGCGCTTGGCGCTTGGCGCTGGAGAAGTCATGGGATAACGAAGTTGAATTGACAGTTTAAGCCTGTCATGATACTTCACTTTAGACTTGGCGATGAACGATAATTACTTATACTGAGAAATCGATTCATGTTTTTGTCTAGATACCCGAGGCAACAAGACTGTCAATAGGGAGCCGAGGGCGGGGGAAGGATTTTAAAGCAAGGAAGAGTCCTTTCGCACGCTAATACATGTGCAACCTTTCCAATTCAAATCTTCAAGACTAGCAGGGAAGTTATTGATCTAAGAATCGCAGACTCGGTTACAACATCCATGCCCGATGAGCGCGGGGTAGTTTGGCTCCTCTGCTTGGAACGCCGAAACGTCGGATGTGAAAGTTCGGACTGGGTGTAGCAGGCGCACCGTAGAGGGTTTAGGCTGTGGCTCATAGTCAAGTTTGCAATCGAAATTGCAGGTGCTCTAGCAGGAAAATAGCTGAGCCCTTCTAATCAATCAGAAAAACGAGCTTTTCTCCTTGAACATGGCCGTCTTCTAAGTCTTGCAAGCCCTTAGGAATGCCCTCAATGCCCCCACTCCCAACTCGGTGACGATGTGGCTTCACAATTTCCTGTTATCCAGTAAGATATCTGGTCAGCTTGAACAATTGGTGGCCGCGGGCGATGTTAGCGTATGGGCCGGAGAAGGCACACTAACTAACCTTTGTATATAGGTTCTCCGCAATTCCATAGAACATCTTGCCAAATTCATAATCCTCCGAGCTTGCCGGCATGTGCACAGGCCCAAAGTCAAAGGCTTTGCCGAAGACAGTGAACATGACTGTTGATGTGGACGTGACGTCGGTCCTCGGGCATTTTTGGGGGTTGATAGTGCCATACAGAGGCTTCAGTTCCGACAAGGTCGTGAGCCCATCCGCGCAGACCTGGGCCGTCTGTTCAGTGCCAATGGTGTCCCATGCGTACCTCAGCTTGTTGTCTGTGAGCTTGCGGAGCTTCGCGCCGACGTCTTTGTCCTTGTAATCTAGAGCAAGCTCGGCACCGAGACTCGCAGCGTAGTCGAAACTCTCAGACCCGCAGACTGTGACAACGGAATACCCAGACCTATAATAACTAGTTAACATTGAAGTGATACTTTGACAGTCAAAATTAGGTTCGCTGCAGGTTGCCGCAAAGACACTAAGAGGAGGCTGCGATGTTGCTTGGCAAAACGATGCTACTTACTGCTTGGCGAACTGTATTCCTAGAGCGGCAGTAGCGGTGCCTCCACCATATATTAGAACATGCTCCTCTTTCCTCTTAGGCGTAACCAAAGGCAAGTCGAGCTGCATGGACTTCTGATACAAGCCCTGCCCGACCGTGATTGTTCCGAGGCCAAGTGTGGCCGCCTGCTCGAAGCTCATCCATTCGGGCATTCTCATCTGCAGGTCTCCCCTGACAGCAGCCAGTTCGGCAAATGCGCCATCGTCTGGGTTTACGAGGTTGGACCCATGAGCGCACCCGAAGACTCTGTCTCCTGGTTGCCACTTTTTCTCGACGGCGCTGCCCACTGCCTCAACGACGCCTGCGTAGTCACAGCCAACGATGCATCCAGGCTTGGCACGCTTGAGCCTGACGTGCTTCCAGTCGGTCGGGTTCAGGGCGACTGCGACTGGCTTGACGAGAATGTAGTCATCGCGTAATTTTGGAACCTGACGGTGCGGGTCAACACTGGCTCCCTTGCCATCGAATACTACCGCTTTCATGGTTGAGCTCTGCCGGATGGTGATGGTACCACGCCCGGCTATTTGTGGGATGATGTCCAGGGCCCGATGCTGAAGTGGTAGTGTCGATATGCGAGCTGCGGGACGCCGGAAACAGCGAAGGAGGTTTTGGCCGGTGGTCATTGTTGCGGTTGGCCAACCTATCCACAGTCCTTGCGAGAACACTGGATGCTACCCTTCATCTGTCGAGTGAGCTCGTCTGTTGTCCAACGCTTTGTAGGTAAACGTGTCAGCCCGGCTGGTCAGGAGCTGCACTTCCTATGTATGTACACCCGCTTTAAGGTTGATGCTAAATAAAAAAAGATACGACGCAGATACAGTAGTGAGCCAATTGTAGGGTATCCTGCTTACCAGCAATCAATTGCCGTGGTAGCTTATAAAAGGATGTCATTGGCTAAGCTGAAAGCTTTGGCCGTAGATCAAGAGGTATCTCTTTCCCTTTCCGAAGGTCCTCGGCAATTAACGGCCCCCAGCTTCGAGCCCACCCACTTCCCAAAGTTAGGGTCTATGGAGTCAATCTATCGAAGCACTAATTACCTAGTTCTTCCAGCCCCGGAGCTGCTACCTTTTCTATGCGCAATCCGGCAACGCTCTGGGAATGCAATTGAGTTCTGAATGAGCCAATTCACACTGGCAACAGGCAGCTATCGACTTCCATCATTGGATATTGACTACTTGAAGCTTAACAGGTACTATATAGCGATGTCTACCTATATATACAGGTTCAAAACAAACATTTCGAAGTGGCTGAAAGCGTTGAAACATAACTGCAACTCTACTGACGGTTACTCGCAATTTCCTCACAACAATTTGTTGGCAAATCTGCAGTGTTTTTGTTTTGATCACCGCTTTGAACATTGGTGCTATAGTGTAACCCCATACCAAAGTCTACTACCCTTCCCGCTTTTGCTTATACGCAAGCGCTGGCAGCAAGAATCTTTCAATTGTAGCAGCCTATTTCGCGAGGATGGCCTTGACGTTTTTCTGCAGGGAGTTGGGAAAATTGACTACATTCGGTAAATCGCCGTGACAGAGCGAGTAGTCGATGCTCAGCGTAAGCCAAAGGTAGTACCGATGACTGTCGACGACATCCTGAAGGAAATGCTGGCCGTTCAGCACCTGAGACCCCAACCATGGTGGCGTCGCAAGTTCAATATGACTACTTTGGGATTTTGAGGCTTGTCGGCTTGCCTTGTGTTTCCCGAAGAGCGTGTCCACAATCTTGGATGACCGGGCAAAGCCCACTAGCTTCCCAATACATTCAAGGAAGTGGTCTGTGTTCTCATAGAGGTTGCGGAAGACAGACATTAGGCACACGATGGTTCTCAGGCCTGTCATGATCTCGTTGCCTGGGTCGCCGACTGGTCTTGTCACTTCTGCGCCTAATGTGTACCACACAAAGGAGAAGGCCGAGAATGCAATGCTGAAATAAAACTGCTGTCAGTAAAGGATTGCGCTTCACCGCAGACTACTATGTGGGATACCTACAAAGTATTTGGAAGGTATTGTACTAAATTTCGCTGCTCCAGCTCCGTCAGACTGCGCGTAACGCACCGAAATGATGTGTTTAGTTCGTTCTGGACCCAGTGCTGGGTTACATGTCCTTCGTCGTTGCCGAAGCCACAACTTTCGACTGAGACGAGAATCATGTGATTGAGCAGTGAAGTCCTTGCCGAGCTATTCGATGAGCTGCATTAGCAAATGACTCTCATCGTCATGACTCTGCGTAAAAACTTGTGTGTCTCTAGATTTGAGATGTCATTAATAACTTACTGGTAGTATATATAAACCGCATTGCTCAATAACTTGACAGAGTCTTGGTGGTCCTCGTAGTGGGACGCGTGGACCTGGACCTTTGCCCGAGCCGCGTCGCACCACAGGTCCAACCTTGTCATCATCACCATGGCGCTCTTGCAGTCTCCTTCCACCCGCAGCCGCTCTTCCATAATGTCGGTCTCGTCTGGAGCATAGAGAAGCTCGAGCACGTCTTTGAGGACGATTGCAAGCTTGCAGAGAGTTATAAATAGCCGTACGAGCACTTGTTTCTCATCCGGCTTGCATATCCGCGAGCTCCAAATTTCATGTTTGAAATCGTCCTCGGTGAGGGCGTGCTGTGCGTAATTGATCTCTTTCGAAGGTGTTATGCTGAGACGGCGACGCAGTCCTAATGACATGATACAGTCTCGGAGGATGCAGCACCACCACAGCCGTTTTCGTACTTGTCCGATCCGTGATGTGAATGGTGTGGAATCCCGTGGTCGGTCAGCACCAGCTTTTCTCGCGAAGTGGATAGCAGTGTCTAGCCAGTAGGTGCTGATAAGCTCTCCCGGGTGATGCGAGTGGTATGTCAACATCAGCGCACCTTGTGCCTTCGAGATGTGATCTTGGCAACAATTGGAATCGAACAAAGCCTGGTTCTCTTGGTCAACGTGACTGGTACTCCATTGGCGGGCACTGTAGATATAGACCACGAGATAATTGCCTTACCTTGGCTCTGGAGTAGAAGACTGCTCTTGCTTTACGGACTGAAGGTAAACCTAACGAACACAATGTAGTGTTCGAGACGAACTTGGGGCCGTCCAATTAGAATCATGTTGTTATCTCAGACGCGGAAGTAATGCTCATGTTTGGGAGCTTTGGATGGAAACTTACGGGGCATGACATGAAGAGCATAGCCTGAATCACAAACAGTGAATAGTCTCCCCGGGCTGTTGAGTTGGCATTCTCTTGGCTCTGATAGACATTCCAGAAGTCGCCCTCATCGAGCAACGGCATGAATGGATGCACAAAGAGAAAGTATTGCTTCATAAATTCGTCCATCGCGGTCTTGAACGGTAGATGAAAGCAACCCTCATCTTCCAGGAATGATGCTTTGTCAGAGGACGATAGATTCAGAACATCGACGCCGATGAAGCTGTAGAATACGTATAGAACAAGGCCCTTCTTTCCTGTGTGTACAGGCTGATCGCGTCGAATACTGAGATCTATGGTACGTGTGTCGAGCGCTTCTGTGTCAAACAAAGTCCGGTTAGATATTGATTTGAGTACTTGTGTGGAATCCGGAAATTGAGGTCATCCAAAGCTAGAGTATGCTCACCTGGAATGACATCCAGCGTCGATAGTAACGAGGGGTCCACGAACTCGGGCAGGAGGAGCGGCGTTTCATCGTCCTTGGAAGGATCCTTTGACAAGGATCTTTCTAATGATAACAACTCATCGTCCCGCAAGGTAGTGAAGAGCCGCTCCAAGTCTGTGGTGTCGGGGTAATCGTTCAACTCATCCAAATCCCACTGAGCTTGAGGCGTAGGTAGCGTCGCTGCTGTATCGAGCTCAGCTTGATTTACAACTGAAGGCTGCAGCATAACTTGACCAGAACGCGAGTTTGTTGAATCCTGCACGACTGGTCGATTTCTGTCGAACCTGGTGAGTATTGGACCCCCTCAACCGTGGCTAGCCTATTGCCATGATAATGAGGCTTCTCACCTTCGTGTCTTCCTACGCTGTATAGTGCACTCGTGTTCATCCAGCCTGCAGTTGGTGCATGGTGTTCCTGTAACCGAGACGTCGCAACGGACTTTCCTAGCCCTGCAATCCAGACAAGCGTGTCTTGCGCGTTGTCTACGTACCAAAACCCGGCCTTTCCGCCTGGACGTTCGATCGTCTACCGTTACCTTGCTGTCATCCATCGAAGGCTCCGCTTCTGCGTCTGTAGAAATTGGCAAGAGGCGAGGGAGGCAATGCTCTGGATCAGGAGAGAAAGTCTCACCATCTGGTGTTCTTCCGCTTGTCTTAGCCATGTCTTTAGGAAGTAGATAGCCAAATGCATGCAAAGGTCGGGCTTTTCTGAGGACTGGCAGGGTCTAGCTGCTGCCGGTGATATACCTCTGAATGGCCCACAAATCCGAATCTAGCTCCCAGCAATACAATTTGATACGTCACTCAGCTCCTCAGTTTCAATGTCGTGCTTTTACTAGCCGAGGTAAAGTACCACCTGCAACCTCAGCCTCTATTACTTAACTGTCAACTTCAAATGGCACTGGACATCAAGCATCAGAATCAGAGCACTTTAAGATACGCAGCATGTTAGAACCCATAATTTAATAGACCTAGTGACTGGACCTTACCTGGTTCGTAGTGTCAGGCAGTAGTACTCCATGGACATATCATAAAGAAGGACAATCAATCAGAGATTACTTGTGTATGCCCATGTCAGCCAGCGAATAGCATTAAATCTTGGATGCCTTTGCAACAGCTGCTATCTCTACAGGCAGATCGCGGTATTTCTTGTAAAGCTCCAGGGACTTGGGATTCGCCACCGTCCCACTGACCGGGAGTTCACGCCCAGAAACGATGTTCTTGACGTTAATCTCACACTTTTTCCCGCTGAGAGTGTATGGGATGTCGGCCACCTCAAATATATACTGGGGCACATGCCTCGCCGAGTACTTTTCCCTGATGCGGGCCTTGATTTTAGTTGTCAGTGCTTCCGTCAGCCGAGCTGGGGGCTTGAGCACCACAAAGAGCAGTACTCTTTCGTCCAGATCTTTGTCCCTTCTCTGTCCTACACAAATACTGTCTGCAATCTCGGAGATCGTCTCCACAACTGCATAGATCTCCGACGAACCAAATCTGACTCCAGAGGGGTTAAGTACTCCGTCGCTTGCGTAGGCACCCCCGATGTTAGGAATAGTACTATAGAGGAGGCGGAGAAAGGTAAACTTACGATCGTCCCAAAAACACAAAACCACCAGTATCCACAACTCGTCGGACATAGTCTCCCTGCCGCCATACAGCAGTTCCGTATCGGTCGAAATACGATTCGCGGTACTTTTTGAGACCGTCTCTACCGTAGAACTTGAGAGGCTGACTTGGGAAAGGCTTAGTGCAGACTAGCTCTCCCGGGCGGCCCTCTCTTTCAATTGACACGGGTCCATTCTTCTCGGAATCGAACACGTCAACTGCCATTCCCAGAGCTTTTGCTTGAATCTCGCCGCAATACACGGGCAGGAGTGGCGTGCCTCCGACGACTATATTTCAAGGCGCTTGGTCAGCTATTGACACTTGACCATTTGACTTAACGGCGGCGGGCTGATGGATGGAATTGAGCGCATGGGGATCAGTCTGGCTTACAGGAACCTGCAATGTCCGTCCCTCCACTCATAGAGATCAAGTGAACTCTCGCGGGAAATGCTTCTTGATAGAACCATTTATAAAGGTCGGGTGAGAGAACAGATCCTGTCGACGTCACAACCCTTAACTTTCTTAGGTTAAAATGCCGACCTGTGAAAGAGAACGTGTTAATATGTAGAATTGTAACATTCTGTAGATAGCAGCGATTCCAACCTACCCGGTAAGATCCCGCGAGCCCGAATCTCCGACAAGTATCTTGGTGAAGTTCCGAAGACGCCGACCCTAGAGTACGTTAATGGCTAGGACATGCAGGTCTGCTCGAGTGAGGCTTAACGTACCCAACTTCCTCTGCCAGTTGAAGTAGAATAGTGGGCGTGGGATGAAATGGTGAACCGTCGTAGAGCAGCATGGAACGTCCTGCGGCGATGTTGACGAAATTCAATACCCACATGACCCAGGATGTCTGTATCACGTAGTCTCATATGTCAGCCTGGGATCACATGGTACCTGCTATGTGAGCAGATGGGCGACTTACCGTGGTGTACTGAAACATGACATCCGATCTCCGGGCATCGTGCTGTAGTATTGTGTCGGTTTTGGCTTTGAGGAGAACTCCCTAGAAAAAGTATTAACTTGGTCAAGGTCTTTCAACTGAGCTATAGGCTCCAGGATTGAGAGGATAACCTACACCAGCCGAGTGTACGATGCACTTTGGAGGCCCGGTCTTCGATTGCAAGTCAGTACGCTGAGACTTGTTTCTCCGGTTTCAGGAAGGGGAAATCATAGCCTACCGTCCCGGAAGAATACAAAATGAAGGCCGGGTGGGAGAAGGGCAGCATTTCGAACTCAAGCGCCCGTCCTACGCCTCTGAGTAGAAAGTCTTCGTACGCGATGCCACGGTGGATTAAGGAGATGTCGACATTTGTGCCTGAGTATGGAAGAACGACTACATCAGATAGCGCCGGGGCGCATTTACCCAGTTCCTGTGCCCACTTGACCGTCTTGTTCTCAAGCTTAATCCTCTTGCCGGCGTAAACGTAGCCGTCGTCGGTAAATACTAGCTTAGGGTTCACCTGGCTGAACCGGTCTAATATTGCGTTCGCGCCGAGGTCACAAGATGCGGATGACCAGACTGCTCCGACGGCGAGGCAGGCCAGGCAGAGCACGAATGAGTACACAGAGTTAGACACGACGGCTGCGACGACGTCACCGCTCTGAACACCTGAGCTGATCATAGCGTCGCGGACGGACCTCGTTTGCTCCCTGAGATCATGCCATGTCACCTTCTCAACTCCCGTGACGCCCTCACGCGCAAAGTGTATGGCCACAGCATCTGGCTCGCCTTTTCGCAAGAGATGTTCGGCGATGTTGAGTCGTTCATCTGGAAAGAAACGCGGGGGTGGGAACAGTTCTGATTTCGACAGGCTTGGGGTCTTGCCAATATAGAATCAGTATCATCAACTGTATTCATGAAGACGATAAAATCCAAGTTAAAGGGGGAGCAATAGACCTGCGGTCTCACCTCATTGCTTAGCACCTTGCCCGGTCTTTTTGCGCCTGGCGGGGCTAGCTCTAGCCACTCGAATGCGTCTCTCCAAAAGTCGTTGGATGAAGGCCCAATGGACCATTGATAGAGGTCTTCGTATGTTTGGAGACTTAGGCCGTGCCGCTTGTTGACAAAGGACATAAAGACAGTAGCATTAGCTTGGTCTGGACTTTGAGGACGCCATACGGGCTGTTTTGTGACATCTTGGTCGATTCTTTCTCGCGGCATATTGCAGCCAAGTTGTTCACCTCGTCATTAATGAGTGACACAGAATGACCAATTGACGGCCAGTGATTGATCGAGTTGCCCTCGAAATTTCGATATATTACAATGTAGACTAGTACATGACATCTCTACACCCTTTTTGTTCCTGCATGCTGCCGCATCTGGCGCGTAACCTAGTCAAGCACCGTAAGTCCTCGGCAGAAGAAAAAAGGTTCCGACTCGGAGCGGCACGGTCATCATGATCAACAACCGCGGTCGTATCCTACATATCAGTGATGTGAATGGCCGACCGCGTTTATATTTCCGTCTTTTTCCACCCCCAACAAGAACGGGTCTACTCCCATTCAGTTTGGGACTGCGCTCCGGCCTTCCGATCAGAACATGCAGGCTGGCCGTAGCATTGCATTACGTGGAGATAGGTCCTCACTGCGGGACGAGTGCGAACCACGTACAGGTCTTGGCAATTAATTATCCCTGCCTGGGGTGAGTGCGCCATTGTTGATAGCCGAGGCATTGCTAACAAATTGAAGAAGCTTTATCGACACTCCTTCTAAACAACCCAAGTAGGGCTGGCTGCATGTTCAATTATTTAAAGCCTAGATATCTAAAGTGTGATACGATTCAAGCCTGGAAAGCATTCATGCGACAGCAGATAATAGAAGATTATTTGAGTTAATCAGTGACATGGCTAGGTAACACCAAGCGCTGTGGGGAGTAGATGTCACTTCACATCACACCAAGATCTCTGCCGCAGCCCAACAGAGCCTGTTTTAGCTAGTGTGCTTAAATGCCCAACATCTGGACGCGTACGACTTCTACAGTGTTTCATCCACATCAAGTGTCTTGCACCTTGTCTTGCACTTCACCGAGGCATTCAAGCCTTACTACCGGTTGTTCCCCAACAAGCTGAGTCGGCAGGCAGGGGAAATGCTGTCCGCCGAGAAGCCATCCGGACAATAGTTAGGTAGTTAGTTAGTTAGATTGCTCAGTATTCTTGTTCTGATTGGTAATACACCATCGCTATATCGCGAACAACTGCTAACATACAACACACCCATCACTTGGCAACCATGTGACACTCTTCAAACCCAGCGAAATGTCTTCCTGTCAACGCGTAGAAATGATAACATAAATTAGAGTACCACGTAGGACAATAATAAATATGATTACAAGAATGGCTGCCATGAGGTTGACGACGCCGTCGTAGCCGGCATTCTCGTTTCGTGACTCTGCATCATCAAATTCTGATCCGTCGCATCAAAGTTGATGAGCGCGGGAAGCAGGCCGTCGAACTCGGTCCAGATATCCATCTGGGATGGGGTGTCCATCATAGTAGGGTGATCACCTGCTGCTGCCGAAGGATTTCCCATGGTTCCGGGCCCAAGCTGCGCATTGGAATCGAGTCCTGGTGTGGCGCGGGGACCACCACCACCAAATAGTAGCATGTTGCGAGGTCTTGGGCTGGTTCCATCCAGCATGGTCAGCTCGGGGCTGAGCTGCTGCACGAGATTGAGGTAGCTGTCGCTATTCGTCATGGATTGCCCGGCGTTCGAAGGCTGTGCTACCGCCGGCGGTGCCGCCATGGCGAATTGGCCATTGCCAGTCGTAGACGGAGTATTGAGACGCCCACTAATGGCGGATGCATGGTAGTCCTCAAGTATCGGATCGTTGAGCACAGGGTTTGCGGCGCCTAGGAACGGTATATGGTGGCTGTCTCTACTATGAGTGGTCATGGTGTTCGTACACATTCTCAGGATGGGCAACATGGGAATGTGTGTGCCCATCCTCACGAGCACCGTCTCCAGAAAGCGGATGGCGTAGTCGGCAGACGCGTACATGTCCTGAAGCTCGTACAGGGCGTGGAAACACTGGTAAAACCGGCCGATGCTGAGATTGCGAAGCTCTTCGTCGGGATCGCGAATGTCGAGCAGGTGGATCAGCGTCGCGGAGAGGAACGCGGGGACGCTGCTCGTCGAGAGATAGCGCAGTTGGTTCTCGCACTGCAGGTCGAAGGCGAGCTTCGTCATGGCCACGGCAGCTTCCTTGACCTTCCGGAGCGACGTCTTCTTGGCGTTGTTCGTGTCGGGTGACTCGGGTCGTGAGGAGGAACTCATCAATGCACGTGGTCGATGGAGGGCTCCGAGGGCGGTCAGATAGATCATTCGTAGCAGAGCCTGATGGAGCCAGGTGATGTTGTCAGCCCAGTCGTTGGTATTCTCGAGGGATCCGGACGTGGACGCTGGCGGCGACGGCGGAGAATATCTGGACGTCGCCTTCCGGTTATAACACCAGTCTTCGAGCTCGCTGTCACATTTCGACAGCTCCGACATCTGCTTGTCCGAGTACCTGGGCAGAACAGCAATGTTCTTGTAGTATTCCCAATTCAAAGGCTGGGTGCTGACGACCGAGTACTGCGAATGGAGAATGTTTCCGATGCACACGCAAAGTTTTGCCAGGTCGATGCAGATCTGACACATCTGTCTGCGCCCGTCTTCTTCCACGGTGGTGAAGCCGCATTCCCTGACAAATGCAACGTGCTCCTTGGTCGGCTGGCAAAGATCAAAATCGTCGAGCTCGAGCATGGACACGTTGAAATCCTCCTGCCGTATCCTGGCGGGACGCCGGATGCCCAGAGCCAGCAGACGATCTCGGATGAAGCAAGCCCACCAGATCCTGCGCCTCAATCGTTTTGCTCGCAGGCTTATTTTCAAGGTCTCTGGGTCCCTGTGGAGGCCCATTATCTGGGAGAGCGAGAGGGCAATGCCCATCCAGTACCAAGTGTCCTTCTCGTCGTGTGGTGAGTCGTACCAGTACGTCATGAGAAGCACAGACTGGATGAGAGCTACGCGGTCTGGCTCGCAGTCTAATCCGTAGAGCAGGCGGACGCGATTGAAGAAGACCTTTCTCGCTCTCTTCCTGCTCGTGTACCCCCGCGATCGCAGGAGATCGCCATCCACGAAGATGACACTGGCAAACATGACTGCTTGGAACAAGAGCAGGCTGACCGGGCGTTTCTCATCTCCATTAATGATGGGATCAAGGAACTCGTCCAGGTCGATTGCTGGCATGAAGCAGTGGATGATCTTTACATAGGTCCGGAGCAACTCGTCGCGAAAGTCGTCGTCTGGAATGGTCATGGCATCCTTCTCGGCGAGATACTCCATGTCTCTCTGCCCGATGTGCGCTGGAAGACGCTTGATGTACGGCGGCAAAGAAACCGGCGCATAGTCGCCGACACGGGAGCCACAGTAGCCAGCGCTCGAAGGCACTTGATTACGGGCCGGGTGTGGTAGGCTCCTCTGGCTTCTCTCCGGCGAGGCCGAGGTGGGCACCACTTCACCTAGGGCATCTGCGTATTGATCCCGACGCTGATGGAGTGGGACGTGCAGATCATGGCCGTCGTCCATGCTGTGGTGACTCGCGTCATCAAGAGTGTCGTCTCCCAGATCACCGGACTGGGAGCCGCCTTGCTGATCTATCAGGGTATCAGCATTGTGTTCATGTGCCTCGAGCCTAGGTGTAGTAACTTGGCCTTGGAGATGAACTTGACTTGCCTTCAAATGTCAAAGTGCAAAGGTACCTGTCCGTGTCGTGCTCGACTTGCGGCGGTGTACCTTGCTGCTGGTGCTGGTGCTGTTGCTGGTGCTGTTGCTGGTGCTCCTGCGGAGGAGCTGAAGTGGACTGCGGCGAAGCAGTCGATGCAGGCGGCCGAGAGTTGGCGCTGTTGGGCTTCCTCCCGCGGCTCGACTGCTTGAGGACACAGTCAACATCGTCGAGGCGGCAATTCGTACAGGGAACGCCACTGTTGACGACGTCACAGCGGACTTTCCGACCGCGGCATGATAGACATGCCCTGGAAGAGCGTCTCTTTGCCACGCGGTCGTTGGTGAGGCCGTCCCCGAAACGTTTCCGCCCGGCAGACTCGGTCGACCCCGCGTCGGCGGTTGCGACACGGATTGATGTAGCCATTGATTAACTGAACAGCAGAAAGTCTTCGTCGATCCTGGTAGGGTGTGGTGTAGTGTGGTGTGGCCTCTCCCTTGTGAGCCCCTTTTCTACTTTTTTGGCTGTCCTCCTGTTTTCAACTGGGACCATGCAGATCCTTGGTACAATGGCCGTGTTCACGGCGGATCGATATACCCCAAAACGCTCATGCACACATCGATGTCAGCGTAGGAGCGAGCGTCAGCACTCTACATATCAGGAGGTGGGAGGAGCGAGCGGCAGGGAGGAAGACACAAAGCAGCATCATGTTGCGGGGAGGGGACAGGCTTGGTAATAACGGCACAGCGCCAAGGAGCGGGGATTGGGCGCTAGCTGCAGACAGAAGATGGGCGGAGCACTAGCAGTCTATAGCGCAGATGCTACCCCGCGCAGAGCATTTGTGGAGAAATCCGGGGCGGTCATGTCGGGCTATGCGGGGAAGGGATCTGCAGATCGTGTCAGAAGCTATGAGGGAGGTGAATGAGAATGAAGGAGGGTGACGGGGATAGCACCGCTTGTCTAGGTACTGTTACTACTGCCACGAGATGAGAGACAAGCAAGAGTTGCGGATGATCGGACACATCTCCCATCTCGAGGGACCATACCATATCCTACAATAAATACGTTTGTTCTTGGTATATCATCTCGGCGGTCTGGCTTTTGCCGTCAATGACTTCGGTCGAGGACCGGACGATGTAGAACAACGTAGAGAAAACAAGCACGTCATGCATTGATATATGATCATGTGCAACTCCCATACATACTCTTGAAGGATCCTCTTCCTAGTTCCCTCCTCAAGATCGGCTCGTTCTTTTTTCAGATCTCATGCTTCGAATCATCACACATGCGGTGTTTTTCTCCTGTTTTACTTTCTAAATCAAAGCGCTAAGGCAATTGCTTGGCCTAGAGGTCTATAGACCGATCCGGGTCGAGACTCGGACCAAAGGCCCAGCCCCCTGCTGTCACGTCACCATCCGACCTTTTTGCTTCGGCTATGTCACTGTGTCGGTTCTTCAAGTGGCGCACTGTGTTTGAAGGCCTCGGTTATATGCACGGCCGCCCCAGGACCCAGAGCGCCGGGATCCGGGATCTGGGTGCTGCGGGGTACGTTTCCCGCTTCTCTTCTCCGCTCCGGCTCCGCCGGCGGAAACCAATAGTATCTCACGCATAGTAAGAGCAGCGGCGTGTAATTTTTTTTCTTGATGCATTCCAGTCTTCTATGGCCCAAGTGTGAAATCCCTCCGCCCCCGCCCAGCTACTTTGTCTCAGCCAATGCTATGTGTTAGTTCTCCTGCTGCGAGAAGTGTCTCACTATCATACACGAGATACAAAGCCTGAAACTCACCAAGCCGACTTGTCGAGCCTGGCAGAGCTGCGGTGCCGTGTCCCTACTAGACTACTGTCGGGGCTGGCGACCAGCTGCCGTGCTAGCGGGTCCAAGAGGCTTGTTTCCGTATGGCGTCACGTCGATGCCCAGCTCTTCGGCCTTGATGCGAAGGGCCAGCCGGGCCGAGTGGAACCTACTGAACGCGAACTGGTGGAACATTGCATACAGGCCCTTCTGAGGCAGCGGGCAGTAGTTGATGATGGACTCGCCCTCGGGCCCGATGAAGAAGGCGTTGCCCTTCTCCCACCGCTCGTTGCACTTCCTGGCCATGTCGTCGCCCATCAGCGCCTGGATGGCGCTCTTGGAGTTCATGTAGCCCGTGGCGAAGACGACGACGTCGGCCTGCTGGCTGGTGCCGTCCTTGTAGACTACCCCGTCCTTGGTGAAGTGGTCAATCTCGGAATGCTTGAGCGCAATCGTTTTGTCGGCTATGAGCTTGCAGCATCCAGTGTCCCAGTAGAAGCCGCCTTGATCGAACATGAACATGGAGTAAGCACCGCCGCCGTGGTATCCGTCGTGAAGGCGGTACCCTACATCTCGGAGAGACTGTAAGAGCTCAGCATCGAGCTCGCGAGCCTTTCTCTGCCCCCGGGGGAGCAGCTCGTACTCGACGGGAAACGGCTGCTTGAGGTAATTGGACTGATCCATAAGGTCAGCCGCAAGCCCACCACGGCGGTTCGTGTTCTCGCGAGGCTTAAAGAGGGTCCGGACACTCCTGTCAACAGACATGACATGTGTTGCGCTCCGCTGGATCATAGTCACTTCGCAGCCGTTCTCTATCAGCTCATACGAGATGTCATGTCCCGACGTTGCGGCGCCCACCACAATGCACTTCTTGCCCTTCCAATCAGGCCCTGTATGGTGACGCGACGAATGGACAATTAACCCTCCGTTCTGCTCAAATTCAGTCATGCCTGGGACCTCTGGCACGTTGGGCAGGGTTCCTGATATGCCCGTCGCGATCATGATATGTTTCGGGTGAAGCACATGCTTGCTGCCGTCCCCTCGCGTGACAGAGATGGTCCATTTTCCTTCCTTCTCGTCGTAAACTGCGCCTTTACCATCAATATGGGTCTTGGTCCAGATATTAAGATCCATGATTTCAGCGTATAGCTGTAAGAATTTCGATAGCTGTTGCGCTGGCAAGAATACTGGGAACCAATGTGGAAACGGCACGCATGGCAAGTGATTTGTGAACGTCGGCCCGTGCAGAGAGAGTGAGCCATAACGGCTGCCCCAGCTGTAGCCTGCGCAATCTTCTTTCTCGATGACTAGATGCGGTATGCCTAGGACTTTGAAGCGAGCGGCCAAAGTGAGGCCGGTGTGACCGGCTCCAACAATGACAACGGTGGGCTGGAACCCATCCCTGCCCTCGCGCTCGTCTTCTCTCAGCTCTTGGTAGTTGCGAGCTTTGCCCAGGGGGTCATGGATCTTTGCCTTCTGGTACCGGATTTTGTCGCCATTCTCAGCATCCCACCCCTCAACGGTCTCGATGGCAGTACCAATAGTATATAGCTTCCACGAATTGACATCGGCCAGCTCGCTAGCCGATCCTGATTTCGCTGTAAACGGGCTGAGTCGGGCAGCACCAATTCCGGTACCATGTGCAAAGTCAAACTCGAAGTGGAAGAGCACGAATGAGAGATCGTCACCCAAGGTCTCCAGAGATGAGGGTATATGGGGACTGGCTCGGATGTTCTTGATCCCTGTCTTTGAGAGACGCTCTGTAAGCATTGGACGGATGTTCTCATGGCCAGCCAGTGCCCTTATATCCCAGGTGAGCAGCTCGACGTCTTTCCAGTAGCCGTGTTCATAGATATGACCGAGGATGGAGTCCACATCTTGCGCCTCCACTGCTTTTGCAAATGATGGGAGGAACTGGTCTACAAGCTTGTTGACATCAACAGATGCGTAGTCTGGGGTGAACCCTAGCTGGTCGTTGGTGGGAAGTTTCGGTCGTGGGATTACGCCATAGTAAGCTAGGGTCTCTGACAAAGGCACACCAGCCCATCCAATCTGGCTGTCAGCATTGCGCGGGCGGATGGCTTCATCGCTCCAATCATCAATCGTAACTCGAGTCATCGTGATGGATGTTTATCGTATAGCACAGGCCTGAGGCGACAGTACTAACAAAGGAAGTCACAAGCGCCAGATCCGGAGGGAATGGCTTGTTGTAGTCTTGGGATGTTCAATGCTTGCAAGCTACCTTATAGTATTTTGGACATTCGATGCGGCTCTCGTAGCTCTAGAAACAACTTGTACCTCGTTTCATCGACGGGAGTCAAGCTGTAGTGCCGTGATGCAAATTCGCGGTTGCCTCGGCCCGAGCGCTGAATTCGCCCATCATACGTCTCTCAGACGGCCCCTCGCCCAAGGCGTAGGCATATTCGGTCAATCGTGGCCAACCCAGTCTATCCCAAGGTAGTCAAAATCACTTCTTTTCCTTGACTTACATGTACGCAGGATCAATCGGGAAGAAACAGCAACATGTGGTATAATAATTTGTATATCGCGAAGAAGACACAAACTTAGCAGGTTGAGGACGGTTTATTTAGAACTCTTGCCAATAGCTTTAATATCATACAATACTGGGTACTGAGCAATCGTGGGCTCCTGTTCATGTCTTTTGCGGAAGTATTCCTTGAAGTCTTCAACCTTTGTTCCACTATAGAGCACTATTTATTCTACAATTTGCCCGGGAATCAATACCCGTTGTCGTGGACGGAGAGAGCGGGAGTGCCGCCAAGAAAACAATGACACCATATCTCATTCTAAACCCTACGTTGACAAGATCTATACTCATGGATATCACCGGAAGATCAGGTTGAAATATTTGAAACTTCTGTCTTTCGCGGCACAAGGGTCACGAAGAGGTCCGGCTTCTCCCAGAGCAAGTACAACTTATTTCGCTCCGTCCATCCCTCACTCCTCGGGTCCAGCTTCAAATCAAAGTTCCAGACAAGTCTTGCTAGGATAAGGCGCATCTCCGCGTAGGCAAGGCTGCAGAAAGTAGATCAGCATCGAATCTGTAACAATAATTCAAGGCTCGGTCCAGCCATCACTTACTTCTTGCCAATACAGTTACGAGGCCCATACGAAAATGGCTGAAATGCAGCCCTCTTGTCGCCGTCGAACCGTGGATCACCGAGGAACGTTTCTGGGATGAACAACTCTGGGTCTTTGAAGTGCTCTGGGCTGCGGCTCATTGCCCATTGCCAGATACTGAGCATAGTCTTCGTCGCGTCAGTCACAGCGAGCTGCATATGGCTTTTCTGAATTTTTGACTTACGTTGGGAGGAACATAGTCTCCGTGAATGGTGCCCCCTTCCTTGTCCGTGATACGAGGCACAGCCGGAGGGACGGCTGGGAACACACGAAGAGCCTCATCGATGACGGCCGTCAAGTAAGTCAATTTCTGAACGCTCAGAAGGGTAATTTCATCCTCGGAACTAAAGCCAGTCCTCACCTCCTCGTTGAACTTGGCCAGGACATCTGGATGAGTGCAGAGGAGGTACGTTATCGCAGAAAGGCTAGTTGCAGTTGTTTCAGAACCAGCAAGAACTAAATTTTGCGTGTTATGAAGGATTTCCATTTCCGTCATTTGCTGTTGTGAAGTAGTATTAGCATATGTGATTTGCAGAATACTTCTACCACAAATATTGTGAACATACACCTTTCTCTTTTGCAATTGCCATTGAGTCCACGAAATCGTTTCTTTGGATGCCTAGAGCTAGACGCTTGTCGATGGCGTTTTTCGACAGCTGAAAGTGCTCGATATATTGATCTTGCTTCTCTTTAGTCATGAGAAGCTTGACAAGCAGCTTGTAACCCGGGAACTTCCGAATGGTAGTAAGAAAAGCTACGCCCTGCAGTTGCTCGAATATGATATCGATCCAGAAGTGGTGTCTAGTATTTTCCAGACAGCCAAACGGTTCGCCGAATGAAAGATCGCCAATGATATCAAACGTTGTCCAGTTATACCATGTTACCATGTTCTGAGACTCGCCCGTCTCGGCAGCTGTTTTAAGCTTTGTCATGAGCATTGAAATACTGCTTTGGATTAGAGGCTGTTGTGCCACCATAGCTTGGTTAGAAAAGCCATGCGCGAGGATGCGTCGGTGTCGGCCATGATTCTCACGTGTGGCGCCTATCATAGTATGTCTGTGGTCTTCCCAGAAGTCCGGATCTTTACTGAACTCCGCTTGGCCTTTCTTGCGGTGACCCATAATCTCATCCCATGCTTCAGGGTAGCAGAACGAGAGCTCAGTAGGGCAAATCCGGACTACAGGTCCGTACTTCGCATGTAGTGCAGCAATCTTGAGGTGCCCTTCTCCCGACAAATATGCTCTAGAGTATGGTATGCGAGTGGCGGCCCAGAGCTTAGGGCCCGGGTACTTTCGTAACGGGTGGAAGAATACATTGTAGACGATTTTGAACGCGACACAGGTAATGATCTGACGTCAACAATCAACTAATTGCCATCGATCTGGCGGTTGCGAAGCAGCGGGCTGTTGATTGAGGGCTTACCAAAAGACATATGACTGTAATTAAGCCAATCGGTTTGCGGATATTAGCGATTAGCAACTTTAAGATTGACGAAGTGGCACCCGGATTTGACACAGACGACATAGTGACGTAGAAGATGCAATATGCGCGTCCTGGGAGGATGAGATGCAATAGCGGCAGTAGTATCGGCCAGAACCTCAAGAACACGGAGATGATAATGTTTTAGGTGTTGGCCGTTTATAGGAGGAACAAGATACCGTAGTAGCCAATCGTAAAAGTAGTATTTACATTCGAGAATTACTGTGAGCCCCCGTAGGTGGCTTATGTTGTATCGGGCAGTGCCTCGGGTACTCTCGCCGTTGATGAGTGCCAGCGCGGACCATTAATTTGTCCTCTCCCCGCACGTTCCGGAGTGGGGGTGGGTTTGAGTGGTACAATCTAGGCTGGGGACCTCATGGTATCAGGTTTGAGGCAGGTAATGAAGGAAGGCTGGCCCCAGATAAACGTCGAGTCGCCCTTCGTGACCGGCCGGGTAGACTCTGGTTTTGATCGAACATTACATCCACGGAGCGCTTTAGCATAATGGAAAGATGATTCAAAACAGCGTTGGGTCTTTGCAACATGTAGATATCCGCGAACCACTTGGCTTCGTTTGATCTGACGTTGAAATTCTTAGAAGCCGGTACCGATTTCCAAGTCATGTCAGATCACCTCGGCTTTAGGGGGCCAATCAAAACATCTAAAAATACAAACAAGATACCCGAATATCAAGAAATTCCAGTTTCTCTGACATTGTACAGTGTGTGGAGAGTGAGGTTAGAGATCAGATAGTTTGATTGAGTGAATGGAATAACCATTTGTGAATTCCAGAATGTCTCTTTGTTGAAAAGACACCCCAAACTTTATGCTCGTAGATAGGGACATATTCGTCTGCCGAGCAAAATTGCGAACATGACAAGTCACCGGTCCATGCAACAGGGCGGCTAGAAACAAAATAAACCCTTTCGTCTTTACTTATATAACATTAGCCTTCTGGTGTTTACTAGGTAATATTGTTAGACTACTTGGGGGCTTGGAGGACGATGTTTCCGTGAGCCATATTGCTCAAAACGAGTGGTCCAAACACATAGACAGGCTAGGAATACCGTATGTCATACATGTACCTAGGTTAACATAGGAAGCGTGTTTCTGGGCCCTCCCACTCGTCAGAGCCTCATGATGTAGCTCGGTACTACTTGAGTTGTTCTGGAAACCATCCTCTTGTGGCACAGAACGTACCACAGCCTGTCGTCCAGATCTATACGTAGAATTTCTAAGCGAAAAAACCACCATCGACTCGGAATAGTTCGCCTGTGGAGTGAGTGCTCTCCGGGCCCAACAGCCACGTTATCATGAAAGCAACCTCCTCGGGCGTACCATATTTCTTCAGCACATTAGGAGCGGGAGGGGGGTTGTCCCCGACCACACTATGCATGAGAGGGCCGTAGGTGCCTCCCGGAGCAACAGCGTTCACTCTGATCTGGCGTGACCCGTAGTCGTGCGCGGCACATTTTGTGAGCCCAAGGACGGCGTGCTTCGATGTTGTATAGGCAGCACAACCGGGTCCTCCCGCCGACCCATTATTCGATGAGATGTTGACAATACTGCCACCATCCTTGATATTCCTAAGCTCGGCACGGAGAGAGTACATCATTCCTAGGTTGGACTCGTGAGATTTGAAAAGTCATACCAAAAACATAGACAGGATCATCGGAACATAGTGAACGTCTGAGACATACCATTCACATTGACACCCATTACAAGATTCCAGTCGTCGTCATCTTGCTCGCCGACCGGCTGTTGCCCGTAATATTTGCCAATGGTCCCAGCGGCGTTGACGGCACCATCGAGCTTCCCGAACTTCTGCACAGCGGCATCGATCCAGTCATTCACCTTCTTAGGATCCCGAATATCAACTGTAGCAGTATGGATGGGCCAGCCCTTATCCTTGAAGTCCCGCTCAACCTGGGCAAGAGTCGTTGGATTGGCATCCGCGATGGATACACTTGCACCTCTGCTTGCAAGAAGCGTTGCGGTGGCCAAGCCGATCCCCTGGCCTCCGCCAGTAATGGCAATGACCTTGTTTGCGAATGACATTGCTGCGGTTATTGCAGGGGAGCAACGACTGAAATAGAAAATCGAACAGAAATAAATTGAGATGAGATTAATTCATTATAACGGCATCATGTAGGATCAAGTAGCTATATGAGGAGCGCAAAATCGCAATGTGGCTAACAACAAGAAGGAAAGCCGAGGTCATGTCTAGGCTGGAATTGGAGGAGGTAGATACTCAAAGAGGAAAGAGGGGTTGCTGAAGGACTCCACGGGATCGCTCTTCTACAATTGGACACCGTTTGTGGCTGTCTTCGGGGTCGGCAGAGGCATGTCAATGATTTCGGTTCGTGTCTTAATGGGCAATAAGCGAGCTCTAAATGTATCGATCGTGAGTTGTAGCGAGTATCTTGAAGCAATTCAGAAAAGCCGACGAGAGGCTGTGTTTGTCGCATAGTATATAAACACAACCTGCATGTGCCGTTGCCTGGAACATTGGAGGTCATGGCCATAGATACAGGAGATGATGCGTGCTCTTCTTGGTGCAGTTATTTCGATCGACTTCAGAACCTTCATAGTCTGCCTTTACTAGCATGTTGCGATAATCTCACTACACCTTCTTGCATACATGTGGCAACCAGTATGCCTCGATGGTCCCAAATACGTTGCAGCACGACTCCCCTCTCATCCCCAGCCCATGGGCTCTCCATCTCTGCCAATAACCACTCGTCGGCGCGAAGCTGTCGCGGATTATGAAAAAAGATGGTATGATTCAAGGTTACCATCATGTCAACGCGTACGTTATTCTTCGGCGCGTCCCTATTATCGTCCATCTCTTCGTGGGCAAGCGCCTCGAAATATCTTTCTAGAGCTTCCCCATCGGCTGCAGAGGCGAGGTAGGGATGCGGAGATGACAGATTTGAAAAGCGAGAAGCGTTATGGACGCGGAAGACAGTCCCAATAAAGTAATTGTCGCTCATATATGCCAGTGCTGCAACATGCGCTCGGTGCATCTTGTCCTTCTCATCGTGCTGCGACAGCAAGCCATTCCCGCTGCCTCTTGGTACACCGAGTATTGTCGCTGGATTGGGGGGTTCCGATGGTCTTATTGCCGTCCCCGTCACTGGATCTCGTCGGCGAGCTCTAACCCACTGCCGAAGTCTCCGTTCACTGGCGTTGCCTTTGTTTTCGACGGGCACGCGCACGCAGTCACACGGCTGGCCTTTCCCTGCCTGGCCGGCGGCGGATTGCTGGATATCGTCGAGCTTGTCTCCAGGAGACTGCTCACCCCGGGGCATAGGCGTGCTGTGATCGAGTATATTCTGAACATGTGGTCGACAACGGCCAAAAGTGGCAGTCGCTAAAAGGACAATTCCGTCGCGCTGCTTCGCATGCACGAGCCGGGTTGCAAAGCTCTTGCTGTCACGGGGCCGGTATACGTTATATGTCATGGGCAGGTCGACCTTTGCGGCAGTGAGGAAATGACAATGGATACTGTGTACAACGAAGTCGACGGGCACGGTCTCGTAGGCAGCTAGCAGTGTCTGGGCAATGAGCTGCCCGCCATATGCTCCGCGAGCCCATGGCGGACACTGCAGAGGCTCGTTGGTGCCGAACACATCTGCATCTTGTGTCGTGCCGGTCAATCGGGATAGTGAGAGTAGACGCTCGACCAGCAAAGGTTCATCTCGCGCTGGCTGAGCAGCAGCCTGCGCGTTTGAGGAGTTACTGTTTACCATGAGGGTGGAAGAGCTTAGTTATTTGCTGAGAACGAGTAACAAGGAGCTTGATCAATGAGCAATTCAAATCTAGTTGCCGGAAACTAAAAGTCTAGGGAGATGCATTACGTCTCCGCTTTTATATACCATTTATGCCGACGCTTCCCGACAAACTCGGTCAAGTAAGTCTCTATCGATGCCCTCATTCCCTACAACATGTCACACTAGCCTCAACGGTAGAGATCTCCTACCAATGACAACCAGGACAATTCTCTCACATGCTTTATTATTGAGGCATGATGTTGAATTTCTGGTCTCCTGCGGACTACATAGCTATTAAATTTATAGATGAGCCTGAGCAACAAGCTTTTCTGTGGTACCGCCCAAAGCAAAGTCGTTCCTGTTCCTTCTACTCCTGACTTTGTCGGCGTCATCATTGGTGATGCCACGCGCCTCCACGGCTGGATTATACCCCAGCCATGAAGTCCTCGAAATCTCGTCATTGCTTACCTTGGAGTTCGCCTTACCATCAGCTCGTTTATACACATTGATAACAACGGCGCCTCCGAGACCGAGGTTGTGCTGCAGCGCTACATTGGCCCCATCGACGAGTCGATTGTTGGCCCATCCACGCAGCTGCCAGCTCAGCTCAGCACACTGCGCCAGGCCAGTCGCGCCAATAGGATGACCTTTGGAGATGAGACCCCCGGAGGGATTCACAACCATCTTGCCCCCATATGTGATGTCGCCCCTTCGAACCATTTCATGAGCTTTGCCAGGCTCGCAGAATTCTAGTGCATCCAAGAGCACCAGCTCGTTCGTCGAGAAGCAGTCGTGCAGCTCGCATACCTTAATTTCACCCGGCTTGACTCCCGCCTCTCTCAATGCAGCCCGAGCCGCCTTTTGCGTCATATCATAGCCAACAAGCTCGATAGCGCTCGTCCCGAAGGCCTTCGGGGAGTCAGTCGAGAATGCTTGTCCGGCCATCAGGATGGCCTGGCTCTTGAGATGCGGTCGGGCATCTAAGAACCTCTGCGAGACAATGACTGCAGCAGCAGAGCCATCACTGGTCGGGCTACACTGTAGCTTGGTCAACGGATGGTAGATAGTGGGTGACTCCTCGACTTCTTTCAACGTGTATTTCTGTCGAAACTGAGCATAAGGATTGCGCTGGGAGTGCTCATGCGAGATGCGACCAATTTCAGCAAAGTCTGATGCTTTTGCTCCGTACCTGTGAGAAAACATATGATCAGCATCCAAAGCTATTCACAGGAAGTGCAGTAATCTTGGAGATGGGAGCTTATTTACCTCTCCATATACTCTCTACCCGCGTTACCAAAGTACTGCGCGGTCAATGGAGAATTCTTATCGACACCGCAAAGGTCTCCCATCTTGGCTGCAAAGCGCCCGCTGGAACTAGGCCGATCATCCCAGACACTTTTGAGACTTCCAGGCTTCATCTTCTCGAACCCAACAACAAGAACACAGTCGACAGCGCCGCTCCGCACGAGGTTACGGGCCAGGTATAACCCGACCGAGCCGGTGGCGCAGGCATTGGAGGTGTTGATGATGGGGATGGTAGACATGCCGAATTGATAGAAGACGCGCTGACCCGATGTCGAATCACCATATGCGAAACACGCAACACCATGCTGGACATCATCATAATTGATTTGAGCATCCAACATGGCCTTGATACCAGCCTCGTAGCCCATTTCCGGATACTCACGCAAGCCACGAGGCTTGATGAACTTGGTCATGCCCACGCCCAGCACGTAGGCTGAACTTCCAGAGCCTGAAGTCGCCATGGTGACAAATTCTCAAGAGCAAATTTACAGATGACAAGAAAAGTGCTGTCCAAAAGAAATGAGCTTGAGACGAGCAATCAGTATAGTGTTGTCGTCGTTTAAAGACTGCAAGTCAGGAAAACGCGCGGCTGATGTGCCATTCGTTATGGTACACGCCAGACTCAATTGTTGATTACTAGCCGGAATTACCGCCACACTGACGTGGGTTATATGCTACGACCGAGGTCCTTGGGGAGTAAGGGCCTGTCTCCTGCAGTCACTGATGTCCCCATATTTACATTATAACACGGATCTTTTGGCAAATGTAGTAATCCCCGGTGGCTCGGGGGGCTAACATTTGAAAGGCTCGTCGTCATCGTCTCCAATTCTAATCCTCAACCCTTTGAAATTTGCAAGACGCCATTGGGGATTGCTATGGAATTGTAATAGATAGGTGGTCTGAAATCTCATTGGACCTCGGTTTCTTCATCTGAGGCCACATTTCAAGTACAGACAAACGTCCAAAGTAACTTCCCGCTTTATGGTCATCAAATAGCGGCGTTTAGAATCATACCGCCTCATAATTCAATGATATTAAGGACAAACCTTTTTAATCATACATCAAATGATTTTTCTTTGCTTTGAGTTATCACGAGGTAGTTTGGTTGAGTTGTTGGTCGACGTGCCGTGTCCGAGGGCCGAGGGTTGTCTACAAAAGCTTGCCCCACTCATATTGTAAAGGCGTGTGCCCAAAAAAAGGTTCCAGCATCGTGACCATTCAACCTTAGAGACATCACAAGATTAGAACTATCGTCATACTGAAACGAGGACAAGAAGTGAAGACGGTCTCGGTCTGCTTCTCGTTCTAGACTGCGGGGAGTGGGAGTCCGAAGATCTTGATTGAGTGCATCGGACACTGATGCATAACATGAAACGGATGTACTGAAGCGTGGATTTGATGCAGCTTTCTCTTCAACTTACCTCAAGTCCAATAATTCTAGAAGCGAATAGATATCTTAGAAGTGGGAGAACGGTGCACAATATAGCTATCTCAAGTTGCACGATGCATCTCTTTACGCACATGGATTGAGTGGCAAACCGAGCCAAGCAAAAGTGCACTCTTCGATGCCTCAGTCAATCGATCTGACGACAACCCCTCATGTCACGTTTACCAAGGACAATTCCCGATGGAATCTTCCGTGAATCAAAAAGCTGGGTATGAGACTTGACAGGGGTTCGTCTGTTATTCCCATGAGGTCGAGGCAAACCTTGCCAGCCAGCAAGTAATATTGACCTCGGATAACACAACTTCCCAAACTAGCCTCAATTTTTGAACACTAGTGAATTGAAGCTCATCCCGCATGCCGCACTCACGTCTCTATAATCATTGTGTTTACGAAGTCATCGCTGAAGGTTTGATATTACCTCTTGGCGCAACTCGACCTATCACGACAGGATCACAAACTGCTGCATCAATCGCCTCGTGTAACAAACCGATTGCTTTCCACCATGTTGATGGGGTCGAAGTTCCCCGACATTGAATGTAAGCCCAGTCCGTTGCGAGCCCATGGGAGAGTGTGCTTGATCCGGCAAAAACGTTCTCAGTTCGGCACAATTGTTCTATTCACCAGCTCACTCTCGTCCAGATCCGACGGATTTGACCATCTGGGAATGGGCATTCGAAGATGCGAAATTCTCGCAGCTACATAATGTGCCGCGTAACCAAATCAGCGGCTACACTAATGCTGCGACTTCGGAAAGGCTCGACTTCTTCCAGGTGAAGGAGCACGCGACACACCTATCTACCGCATTGGTCAGGAAATTTGGGCTCAAGGAGCAAGAGACAGTAACCTTGCTTAGCCACAGTTCAATATGGTATCCGGTAGCCATGTTTGCTGTTCTCAGAGCAGGTACGTTTTCTAAGACCCGATATATCCCACTGATGTTGGCAAGAAGCTGACTTGAGAGTGACCCAGGTGGAAGAGTCAACGGCGCTTCTCCGGCGTATGGTGAGGCTGAAATGACAAGTTCTCTGAAGACGGCAAAAACCAAGTTTATTATGACAGTGTCCAGCTGTTTCAAGGTTGCCTCTGCAGCTGCGAAGGCAGCTGGGATCCCTAGCGAGCGCATCATTCTGCTAGAAGGAGAGATTGAGGGGTTCACGACGTTAAAAGAGCTCTTGGAGACCGGCCGGAATTATGGGACAAGCGGACAGACTCCCTTGTTCCGCGTACCCCGGGGGAAAACCAATGACATCTGCGGCTTCCTGACATTCAGTAGCGGGACAACTGGTCTGCCTAAAGCTGTAAGCACTGCCTTATCATGCTAAGCCATTCTATCCCTCAACGTCGCATGCTGTGATTGTTGCGTCCTAACTCTATTATAACGAACAACAGGTTATGCTATCACACAAGAATGTGATTGCCCAGTGTATCCAGCTCAGGGATGTGGCGTTGGCCGAGAAAAAGCGCCAATTGGCTTGTCTGCCTCTATTTCACAGTAAGCAGCAATCCGTGATTAACAACCGACGCTGGGTCTCGCGTATGTCAAGGTGATCGAGCACGCACTAATCCATTAATCGCCAGTTAGCGGGCTCGTTCGTTTCCTCATGTGGCCTATCGCGAGCAACGATGAATGTGTGATGCTTCCGCATTTCACCATGGAAGCATTCCTTGACGCTATCGTCAAATATCAAATTAGTGATCTCACTCTGGTGCCGTCAATTGTTATACGACTCATTCGGGACCCGATTGTTGACAGATACGATCTCTCGTCTGTGAAACGCATCGCGTGCGGTGCGGCACCACTCGGGCTCGAGGTTCTTGAGCTGCTGAGGAAGAAGATGCCCTGGACGGGATTTAGGCAAAGCTACGGGATGACGGAATCATGCTGCTGCCTCTCAACGCACCCACCTGAGTATTATGATTACAAATATGGCAGCAATGGAGGACTTCTTCTGGGCTCGACCACCGTCAAGGTTGTCGACGTTATCACAGGTAAGGAGCTGGGAGTAAACGAAACAGGCGAGATCCTTGCCAAAGGTCCACAAATCGCGATGGGTTACCTCGCCAACCCAAGGGAGACGGCAGAGACATTCGGTGCAGATGGCTTTCTACATACCGGAGATGTTGGGAAAATCGACGGCCAGGGTTTCATTCATATAGTCGACCGAATCAAGGAGATGATCAAGGTCAAGGGCCAGCAGGTGGCGCCAGCGGATCTGGAACATCTTTTGGTAGGCCACCCGAGCGTCGCCGATTCTGCCGTAATTGGGGTACCCGACGAGTATAGCGCCGAGCGACCGAAGGCATATATCGTGCTTAAGTCTGGTGTAAAGCCTAGCGACGGTCTCGGCAAGGAATTGATGGATTATATCAAAGAGAGACGGGTCCGATACAAGTGGGTGAAGGAGATCGAGTTCATATCTGAGATACCCAGAAATCCTAGCGGCAAGATTCTACGAAGGGTGCTCAAAGCAAGCAATGGCCCGACAGGACATGTTGTCAAGGATGTTTCGGTTCGAGCAAAGATATAAAACCCGCTGCCACATATCTAGTCATAATTACAGAGAATCACCTATCCATCAATTCTTGCATTGCACCTAGTTTGGAACTGTCCGAAAAATTGGCAGTATAAGCATATGCGCAACAATCTCACTTCAGCATCAAAAGAGCTACGTAAAACAGAAATAGTCGTCAGAGGGTACCACAAATATGCCCTAATAGACATCTGTCCGCGTAGAATCAGTACCATCGCAAGATTTTAGCGGAGTGGCGCAATTGTGTGCATATGTCCCATGTTCCCGAGGTAGCCAGACGCCTCGGTAACATCTCGCCGAACGACGAAAACTACGGTCCATTTGTGTTAGTTCCTTATCATCGTTTCGAAATTCCCGGCTGACAACGTGAATTTATCTATGTCACCACGTGGTATAAGCGTAATTTATATTATTTTTCTAAACCTTACAACGATCTGACAATCAAGATGTCCTTCGCCGGAGAAACTGCATACATCACGGGTGAGCTGAACTCGCTTGAGTAACCTTTCGCGAGTATATTACGGGCGATTAACTGTAATTCTAGGCGGTGCTAGTGGTATTGCCCGTTCTCTGGCTACCGATCTTGTTGGTAAAGGGTGAGGATGAATACGCCATGCGCCCGATGAGTCGGCCCTAAAAGAAACACTGCTGACGCTGGTGAAATGCCCCGTAGCATGAAAATCTTTATCGCCGATCGTAACCTCGAGGGTGCTGAGCAAGTTGCCAAGGAGCTTAATGCCGGTCTCAGTGGTCAAGCTGCCTGGCCAGTTCAGGTCGACGTGGCAGATTGGGAGTCGCAACGAAAAGGGTTCGAAGCTGCCGTGGCAAAGCTTGGTCGTATTGACTACGTCTTCCCGATTGCTGGGATTTCTGAATTGCCATGGCTCCCGAAACAGGCGTCAACCGAGTTCGCTGGGTTCCAGAAGCCCAACTTGGCAGTATTTGAAGTCAATGCCTATGGGCCACTATACACGTCAGCTCTGGCAATCCAGCATTTCCGACGCCAAGAACCCAACAAGTATGGCTTTCGGGGCAAGAGTACGTTCTACACTGTCTTGAAACCTGATTCGCAAAGCGCATAGTATGCCGGGTAAAGCTGACATGCTTTCATCCACATAGTCGTCATAGTATCCTCAGCATGCGGTTTCTACTACATCCCGACGTTACCAATTTACACGGCTGCAAAGCAGTAAGTTCACTTATAAATGGATTCTGCAAAGTAAACTGATCAGTTTCAACCAGCGGCATCGTCGGATTCACTCGTGCCTTCGGCAGTTACTTGCCCCGGGAATCAATTACACTCAACACACTGTGTCCTACCCTTGTCGAGACCGGTATCTCAACTGGGACTTTCTATGACCAAGCTAGAGAAAAAGGTCTGCTGATCACCTTGGGATCTCTGACAAAGGCTTTTGAGCATCTCATGGGAAAGAGTGATGTCTCTGGCCAGGCAATCGAGATTCTGCCTGGGAATGAAGGGTTCAGAGTTAAGGAGATCCCCGAGTTCACAAACAATATAGCCATGGAGAGTATAAAGATGGCCACAGATCCAGAGCATAGGGCATGGAAGTTGCATGCACCTGTAAACGCGTAGGCCTGGATCGCTTGACTTTGAAGGTAGATACTACTTAGGGGAAATTGAATATTATCTATACAAATTGTCCAAGGTTAATAGAAGTCTGCTGATGGAACTTTTGGAGGTTTAGAGTAGTGATAAATGGTTGGCCCGTGAAAGGTTAGCCAGATCAGATGTCAACAGCCATGACATATCAGTTTCACGTAAAAGGCCAAGAAATCGAAGAGAGTCAAGTTGCTGAAAGTCCGCCGTCTTTGATGTTCAGCCTGTCAGCTATTTCATAAAGTGGAAATGGCCCTAAGTCTATTTACAAAAGCCTGTTTGACCACATGAGACTCGGGAGACCACCGCTGGAACGCATGGATCACACCCGGGTACACATGGAATTCTGTTTGGATCCCGGCCGCGAGAAACCTGTTGGCATATGCAACATTCTCCTGGAGGAATATGTCCAACTGGCCCACATCCAAATATAAGTCAGGAAGACCGCTGACATCGGTTTCTCGGGCGGGCGAGGCGAACGGTGAAACATGATTGCTGCTGTAGGCATCACCCAGGTACGCTTGCCATCCCGTCAAGACGTCATTGATGCTGAAGATTGCCAGGCCGCCCGAGCGGTCAACATCTGTCCGATCGTCTAGCATGGGATATATGAGGATCTGTTTAGCCAACGGCGGAGACAGTTTGCGGTCTCGAGCAATCAGTGTCAACCCAGCAGCAAGGCCGCCGCCCGCACTCTCTCCCATGACGGCTATCCGATTCAAGTCAATACCTAGAGTAGCTGCGTGAGAGTGGAGGTACTGTAGTGCAGTCCAACAGTCCTCCACCGGCGTAGGGAACGGGTTTTCTGGTGCCCATCTGTAGTCGACCGAGAAGAATGGCACGCCAGACTCCCGGACAAAGGCTACCAAAGAGCCTAAGACATTGCGTGCATTCACAGCTATAAACCCTCCGCCGTGAATGTGTAGGACTGCTGGCGTAAGTTGACCCGCTCGGGTTGCCTTCTTTTTGGATGAAAGTTGAAAGACTTCAATCTCGTAGCCGTCAGGTGCCGGAACTTTGTGTACCTGCAGCTCAAGATCTTCGGGCACCGTAAACGAGTAGCGCACGAACAATGCCTCGAACCTGCTTCTCCTGGTCGCCACATCCCCAACCGGGAGCACTTCACCCTGCCCTTCCAAGCTTGGGCCCGCCATCGCACGCCATTCGGGGTCGTAACGTAAGGACATTGTGAATAGCAGCTCGTCTCTGCAAAATTTGGTAATTTCCGACTGAGGAGTAGTCTCAAGTCGCTGTGTGCATAGGTCTCTGGAGGTGGGGTTCATTTGACTACACAAGCCCCTAGCGCCTAGAAATTACGTCCTACGGGTTACATAGAGGTATTATTCAGTGGCAGAAAAGACGCGTCCGAGGCCCGAACTTTTGTTGTCCTCGGGAACGCCACGCTTTCCGGATACTCTTGGAAAACTGCTGCACACACGTCTGATAAGCCGCGCGAAAATGAACGCTGAAGTATTTGAGAGAATTAACTTTCGGTGATAGATCGGCTAAAGTGTGCCCTACTATAGTACATAGCTTTACTTGCCAGCTTATTGAGAAGGTTCCGAACCATCCACTAACACGGATTACATGATACCTTTGCCAGTCGTATCGAACATCACGATCGCCGAAAACCAAAGTCCGGTTGGTTCTGAGATAGTCAATATCCCAGTATTGGTGTTCTTTTCTTTTTTTGGTTGACCTGAGTGACTTGCTCTATATCTTGGCCTGTTTCGGCGTAGATTGTGTCTTCTCCTCCCCGGTCGTCTTGTATCCAAATAGATACGCCGCGACCTTGCGAATCTGCACCTCTTCGCTGCCTTCAGTGATCCTATATCGCCGGAAATGACGCCAAATGTGCTCAAAAGGGTAGTGTCTTGAGTAACCATCACCGCCGTGGATCTGCATAGCCCGATCGGCAGACTGGCAGGCCAGACGAGCCGCGTAGTAGTTGCACATCCCAATCTTGTGCCCAAGCTGCCTCTCAATCGCGACCCAAGGTGCCTTTCCAGTCGCTTTGGCCTCTGCGTGGACCCGATCCATTTCCACGGCTGTTCGTAGAATCAGCAACCTCAACATTTCCACTTGTGTCGAGAGCTCTACCAGCGGCCACTGGATAGCCTGGTTCCTGGACAAAGGCTTTCCAAACACATGACGCCTATTGGCGTACTCGACGCTACGGTCAATACAGTATCTCGCTGCGCCACAACTCGCAGCCGCCTGGCGGATTCTGTTTTCGTGGGTGAAAGACTGCGCGATCGCGAGGCCGTTGTCGATGGGACCCAGGATAGCAGACGTTGGCACGCAGACTTTATTGAGCGCGACCGTTGCGTGGTCGGTGGGCATGTTGAGTGTCCATTGGTATGAGACGACCTCCACGCCGGGCGTGTCTTGCGGCACGAGAAAGGCAGTGATTCCCTTTGCGTCACCCGCCTTTCCGGAAGTACGCGCAAAAATAGTCAAGTAGCTTGCATGGTGCATGCCCGACTGCCATTTCTTGTTGCCGTTGATTTCGTATCCAGGCTCGCCCGAGGGCAGGGTAATGCGACGAGCGACCGTGTCCATATGAGTGGCGTCTGAGCCATGGTGAACCTCGGTCAAGCCAAAGGTGGCTTTCACATCGCCACGGATGGCAGCGGGAATGAGCGTATCCTTTTGCTCTTGAGTGCCGTAGTGGTATATCAGAATGATAAAGGGAATGTTGCCTACAACACTATGCTCGCTTTGTAGGTCGTTGGCTAAGCTGACACCTCCACCATAGACAGGATGGGAGGTAAGGTGGTACCGAACGGCGCACATGTGCAGATTAAGCGAAGCACTCCCAGAACCGCCGTACTCTTGAGGTACTGCGAAACGGTAGAAGCCAGCGTCATCTGCGAGCCTCTTGGTCTTACGCAACAGGATCTCCCAATCCTTTGCCGGTAGGCCATTGTTATCCCATTGTGTCCGTGATGCTTCGCGGCGGTAGTCAAAGAAGCGGTTGTTGTCGTTTTCGCGCTGAAGAGGCAAGACAGTCTTCTCTATGAAGGCATCTATACGCGATAGGAAGTCCTGTACATCTGCAGGCAGCTCGAAATTCATTGGAGCGCTGTGGTCTTCGGAAATTAGAGTCTCCTAACGTGGGACAAGAAGTAAAGCTGGGCGTCGCAGCACAGCTCTGGGGTCGGTGTTCAATAAGATGCGAAGCTATAACTACCTTTCCAAATTCATAAAGCCAAACAACAAAAAAATAAATAAAATTAAGACGAACGTGTCACTGGTATGTTGGATGCATTCGGGGCGATTTGTGCCATCTGGCTGTCACCTGGACCGGGGCGTGTTGGTGACCGAGGACTTTCGGCAGACCCGGTAATTGACCACTAGCAGCCTCGCCTTGCAGCACCCCAGTCATGAGCTTCCGGTTTTGGCACCCCTTGAGACCATTTGTTCCTTGTTTGATTTGGGATCGTATTACCTTAGCCATGTTGTTTGTGCCTAATCGTGGAAGTACTGGTACAAGTTGGTGTCAATTCAATGGTAACGTGTCTTCGCGACGGCATCTTCTCTACCAGCATTAAAAGAACAAATTCGCGCCACAGTTAGGGCGACCAGCGGTCTCGCTTCGGAATGGAGTCGCGCACCGCAACCAAGACGGGCGGTCGGCATGACCTTGACGATGAGGCTTTGGGCAACTATCTCATCCGGTCAGGTACCATGCCTGGTCTCAAACTACCACTTGTAACAACGAAAATTGGCTACGGACAGAGCAATCCTACCTATTTTGTTGATGACGCAGCGTAAGTTAAATCAGTGCACACACCAATTGAGCCAGGATCTAACTAACATCAACCGATTCTATTAGAGGGACAAGATTCATCCTGAGAAAGAAGCCACAAGGAAATGCGATCAGCCCGGTGGCGCATCAGATTGATCGGGAGTTCAGAGTCCTCAAAGCACTTGGCTCCGTTGCAGGCTTCCCTGTACCCGGGGCCTATACCTTATGTATGGACAATTCCGTGATCGGATCTCACTTCTATGTAAGTCTCTTTTATGGGAGTGATTGCAATGTCTGCGGTGGGGGATGATGCTAATCGCAACCAAATCTAGACCATGGAGTTCGTCAAAGGTAGAATTATCACAGACGTAGATATGAAGGAGCTGTCACCGGCCGATAGACGAAAAGCGTAAGTCGACACTATGGTTATCAAGCTACCCTCTCATCCGTAATCACGTCGTTAAGATCTAACGAATCTATGGACGTAGTTGGTTTTCCGCCGTTGAAACGCTTGCGTGGCTCCATTCCCTCGACCCTGATGCAATCGGACTCGAAGGCTACGGCAAGAAGCATGGCTTCTATGCTCGTCACTGCAACACTTGGAGCCGCATAGAAGCTCAACAAGCTGCAGTGAAGAACCCGGATAGCGGTCAGGCTCTTGGTCGTGCGCATGAAAATTACGACGAAGTTATGGACTACATCAGGGCTAACTTGCCCGGTGAGCGGTCCGCAATTGTCCATGGAGACTTCAAGTTTGACAATCTGGTGCGTGAGCCCGGTGGAATCTATGTGCCGATACCTAATCAGCATGCTCCAGATTTTGCATCCTACCGAGCCCAGGGTCATAGCCATCATTGATTGGGAATTGTCAACAATTGGTCACCCTCTAATGGACCTCGTATTCTTTTCTAGTCCATTCTTACACGATTACATAAAGATTGGAAACCAAAACACAAATTCCCCATCACAAGAGTCGCCATACAAACCAGAAAATCGGAAGAATTCCGGGATGCCAGATCCACAGGAGCTCCTGGACCGTTATGCAAAGATAGTAGGCTTCGATATTCGTAAGGATGGCCAAGGCAAGGACTGGGAGGTCGGTGTCATTTTTCAGTTCATCAGAAGCGGAACAATCAGCCATGGTATCCAGGCACGGTCACTCAGCGGCCAAGCTAGCAGTGAGTTCAGTCATCTTTATTTTGGAAAGACGAAAGCATCGCTGGAGGCGGCTCTCCGACGTGTGAGGGAGTTGAAAGAAAAAGAGACTAGAAAGTACAAACTGTGATTCATCACGTTCTTGATTAAAACACTTTTTACAACGACGCATAAACAACCACGCATATGAAGAAGTACAATTTCTATTCTATATGACGGCCTAAATTTGGAAAGATGGTAAGAAAAACAGACGATGAACCATCGCAGGTGAACATATCAATACCTTGCATGTCTCAAAACTAGGTAATATAGCATTTTCTTTGTTGTTACTTCATCTTACTGCGAATAAAGGCAGCAGCTTGAGAGAGTGTGGTGTCTGCTTCTGCCGCATTTCCGGCCAGACACACCCAAATATGCTGCATATTCTCAGGTGTCTCTAACTGCACATCAATTCCCGCTTCCTTTGCATTCTTTGCCAAAGTGACCGCGTCACTCTCCAAAATATCGGAGGTTCCAGTCGCCAGGTACATTGGGGGTAGCCCTCTAAGGTCGGTACGGAGTACATCCACGAGTGGATGATCCAGAGAGGCGTTGCCTAGATACCCTGCAATTACACCCGGTAGAGCATCAGGGACGACAAGAACATCTTTGCCAATGTTCTTCTGGTAGCTTTCTCCAGATACTCGCATGTCAAGCCAGGCAGAAAAGGCTGCGATGACTGCTGGCATGGGTAAGCCTTGCTCCCTAAGTGCAAGCGAAACAGACACAGTTAGGTTGCCGCCAGCGGAATCCCCAGCCAATGCTATGGATTTGTTTGAGATCCCACGGTCATTTAGTAGCCACTTGTATGTGTCTACCACATCATCAATCTGGGAGGGAAACTGATGCTCTGGTGCTCTACGATAATCAACGAGCAATGCGTATGCTCCGGCCTTCTTGGCGAGGTGTGCGGCTAGCTTCCGATGACTGGTAGGAGAGCCTGCTATGAAAGCTCCACCGTGTAGATAGATAATGACTCTGGAGGGCGAGGCTGCTATCGGCTTGCACCAGATGGCCGGTCGGACGGTTCCGGGGCATTTGACCTCTTCGTATGTTACATCTGTTGGCTCCGCGGCTAAGCTCCCGCACTCTTCCATAACGATCCGGTAGAGGCCTATATCGAGAGGTTCTTTCGAAATGTATGGCGTTAAAGCCTTCCAGAATCGCTCCATCTCCATGGCTGCTGGCTTATTCCCGGGTCGATTCGAGAGGTGGGCTCGGCTCAAGCGATACAGATGCAAAAATACTCAAAAGTAAAACGCTCTTTGACTCGCTCTTTAAGTCGTGAGTATTATCAGAATTTTTGAAATGGATTTGGTTTGCTTTTCCTTCGTTTTCGAGGAGGCTCTGCTTGAAAAATGAAGCCGAGGATGGGATGTCAATGCACTGTCGTGGAGAGAGGGCCCACCTCGGCTACACAATGTACACTCCATACAAGCGTCTCCGCATAGTCTGATCATACATACTTAGTTAATATTGAGAGAGAGCATTCTTCAAAAAGGGCCAGGGAATCGAATGTTTGTCAGGTCACCACATATCTGCGCGTGCAATCCCGTATTGCACTGCGACAGTCCAGCCTTGCACACAAGGCAATCCTGACCGGGCCGAGGCAACGTAATCAAGTAAACATGTTGATATACTAAGCAACCTGTATGTCCATGACCGTGCTTAGTAGTCTAAAATACAGCCAAACGAGAATCTCACCAGTAGGCCAATTCTCTACCCTGCGGGTTATATTCTCTTATTGAGCCTTCGCTACAGAACATAATTAAACCCCCTTCCTTATCCCTAAAACCTGGCACTAGGAAATTGATCCCCTACCACCAGCCTAGCTTTAACTGGATACTTGTGAATAGTCTCAACATGGGTTCAGTGGAGATTCCGTCCGGCGATGGTACCGGGAAAGTTACGGAGGAGTTCCTCCGCTCGGCCATCGACAAATCCAATCTCAACGCTCTTCGCCTTGCGCTTCTCCAAGTTACCGGTGATCCGGAACTCGCCAAGATGCGTACGCGGCGACATGCTGTGCGTGGCGGGGCCATGTATACACATGTCCTAGCCGAGGAAGATGCCCCAGCACTCAAAGAGAAGGCTTTCGCCTATCTTTCCAAGCGCAAGCCCGGCGATCCCATTCCACCGCCGCCCACAAGAGAAGAGACCAGGAAGTTGGTGGACGTCTTCGGTGACCAGCTAATTGACGATCGCGAGTTCGAATACGACTTTGAAGAGCTGGCATTTACCGAGTTTCCTCGTAGTGCCGAATGGACGGACAAGAAACCCACAGAGGATAAGATTGCCAAGTTCAAGGTCATCGTGATTGGCGGTGGTATTAGCGGCATTGCTGCAGCCGTACAACTCAAGCGGCTCGGTATCAACTTTCAGGTTCTCGAGCGGCAGCACGACATTGGTGGCACCTGGCTGCTGAACACGTACCCTGATGCACGTGTTGACGTGTCTAGCTTTCTCTTCCAGTTCAAGTTTGTCAAAAACTATCACTGGTCTGAGTATTTTGCTACAGCTGGCGAGACCCAAAAGTATCTTGCTTACGTCGCCGAAAAGTATAAGGTCAAGGACCACTTCTTCTTCAATCGCGAAGTGGTCAGCTGCGTCTGGCATGAGGATGAGAGCGAGTGGGAGCTTACCATCAAGCATGCGAACGGCGATTCGGAAACTGTGAGATGCAATGCCGTTATCAGTGGTACAGGTCTCTTCGCTACACCGAATCTGCCCGACATCAAAGGCATCAAGGACTTCGAGGGTTCTATCTTCCACACTGCAAAATGGGACCATAAGGTAGATTATCTCAACAAGGACGTCGCGCTTCTCGGTACTGGCTCCACCGGTACTCAGCTCGCTTCTGCAGTTGCCGAGAAAGCCAAGTCTCTCACCGTGTATCAGCGCACTCCGAATTGGATTATGAACATGGAAGGATACCGAGCAAAGATTGACAACGCTGTTCGTTATGTGTTTGATAACATGCCTTATTACTGGAACTGGTTTTGCTATTCGGCACACGCTACGACTCAGCAGCTTCAATACCTGCAGAACTACGACAAAGAGTGGCAGGCCAAAGGAGGCATTATTAATGAACGCAATGATTTAGTGCGCAAGGCACTCGTCAACTACATCACTCAAAAGTCCGAGGGCATTCCCGGATTGAAAGAGAAGATCACTCCTCATTATGCGCCGTTAGTCCGCCGGCTGGTGGTGGACAATGGCTTCTATGACACGCTCAGACGCGACAATGTCGAGCTCGTGACTGAAAATATTGATACCTTCACCAAAACAGGCATCAAGACCAAGGATGGCGTGGAACGCCCCTTCGATGTCGTTGTTCTTGGAACTGGTTTCAAAACGTCTCAGTACTTCTGGCCATGTAAGTATGTCGGGCGCAACGGGGCGACGATGGAGGAGTTATGGAAGAAAGACGGGCCCCGATCATACCTCGGCATGACGATGCCGGGCTTTCCGAACTTTTTCATTCTCTATGGGCCCAACCATCAACCACGATCAGGCGCCTTCTACTCATGGGGCGAGATCTGGATGCGGTACATAAGCCAAATGATCATCCATCTTATTGAGAATGATAAAAAGTCGATCGACTGTCGCAAGGATGTATTTGACGACTACAACGCCAAGCTCGACGAGGCGTGCAAGGAACTCATCTGGGAATCCGAAGGCTCCTCATATTACGTAAACGAGCTCGGCCGTCAGAGTGTCAATGCACCCTGGCACACAGCCGACTATCATCGTATGGTGATTGAGCCCAACTTTGAGGATTTCGACATCCGATAAGCTTTTTGACGGGTGCCTATGACTGTGTGCGACGCTTGAACAGGTCCGCTAACTTTGCCTCCTCGCTATCCGCCTGGAATGGAAGCGAAAGATAAATACCACGAAGCTTTGGTGTCGATATAACGCTAGATATCTCTTTGCTTGTATTTCCGAGATATCCTATCTGAATGAGCCTGGAATTCTGTTGATGTGCATTACGATAGTCTACGTTATCTACATGGCTCCATCTCGCTTTATATCTCTAGAATCGCCGCCATATCAATTCCCGTTGAGTCCGCCGAGGGATAATCAAACGCGTATTGATTAGGTAGTCATGGTGTTTGAGCCTATATGTGTGTACTTGCCTCAACCTCGGGCAGGGTTTTCCAGTTCAAATTGAATTATATATGCTCATAACGCTTTACTTTCAATCCCAGTCTCAATCACAATATATAGTCAACATCATACACCCACATGGAAACTCTACCAAGACATCTTTTTCCTTTGTTTTTTTGTTTTGCGACGATTGAGAGAACCGATCCACTGCTCCGTTAAGCCCGGCATGCTCACCTAAAGCCTACAGGGTTTCTGTTTTACTCCTTGTAAAAGTTGTGAGCACACCAACCTCTCTTTTGTGAGGAGATAGAGGTCTCATAGATCATTCCAACCAATCTTATGAGCTCGCATACTACTCTGGCGCTCGTCACATGTTGTCAGATCACAAGACCACGGCCCTCGAGCTGGTCTGAAGAGGCCATATACTCAATACAGGGCTTGAGGATATAATAATGTGCGGTTACATTTACGAATCGGGGCAATTAACACTATCATAAAAGGGATATCGAGCATAAGACTGGATTTTTCTTTTCTCTTAATGCACATCTCTGCCTCTAATTTGTGATCAAATAGCTTGCATTGCTTTGAGTCTATTCTCATCAGCCCTCTTGGCAGCCGATATGTTCGGCGCCACAAGTTCAAACGCATGTGGCAAACCAGGATATACATGAAGTTCACACTCTATGTTCTCTGCTAAGAGCCTGGTCGCGTACTTGATGGTCTCGTCTCGGAATATGTCCAATCCTCCAACGTCCAAATAGGCTGGTGGCAAGCCTGCGACACTCTTTGCGCGAGCCGGTGCTGCATACGGAGACACATCAGCGTCAGGCTTTCCGGCTTTCTCCTGGCCCAGTAATGAAGTCCACGCGACTACGTTATCTGCGGTTTTCCAGAAAGCGAGAGGCTCGACAGCATCATTCGCCGTCATGTTTTGGTCGTCCAGCATTGGATATACCAAGATCTGCTTGGCGAGAGGAGGTTGCAGGTTTCTGTCACGAGCCATCAGTGCGACGCCGACAGCGAGGCCACCGCCAGCGCTTTGTCCGTAAAGAGCAATTCGTGTCGGGTCGATGTTGTGTGTGTGCGCGTTCTTCTGCAACCAGCAGAGAGCCGCATAGGAGTCCTCGACAAGAGTCGTCCCGGTATGTTCGGGCGCCAAGCGGTAGTCCACGGTGAAAATAGGAATTGACGTCTGGCTCACCAGGCGTGCTAGAGATTTGGCATACATCTGTGCCGTCCCCATGATTAATCCACCGCCATGGAAGTGCAGCATGGCTGGCCCAGGGGCCGCCGGTTCCGATTGTCTTTTGACCAACCCAAGTATTGGAACTTGATGGCCATCAGGTGCCTCTGCATGGTAGTATGTTTGTGTTACGTCTGGTTCATCGGGTATCTTGTCCAGAAATGCAGACACCCCAGCTTCCCGAACTTTCCGACTAGAAACAATGCTATTTAGTGTAAGTTCTTTTCTATTTGCGAGAGCAGGAATAAGTGGCTCGAAGCACTTGAGATACTCAGAATCATATTTCAAAGGCATGACAAATGGTCAACAGGGAAAAAAGCGTGTAGCTGTAGAGAAATGTTTTGATGCGTGCGGCTTTTGTGGCTCCCCGCTTGTTAAGCATTTATATAAAAGGATCATCGGCGTTGAGGAACGGGAGCCTATCCAGACTAACTATGCCAAAGATGTAACACGCCGGCTGAAATAGTTGCCGAGGGACTTAAAGTGATTCCATTTCCACGCATGCCCATTTACATGTTCTACAAATCAACAACCTACCAATCGAGTTTGAAGAGGCTAATTTCATAAGTTTGCTTCATCCATCAAGGATGAAAGCTCTCACGAAAATACCCCATATTCGTGCGCATTTGCAGGTACAATTTCTGGTAGTCCCGGGTGCGAGTGTCAACAGCATAGATTGATGATTTTGTGATACTTTGTGATACACAGTCACATGCATGCGCTTTAGAAGACGTAGGATACATACCGGCGATAGTGAGAGCCCACCCTCACCTCTCGTGCAGAACATTAGCCACTCGTCACGACCCCTCTTGTTCGTTCTCCGCGTGTCCGCGCCATTTGCGCAAACCTCCAAACTAGAGAAACTAGTGTGAATCCAGAAAGTCGCACATACTAGTGGTACGATTGAAAAATACAAGTCGATTCAGTGGGCACATGTTCAGTCCGTATATAAACAACTACGACCATCCCCTCGGGTATCTCTACCGTGTCACGCCGTCCTCGGCAACCCTTGCCATCATGATGTTACCGAGGAGAGGCTGTGATATGGCAGGACGCTTGATGAGGAGTTAAGCTGATAAGTGCTATCTTTCAAATCTAATGAGGATAAAATAATATGTAAAGCATGCATAGCATCGATCCAGGGCCCTGGCTTTGGCCAATGCATTCGGTCAATGCTTTGTCTTTTACAAATTAGAAGCCCATAATACCGACTTGCAAGACAGTCAGCCATGGGTTCGGTACCAGTGATCAATGGTATTCGCGGGTCTTCAGACCAGACCAAGCCTGCACAGTCGCTAGCTGAAATAGAAGAGAGATACAAGAACGAGCATGATAAGCGAATCCGTTCAGATGGACTCGCTCAATTTACTGATCTCTATTCTCTACCGAAATTTCGGCGCTTCAAGCAAGACCCCTGGGCTGATCCGTCCACCTACGACTCGCTTCCACGGGCACAGGATGGTGACAGGCGGGAAATTCTAATTATGGGAACCGGGATCGCCGCTCTTGTCTTCGCTGTTCGACTTCTCGATGCTGGATTCAAAGCCGAAGATATGCAATTCGTTGACACTTCTGCTGGCTTTGGCGGTACCTGGTACTGGAACCGATATCCCGGTCTCATGTGCGATGTCGAAAGCTACATCTACATGCCGCTGCTCGAAGAGACCGGCTACATTCCCAAGAACAAATACGCATCCGGCACTGAGCTTAGAGAACAGTCCGAGCGTATCGCCAAGCAGTACGGACTATCTGATCACACTTGGTTTCGGACACGAATGCTTGATTCAGTGTGGGATGATGATGCCAAAGAGTGGGTTTCGAGGCTCTCGGAGCAGCTCAGCGACGGCCAAGAGCGTGAGCCCGTTACTGTGCGGTCACGTTTTGTCATCCTTACTACTGGGTTGATGCTGATTCCCCAAATCCCCCAAATCAAAGGCGTGGAAAAGTTTGACGGAGAATGTTTCCATGCGGCTCGGTGGGATTACAATGTCACTGGTGGCACTCCGCAAGACCCTTCGTTAGTCAACCTGAGAGGTAAAAAGGTTGGCATCATTGGAACCGGAGCATCTGCGGTGCAGGTTGTGCCAGAGCTCGCAAAGTGGGTGGATCAGCTGTATGTCTTTCAAAGGACACCCTCAGCCGTCGACACACGAGGAAATCGACCCACAGATGTGGAACGATTCAAGACCGAAATTGGCAACAAACCTGGCTGGTGGGCAGCTCGGTGTCAGAACTTTGCTGCTTTCGTCAACAACAGTGATCCCAAGCCCGAGGTCGACCTAGTTCATGATGGCTGGACCACCATGCTGTCGTATAGTGCACTTATCGGCACCACCGCCCATAAACCTAAGACTCCGGAGGAAATACAAGAGTACTATAAGTACCTTCACGAACTCGACTTGGAGCGACAGAGCAAAATACGAGATCGTGTTGATGTTATTGTTAAGGACCCTACCGTTGCAGCCAAACTGAAGCCATGGTACGCCGGATTCTGTAAGCGGCCTTGCTTTCACGATGAATATCTGCAAAGTTTCAACAAGCCCAACGTGCAACTCGTCGATACGGACGGAAGGGGTATTGACGAGATCACCGAGACGGGGCTCGTGGTTAAAGGTACATCTTACAACGTCGACGTACTTATCCTCGCAACGGGCTACAAGAGCCCGTTCCTCTTCAGCCCTCCCGGAAGAGTGGGAGTTGATGTTATCGGCCGCGACGGTGTTGATCTAGACAAGAAGTGGACAAACGCCGTCACGACGCTGCACGGCTTAATGAGTCACGATTTCCCCAATCTGTTTTGGCCAGGTTTCATTCAAGCCGGCGGAAATCCAAACTATACCTACACTATCAATCAGGGCGCGCTTCAAGTGGCCCACATCATGGCAGCTGGTGTAAAGAAATCGATCTCAACCACTCCTTCCAACTCAACTTACAGGCACAACTTCACGGTGGAAGCAACGGCAGAGGGCGAGGAAAATTGGTCACAGGCAGTGGCATCGCACGCATTCATGCTGGGAGCCACGGCAGGCTGTACTCCTAGCTACATGAACGCTGAGGGAGAGCTTGAGGGACTTACTGATCCTGTACAGCTTGCGAAGACGGCCCGTAGTGCGACCTGGGGTAAGGGACAGGCGGACTTTGACAAGGTTCTCGTGGAGTGGCGGAAGAAGGGCAATTTCGAAGGTGTAGACATAAAGAGCGTCTCAGACTAATGGCATATATTACATCAATAGCGGGAGACAATGTATTTCATATTATGTTAGTCTATCCATTCATCGATACTACTGTCATTACTAGAGAATCTCCGTGGCCGCACCGCAAGCGCAGTGAAGTACAGCTTGGAAGATTAATCCTCCAGAGACCAGAGGACCTCCACCATCGCGTTAACGCTAAAGAAACGCCAAGATGATTGGCTATTAGACTAGCATCTCGGCCTCGGCTAGCTGGGTCCGATGGTCAGGAGGCATCCTCGATCTTTGAGTAGTCACCCCTTAGTGTAACCTTTATTCAACACCCTCGGTCTCTCGAGACATAGACGTTGAATGGTTTCTTCGTTGATACGCTTGCGTGGCAAATGCCGCATTCAGTACATTATCCAGCCACTTGAAGGGCAGATACGACCCGTATAACCAAGGTCTTTCATGAAGAGACGCGAAACAATTCATGATATAAGTGTTTTCAATCCTTAGGTGTGTCATTCACGGAATGAAAAATATAGAACCCTTGCAAAGCTTCTTCTGTCGTGCCTATCAATTGGCGCATCCCTTCGGATCTCACTGCTTCCTCCAGCAGCCTAGCCACCAATCAATCTTTTAGTCCATCAAAATGGCCTACTACGAGAGCATCACCAGGGAGTTCATCTGGGACAACACGCCACTACTTATTTCGGCTGGATTTAGCTTCCTAATCGGCTACCTGCAGTATTTCTACGGGATCAAGCTGATGTTGACTGACGGAAGGGGCCCGTTCCCGATCTGGATGCACATCTTTTACCTTGCCCACGACTCGGCATTCAGCTACATACTCGGACGCGCCGCCCCTCACTATGATAACCACTTCTTCCTTCGTGGAAGTTCGATAGCCTACGCTATATGGAGCATCCTCGAGATCTTTTGCATTTACCACGCTATCAGATACCATCGGCGTGAGAATTTCTCGCCTGCTTTGGGCGAGAGGAGTGTCTCTTTAGGCACTGTCCTTCAATACACAATCTTCATGCAGGCTGCAATGTATTGTGTCGTCATCTTGCTTATCGACATGCTGGGAGAGGGATGCTCGATGCAATGGGGCTGCCTGACCAATGTCCTCATGATCGTGGGACCCACACACGACTATATCCGTCGCGGGTCAAACGACGGGCTGGCGGTCGGCTTCTGTGTCGTCAATGTCTTCTGCGCCATCTGGACATTTGCGCCATTTGGCATGTTTGTTCGGACCCTGCCGGAGGTTTTCGAGACAAGTACCTACTACAATATCGGCTGCATCTTATTCGTCTATTCCCTGTGGCTTCTGAGCATCGTTGCGACAAATCCGCCTAAAACTGGCACTGTGTCAAAACGCATTGCTGGTAACAAGTCAGCTTAGCGTGTCGTTACCGGCCAAGTACCAGGCTATGATTGGTGGTGTGGTAGGCGGCTTGAACGGGATTGCTCTTTTCGGTTTGGCGTAATGAGAGGCATGCAAGGATTAGGGTTACCGAGGGCTTCAATGGGCTACATGCCCTCGGCTAAGTTGCACTTTCAACTACATTCCATCTACACGGATCGCTAGAGGAGTGGCACGTGGCAGCAACGAAAATGACAATCCATGATTGTACTATTTGATAGCATCGTAGGATAATGGGATGTGTTCGTAGATCTGTCTAACTTTCCGTGACCGATGCCCTGTATACCAGTACCCTCCTAACAGATCTGACTAACATGATTATTGGACACTACATGTCGCTGGTCTCGGTCAAACACTCGGCCAGTGTTAGCAGCGCCGTCGTCCGTAAACACCTGTATCATAGGAGTTTGCCGCGATTGTCATTAGCCTCCTCCTACTCAACATCAACGACTCAGGGCCGTGACGTTCGAATTATCGAGGTCGGACCGAGAGACGGGCTGCAAAACATCAAGCAGCTGGTACCCAAGGAGGTCAAGATCGAGTTGATCCAGCGACTCGCGGAGACTGGATTGCGCGACATTGAAGCCACCTCTTTCGTGTCTCCCAAATGGGTTCCCCAGCTTGCAGACGGACATGAAGTGTTGCAAGAATCGCTGCGCTTCGCTCAATCTCAGACTGGCTCGGCTGGACTGAATTTTCCCGTACTAGCACCCAATGCCAAAGGGTTGCAAAATGCCAACGCTGCTGGGGCAAAAGAGATTGTGGTGTTTGCGTCTGTCACCGAGGCATTCAGTAAAGCCAATCAGAATTGCACCGTCGATGAGGCCATCAGACAGGCTAGAGCCGTGACGAAAGAAGCTCTTGCACTCGGTATCAAGGTCCGAGGGTTCGTCATAAGCCCCGTATCCAGGTGTTCTTGAGAAGATTGCAAACTAAAAAATGTTTCTGCAGTGTTATTTCGTGCATTTTCTCAGATCCCTTCTCTGGACCAACGGCACCTGAAGATGTTCTACCGGTGGTACAACAGTTCTTAGACATGGGCTGCTATGAGGTGGGACTTGGAGACACTTTAGGCATCGGAACACCGAAGAACACGCAGGATTTGTTGGATGTGCTCCTCCGCGAAGTCCCTGCTGATAGGCTCGCCGGCCATTTTCATGATACATATGGCCAAGGCGTTGCGAATGTGTACCGAGCCTACGAAAAGGGAATTCGAACCTTTGACAGCAGTGTCGCTGGCCTAGGCGGCTGTCCCTATGCCCCGGGCGCCCGGGGCAACGTTGCCACGGAGGATGTGATTTACACTCTTGAGAACTCTGGCATCAATACCGGGGTGGACTTGGATAAGTTGATCACTGTAGGGCGTTGGATCTCGGATCAGATCGGTATTCCCTACGGGAGCAGGGTTGGTGCCGCTCTCACTTCTAAGAGAGCACAAAATCTACGCTCATCGTCCTCAGAAAAAGAAAAAACAGAGAATTCAACCGACAAAAGGGCTGCAAGATCATGGGAGGTGGTAAAGGACACCGGAGAATACCGCGTCGCTCGCTCAGGAACCGCGTTGAAAGTCACATTGACGCGGCCCAAGAATGGCAACTCCATGACTGATGCCATGCTCGAAGGACTCACCGACTTGTTCAGAAGCCTACATAAAGACCCCCTGGCGTATCACGTAATTCTAGAAGCCGAGGGCAAGTATTTTTGCACAGGCATGGATCTCAGCGGGGGAACCAATACAACTGATATGTCGGGCGAGGAAAACTATTACCAGAAGGTCGCCGCTCTGTTCGAAGCGATCGATCACGCACCACAGACCACCATCGCCCTCATTAACGGACCGTGCTTCGGAGGCGGAGTCGGATTGACGTTCGCGTGTGATGTGCGATTGGTATCTCCAAAAGCCTGCTGGACCCTCAGCGAAGTCAAGATAGGGGTCAGCCCGGCTGTCATCTCCAAGTTCCTGGTGCGGGAATGGGGACCTTCGACAGCACGCGAAGGGATGCTGTCTGGAAGAGAGATTACACCCGAGGAACTCTGGCGCATCGGCGCTGTCCACGCAATTACTGCTGAGGGCGAGTCGTTAGCCTCCAAGCTCGACAATTATCTGGACCAGCTGGAGAAGGCTGCACCACGGTCGGCAGCCGTCAACAAAGAGCTGGCTCGGCGCGCGTGGCTCGAGCCAGGGAGCCCAGATCAGGCCGCGCTTGTCGAAAAAGCTTTCCACACAATGATGGCTGATGGCGGGGAAGGGCAGCACGGAATCCAGCAGTTCCGAAACAAGAATAAGAGTTTTAGTTGGCGGGAGTTCTGGAATGGGCGGAATCCGTTCGAGAACCCAATCTACAAGAAACCCGCGGAGTGAGTGATCCGCATTCGAACATGCTACACTTCCACCCATACCTAGTGAATACTCGTGGGGAAAGGACCGGTAGCGGCGACATGCCAAGTCGACGATGTTAAAAAGGCACGGTACCTTTGTAAACTCTAGGTCGAATCAACGGTGGAGAGGGAAACTAGAGACTGTTTTCATATCGTCTAGGTCAAGTGATCAGGATTGCAGGGATTTCCTGTCTTGGGCTTGTGAGAACAATGCACCCTGGAGATACATTGAATAAACTTGTTAATGACCCTCTTGAACATCAGTTAGTTTTCCCGGAGGAGTGTTGAGGCTAGAAGCACTAAACTAAATGAAGATAAGATCAGAAGGCTACACTAATCTAACCGACCACTGACCACTATTCTGGAGCTTCTTTCTGGAGCCTGAAATGAGTTGCTGCATATCATCCATGAATTTGTTTCTTACAACAGTTATATCACATTATCTTTGAAACGTTGCCGATACACCATAAACTTCTTTTCCATATCCACTTTACTAAGAGGTTGTAGCGGCGGTGTTAGCACGAGAGGATAGCCGAGGAGAACTCGTGTGCGAGGTCGGAAATGTGCAAGACATCGTTTAATAATTTCGCTAATGATGGGTGCGCAACAAAGTACGAAATGTGAGCCTCCGCCCAAGGTAGGTTACAAATGCTGCGTTGTTCAAGTATCGTGTTGGCTACTGATGAAAGCCCAATGAAATTATACCACACCGTTTTGTCTGAGCTCATCTACTCCCTGGGCATCGATGCCGATACCGGCCAGCACCTCGGCCGTATGTTGTCCCAGCCTAGGAGGGGGGCTTCTCAGGCTCGTCACTGTCTTGCTAAACTTGACAGCTGGTCCAATGACTCGAATCTGGCCCGACTCGGCAGTGTCCGTTTCCATCTCGGCGATCATGCCCCGTGCCTGAGTCTGTGGGTGAGCAAATGTGCTCTGCATATTGTTGATCGGACCAAATGGTAGACTAGTCTGCTCAAACAGCTCAGTCCATTCATCCGCCGTCTTTTTGCTGAAAGCTGCGTTGAATATTGGACCAAGAAGCTCCCGATTCTCAACTCGTTTTGGGTTGGTTGCAAAGCGTTCATCCGTGATAAGAGCTTCCAAGCCTAGAAGCTTACAAAGGCCTGCAAACTGAGCATCGTTGGTGGCTCCACACACCAGATACCTGTCCTTTGTCTTGAACGCATCGTACGGCGCAATACTTGGGTGTTGACAGCCCCAGCGTTGGGCTTCAATGCCTAGATTGAGCCATGCTAGACCAACGTTGGTCAATAGGCTGACTTGTGTCTCGAACAAAGATGCGTCTACCCGCTGGCCAACTCCTCTGCGACTGCGAGCATGTAATGCAGCCAGAATAGCTCCGTGAAGGTATAGACCTGTCGACATGTCCACCATTCCGATGCCGGGTCGTACGGGGGGACCATTCCGTTCGCCTGTCACGTGAAGCAGGCCAGCTTCTGCACCGGCAATGGGATCGTAACCTCCTCTTTTCGCGTAGGGTCCGCTGGTTCCGTATCCTATATAGCACCCTTTGTGTCAGCAGGTGTCTTTTGACCGTTCTGGTATGCAAATGAAGTAAGATGAAGCGAAATGAACGTACCGGAAATGCTCGCATATATGAGCCCCGGATTCAGCTCTTTTAGGCAGTTATAACCAAGGCCTAAACGGTCCATAGTTCCCGGCTTGAAATTCTCGACACTTGAATCAGTCCTATGGTTAGCGAAAAGAGTTCATGACCTACCCCAAAAGAGCTCGTCCCAGGACTGTATGCGAATCAATACCTACAGTATGTCTGCTTTCTTTGCGAGTGCCTTGAGGATTTCTTTGCCTTTAGGCTTCTTGATATCTAGCGTAACCGACTTCTTGTTACGATTCACCGAAGAGAAGTAGTTGGAAATTGGGCCGGCGTCCTTCTTCCAAGTTGGGCCTTCCCCTTGCATTTTCCAGTGTCTGGTGTCATCCTAGCAGATGAAACAATTCTGATTGTCAGTCTTCCAATTTTGTCTGCATGACGAGCTTGTCCTCAGATCTCGTAGAACTCACACCAATGCCAATAGCTTCAATCTTGATGACCTCCGCACCGTAGTCCGCAAGGATTTGAGTGCAGAATGGCGCCTAGGAAAAGATTCAGATTTGATTCAAGTCCCGAAATCTCTTCAGCCAGGCAAGCAACCTACAGCTAAAACTCGGGACAAGTCCAAGACTTTTAATCCTTGTAAAGATCCTACAACGTCCTGCGGGCCTTCTTCCAGCGTTTTGGAAACAAAAGTTCTTGTGATGCACCCGTAATTGAATTTGTTGGACCCGCGAGCCAAATACCTTAGAGGACTCAAACCAGACATTCGTGCAGTCGGATGTATAGAGGAGCTCATCTTTGCGGTCGATAGAAGCCCTTGGCTAGAACAAATGACGCAGGAACAAGTAAAGCCTTCTGACTATTGTAGTTTTAGCTTGTCCTGCCACGACTTCTGTTAGTAGTCAGATCTTTGCCACAGAAACGCATATCAGAACGTGACATAGCATGTGGACCTAACTTAAGATAACCGCGGAATTTCTTATGCAAGCGGTGAAGCCCGCTAGACAGCCCCTGACATGCGGAATCTCACCCACCGAATACCTCGGGAAACACGTACACCTACTGAACGGCGACCATGAAGCGGTCCATAGCCGGTGTTTTTCTAAGAAACTCTAGTTCCGACTTAGAGATGACATACGCGATTAATTTGACCGGCGTTTTGCCCGAACTAGCCCACTTATCATGTTTTGGCTGACACTGAAACTGAATGCTCCTGAAACTGAATGCTCGCGACTCCATTACTGTAGGGTATCCCACCTGCAGCCCATGTGTATTTCTATGAAAAAAGTCACAAACATTATATGCAGCCAGCCTTCTAACACACGAAATAGCAAACTAAAAAATCTAATTGTTGTTTCCAGACCTCAAAGCGCCATTTCGCTGCAGATTTGAGTAAAAGTCTGCGATAGGTCCGAAGGAAACAAGATTACATCTTTAGTAACTCTTTGGCAGCCCCAACACCCGCTGCCCAATATAGTTCTTGATCATCTCTGCACTGACAGGTGCGATTCTGGAAAGTGTGGCTTCTCTCAAATAACGTTCGACGTGATATTCCTTTGCGTACCCCATACCTCCGTGTGACATGATGGCTCTCTCGGCAGCCTTGAATGCAGCTTCGGACGCTAGGAACTTGCCGGCATTGGCGTATTCGCCGTCTTCGTAGCCTTGGTCATAGAGACGCCCCGCAAGGTAGATCATGAGCCGAGCACCCTCCAGGTTCATCCAGCACTCGGCAAGAGGGTGTTGGATGCCCTGATATTTGCCAATGGGGTTCCCGAATACGACCCGCTCCGCGGTGTAATTGCAGGCACGGCGCAGAGCCGCATATCCAATTCCTAATGCTTCGGCACCGACAAGGACACGTTCGGCATTCATGCCATGCATGATCAATTTAAACCCGTCCCCCTCATTTCCAATCAGGTCTTGAGCAGGGACCTTCCAGTCCTCAAAGAATAAGCTGTTGGTATCGACTGCATTGCGGCCCATTTTCGGAATCTTAGTGATCTGTACGGCCGATCGGTCGAGATCTGTATAGAATAGAGAGAGTCCATGGCTGGGCTTCTTGCACTCTTCCAGCGGTGTGGTGCGTGCTAGTACGAGAATCTTCTCGGCAACTTGAGCGGTCGAGATAAAGACTTTAGAACCCTTCAGGATATAATGGTCACCATTCTTACATGCAAAGGACTGCAAGCGCAAAGTGTCTAGACCTGTATTAGGCTCAGTAACACCGAAGCACGCTCGTTCCTTGCCCTGGATAAGAGGCACCAGCCAACGTTCCTTCTGTTCTTTGGTGCCGAACTTGGCAACAGGCTCGAGGCCAAAGATATTCATGTGCACGGAAGAGGCGCCGTTCATGCCGGCTCCAGACTCAGCAATAGTCTGTAACATGACGGCAGCCTCTGATATGCCCAACGCCGAGCCGCCGTATTCCTCTGGGAGACAAATTCCAAGCCAGCCATTGGATGCGAGATCTTTGTAAAGCTCCCATGGGAACTTTTGCTCTGTGTCCCTTTCGAGCCAATATTCATCGGTGTATTTCGAGCAGATCTTGGCAATGGCGTCGCGGACATCGCGCTGGGACTGCGTCCACTCGGGCAGACCGTTGGGCAGATACTCGGTAGCGCGGGCATGGATTCGTCTGGGGCTCGATGCAGCGAAGGGGTTCCAAAGTTGGGCTAAAGGTGTAGAGCGGCGGGCGACTCTCGCGATGAAGCTTGTATGCAACGGCCGAGCCGTGCCGACCAATCGGCTTCCCATCACACCCAAGATTGTAATAAAACTGACTGGAAAAACAAAATTCTCATCCAAATAATCTCAGCAGAGTTTTATTAGATGAACTCTCCTTTCCCAGAATAAATCACATGTAAAGAGATAGTAGTTCATTCGTGGCAATCTCTAAGCCGCTTATAGATTCTGCTAGTAGCTTATAGATATGAGACCGTGTGTGAAGATTACTAGAACAGCACTGAATCCACAGCTTATTTCCGTGCATTACTCGGAGCTCTGACACTGCTGGCCATTCTTTTGGTGCTGGGGCCGAGGATATCAGTTGCGGGCCCGAGGTGATGTCGGGGCGCGAAAGCTGACATCCACTCAATTGGTAGAATAGGATAATGCGACAATCTGATGCAGCGTGCGAGCCTCCAAGGCATTATCCTGTGGTAATTATTGGAGATTCAGGTCTTAAACGCCTTCTTTGCGACATAATATCATCTTTAGCCCTAACCCCCCTATTAAACTCATGCAACCCAAGAGATGATACTTCGAACCATATCCAAGGCACCCAGCTGCGCAGATGGCCCAACATGGGCTACAAAAACACAACGATATGATGGAGTCTGTATTTAATGCAACTCTTCCCTTTACTGTGGGATGTGCCTCCGGCATGGTTGCCACAGTCTGCGTCCAGCCCCTTGATACTCTCAAGGTACGCATGCAACTTACGGACCAGAGTGCTGTTAGAGCGTCTCAGCTATCTATTGCAAGAAATATTGTAGCCAGGGATGGTTTCTGGGACCTCTACCAAGGCCTGTCCGCCGGTCTGCTCAGGCAGCTCGTCTATGGCAGCCTTCGACTAGGTCTTTTTGGCACCTTCGAGCAGGAGCTGGAGCGACGGGCCCATGAACAGGGCACTACCGTTGGATTTGGGGGCAGAGCCCTTGCAGGAATTACAGCTGGTGCGTTGGCTGCTTTTGGCGGTACGCCAACCGAGGTTGCGCTCATACAGATGCAGGCCGACAGCATGAGGCCACTTCACCAACGTATGAATTACACTTCTGTATTCGACACCATCCGTCGTCTAGTGAAGCAAGAGGGAGTCTCGAGTTTGTGGAAGGGCACCGGGCCAACAATAATTAGAGCCATGTCGACAAATTTCGGTCAGCTCGCATTCTTCTCCGAGTCTAAGCACCAGATTCAAAAGTATTCGACCATGTCTAGGGAAAGGCGCACAGCTCTAGCCGCAACGGTCGCTGGGTTTGCCGGCTCCTTCATTAGCCAGCCCTTCGACTTCGTCAAAACGCGGCTACAGAATCAAGCAATGCGTTCCTCAACGAGCTTCACTTCAGTGTATTCCGGGACTGTGGACTGCTTTGTTAAAGTGTTCCGCGCAGAAGGCGCCGCACGATTCTATCGCGACTTCTGGCCGTATTTCCTTAGAGTAGCTCCTCAATCGTGAGTCTACTTATTCCCTCAACGTCTCACGATGCTAATGTGGAACTCAGCGTAATCGCTCTTTTTCTCTCGGATTGGCTAACACAACAAGTTAAATTGTTGAGATGAGCTCTGGAGATGCGCAACGCGACTTGGATACTTAGGGGGATGATAGCATTATAATATAGAGCGGACATAAACAGAAGTCATTTAGAGGCAAGCGATGGCGTTTCTTAGATTACCTTAATAGCTTAACGAAGCATCCAACAGTCCGTACGAACTGCGCCAGTCTCCAACCACCCAGTAGAAAGCTCAACACTCACTGTGATAGTTCCACTCGAGCTTGTGGACTGTGCCAACAATGAGAATTCAAAACACATCCTTCAAGGGTGCGAAATCCTAAACGGTAGGTACATGGAAACTTCCTAACTCAGAAGATGTGTTTTTCCTTTCTTTTTGTGTAAAGCTCTACCTCGATAAGTTCCAATGCTATGTCACGGCTTGAAAGCAGTAAATGGGGCGACTTGTAGCGAAACGTCAGGCCGGCTCTGCAGCTCCTACCGAATTCCGGGAAGCCCTCCGCATCTCTTCTGACTTACGACCGACCTATTCACAGAGAGCCCACTCCAGTCCCACAGTTAAGAATATCAGCAATGATCTAGTCCTCATACTTGATCTTACCGTTATGCCGTTGGCAGGCCGAAGAGTTGTCCATTTCAGGTGGTCCTACTGTATCATCATCTCCCACGGGCCTCGGTAATCTACGTGCGCTCGAGAACCACTCGGCCCATGATTGGCCAATCGTGGACTAGGCGCAGCAGCCAAATATGTCGCTGGCCTTCCACACTCTCAGCCATGAGTCCGCTGCGAAGCGCTTCAAAACATGCGTCATTGTGCCATCCGTTCTGTCGCGACGTAGCTTCATGTGCAGCCATGTCGTCGGTGTCGGTCCCCATCCCCTTCTCCGAGCCACCATGGCTTATAGGCCAGCCATCCCCGTACTACACAGACTCTCACAGGAAGTGGCAGAAAACATGTCGCGACTTTATTTCCGAACACCTCACTCCCTATGCGCTGGATTGGGAGTCGGAGGGTGAGGTGCCTGCGCATGTGTTCGAAACCTTCACTAAGCACAATATGCTGATCCCCAATCTTCCCGCCCCTCTGCCAATCAAGTTCCTGAAGGAAGCGGGCATCTCAGAGCTCCCCGGAGGCCTCAAGATCGAGGAGTTTGACTATTTCCACTTTGCTATCTACATCAGCGAGATGCGACGGCTGGGCATCAGCGGGCCTACTTCCTCCCTCTCAACCGGTACTGCGTATGGCATGCCACCCATCATTGCCTACGGCAGCCAACAACTTCAAAAACGTGTCCTCCCAGAGCTTTTAAGTGGAAAAAAGAGGATATGCATCGCCATCACGGAGCCAGATGCCGGCAGTGACGTCGCCAATCTCTCAACTACGGCAGAGAAGAGCAGCTGCGGCAAGTACTATATTGTCAACGGAGAAAAGAAGTGGATTACGAATGGGGTTTGGTCGCATTATGCCACCATGGCCGTACGCACGGGAGGCCCGGGGGCTGCTGGTCTCTCACTGCTTTTGGTACCTCTGCTTGGGCAATCGGGTGTGACGATGCGCCGCATGAAGACGACAGGAGGAACAACGAGTGGAACTACATTCATTGACCTCGAAGATGTGAAGGTGCCAGTCGAGAACTTGATTGGCGAAGAGGGCCAAGGGATGAAAATGATCACACGGAATTTCAACCACGAACGACTGGCCATCGCCATCGGCGTCTGCCAGAGCGCCCGGGCCGCCCTGTCTGCGGCTTTTGGGTACGTCATGAAGCGTGAAGTCTTTGGACAGCCACTCATAGAACAAGCGGTTGTGAGAAACCGCCTGGCCAGGTGCGGCGGTGAATTAGAGTCTCTGTGGGCATGGATCGAGGCGCTCGTGTATCAAATGTTGTCGAGTTCGACTGGTGGACACGGCCGCCAGGATCTCGGAGGTTCCATGGCGCTCGTGAAGGCAAGGGCAGCAATAGTGCTCGATGAGTGTGCGAGAACGGCAGTTCTGCTATTTGGCGGGAACGGATATACCCGAACAGGCCAGGGTGAGCTTGTTGAGAAGATATACCGTGAGATTCCGGCTGCGCGGATCCCAGGAGGCACTGAAGATGTTATGCTGGACTTGGCGATTCGACAGTTGGTCAAGGGATTTCGCGCGAGGAGCAAGGCATTGGGGAAGGAGAAGCTATAAATTTAGACATTCACAAATGTGTATAGATACATTGAAGTTTTAGCACCCTGTCAACAGCTGCCCTTGCGCCGCTACGCTATTTTGATATTACTAAAATGCGCTCATGGTCCGCCTGCTGACCGCAACCAGATCGCTTTGTCCGATCAATCCACGGGGAAGATGGGGTGCTTTGTTGTGTGTAAGCCAGTTTGCCTTCTTAAACAGCTAAGAGCTATCATCCTTGACTTCAGCTTCTGCCAATGACGTGCCTTAAAGACGACCGGAAATTTTATCCGTGACTGGGGGTAATTGAAGGCCTTATACACGTTTTGTGCGTCAAACCGACTCTTCCGAGGAACGTTGTGCGGTGGTCGGAATCTTGGCTGGACGTTCATATTGCCGAGGAACCAGCAGAGGGCTTCAGACCCAGGCGCGACCAGTCTCGCATCAATTACATGCCTTTGCACATGAACATATATTCTCAGAAGTCGTGTCAACTCCGAGCCCAATTGAAGTGAAGTTTTGTTATTCCTCCTGTCTCGCGCCTATCTCATTTCCCAATCATTTGCGCACATTGCTGATAGAGTTTGTCTGGCAAATCCAATGGCGCAATTACGGTTCGACAATCAGGTCGCCATTGTCACTGGCGCTGGTGGCGGACTGGGCAAGGCACACTGCCTCTGTCTCGCTTCAAGAGGAGCCTCTGTCATTGTCAATGATGTTTCTTCCAAAGCAGCTGATGATGTGGTTTCCGAAATAACTGCTGCCGGCGGACAAGCGGTCGCCAACTATAACACTGTTCTTGATGGCGACGCAATCATTCAGAGTGCCATCCGCAGTTTTGGGAGACTGGACATTCTGATTAACAATGCCGGTATCCAGCGGCATGCCAGTTTCAAGGACATGACGGACAAGCAATGGGACGAGATCGACGCCGTGCATGTCAAGGGGACCTTCGAATGTACACACGCTGCCTGGAAGATCTTCCGCAAACAGAAATACGGTCGCATTATAATGACTTCGTCGGCTTCAGGGCTTTTTGGCGACTCTGGCCACTGCAACTACGCAGCTGCCAAACTTGGCGTCTACGGTCTAGCGGAAACCTTAGCCAAGGAAGGGGTCAAGAACAACATCATCGTCAATGCTATTGCACCGATTGCCGCAAGCGTCATGACAGCGACTATCATGTCCACCGACACACTGCAACATCTTGATCCCGCTTATGTCTCTCCCCTTGTCGCCTATCTTGTTCATCCCTCCAACAAGGAAACGGGCTCCGTATTTGAAGTCGGTGCGGGTCATGTCTCCAAGTTTCGATGGGAGCGATCTCCTGGAGCTGTACTAAAATGTATGTTCCTGTCTCTGAACCTTGCTTTAAATTCGTTGCCTATGTACACGTGCTCTAACGATACGAACAGGCGACGAAACATTTACTCCAGGCGCTATCTTGAAGCGGTGGGCAGACATTAATGACTTCTCCCACCCCGACCATCCCATTAATACCGCAAACATGATGGCACACCTTGAAGCCGCCAAAAGGCAGGGAAGCAATGATCCAGGTGAAGATATTCGATATGACGGCAAGGTCGCTGTTGTCACTGGAGCTGGCGCGGGGTCAGTATGAGTAATGATCAATATAGCAAACTTGTAGCTGATTTCTCTGGGTCAACAGGCTTGGGCGCGCCTACAGCATCGAGTTGGGGAGGCGAGGCGCTGCTGTTGTGGTCAACGATATTGCCGATCCAGACAAGGTGGTCAGAGAGATCCTTGCATTTGGTGGTAAGGCCGTTGGAACCAAGTCATCGGTTGAAAATGGTGCTGCGATCATCAAGACAGGTAAGTCCTATTTGCCTCTGCTAGTCTGAAGAAGCGCGAGGAAATGTACTGACTCTGCGGATTGATACTGCAGCAATCGATAACTTTGGCCGTGTCGATATTCTAATAAACAACGCTGGCATCCTGCGAGACAAGGCATTTGTCAACATGACTGAGAAGCAGTGGGACGACATTATCAGCTGCCATCTCCGGGGCACATATTCTTGCACCAAAGCCGCGTATCCGTACATGCTGAAACAAAAATATGGTCGCATTGTCAACACGACCAGTACGAGCGGCATCTATGGAAACTTTGGTCAAGCCAATTACGGAACAGCGGTAAGTTAAACATACTCTACAACACGGCATAGTGTATGTAGCCACTTTAATGCTAATAATCATTTGGTCCTAGAAAATGGCCATTCTGGGGTTCTCCCGAGCCCTTGGGCGGGAGGCAGCCGAACACAACATATACGTCAACACAATCGCCCCCTCGGCAGGAACAGAGTTGACTCGGTCGGTTCTCAGCGAAGAGCTCGTCAAAGCACGCAGACCAGAATTTGTGGCTCCTCTGGTGCTCGCGCTGTGTTCCGACAAAGTACAACCCAACCCGACTGGGGGCTTATATGAGGTAGGTTGCGGCTGGCAAGGCCGAACCCGGTGGCAGCGTTCGGGTGGAGTTACCTTTGATGTCGACAAGTTCACTCCGGAGGCAATTAGTGCTCAATGGCCTAGAATTATTGACTTTGAAGATGGCCGCGCCGACAACCCCGAAACCCCCGAAGAAGGACTCAAGAACATAATGGGCGTCGTCAAAGGTTTAATGTCTTCAGGCTCGGGCGCTTCGGCTGGTTCATTTCTCGCTGCCATCAACGCAGCCAAGAAGGCTCAGCCATCAGTCTCAGAGACCAGCTATACTGAAAAAGAAATCATCCTGTACAACATCTCACTCGGCGCAACAAGCGACCAACTTGACTTGGTCTACGAAGGTCACCCAGGCTTCCAGGTACTACCCACATACGGTGTCATCATTCCTCCCACAGCTACGAAATCCTTTAATCTGTCTGAACTTGTACCCAACTTCTCATACAAGATGGTCCTTCACGGGGAGCAGTATCTCGAGATCCGCAAATGGCCGATCCCCACGTCTGCTCGGGTGCGTTCTTTGTCTAAGGTTGTTGACGTCCTAGACAAGGGCAACGCTGCTCTGATAGTCACCGGCACAACGACCGTGGATGCTGAGACCGGAGAGGACCTGTTCTACAATGAGACGACCCTCTTCGTCCGCGGATCCGGTGGATTCGGCGGTGCTCGGAATGACACAATCAACGGTGGCAAAGCCTCGGCTACCCCAACATTTCCCAAAAGGAAGCACGATTTGGCAGTCTCCGTTCCCACCACCAAAGATCAAGCGTCACTATACCGGCTAAATGGCGACAGGAACCCGCTACACATTGATCCCGCGGTTGCCAGGGCGGCAGGGTTTAAGGATGGGCCCATCCTTCACGGACTGTGTTCATTCGGCCTAACTGGAAAGGCTATCATGGCACGGTATGGGCCGTTCAAGAATATCAAGATGAGATTTTCTGGTAGTGTTCTACCAGGACAAAACTTACAGGTCGAGATATGGAGGGAGGGCCAGGTGGTCCTCTTTCAGACTAGAGTCCAGGAGACGGGCAAGCTCTGCATAAGCGGTGGAAGGGCCGAGTTGTTGACGACTGGCCCTAAATTGTGATGAGAATTAGTTTGAGAGGACTTGCTGATCTTGCCAAAAGAAGCCCTGTAAATACGTTGTGGAACTTATCGGGGGGGATCACAGTTACTTGGGAAAATGATGTAGATAATGTGTTGCACATGCGAATGGATATTTTCAAATTACAGATCCAAAAGACAACACTAAATGTGCTCCAAGGGTCCTAATCAGGTCAACAGGGGCTTTGTGTGTTTGTTTAGAAATTCGGACCTATTTTTGAAATATCTATAGGTCTATATCTCACCTACCTTGCGAGAAACTGTGTGCTCCCTTCAATAGCTTCGAGTGGTCTAAAATGCAGTAGGTAATCCACGGTGACTGCCAAGAAGTCATACAGGCAGAGCTTCACTCTATGCCCCTGTAACCCACTGCTTACTTGGCATTGTCGAGTGGCGGCAGGCTAGCCCCATTAGACGTCCACCTTAGTGCCGTCTTTGTTGGCCTCGGCAACTCACAAATGATGTCCGGTAATGGACATTTGGGCTTCGACCCGTAATAAACTACCAACTGTCTCAGTAAGCGAGTGCCCGATCTCCCGGGCACAGCTTCATGCACGCAAAGGCGATCGTAGCTTGGGGTGAGGTGACATTCAAAACGCTCAAGATTAACTCCGAGGTCGCGGGCGGAGTTCCTTAGCATGTTATCAACACCGCACCGCACAGACCCTCGGCAATCCCGCTTTACCTGTAGATCATAGACCACCACGATCCTAATGTCCGTTTGATGATAGTTCTCAGCGGTATCCAATCTTTTAACATATTCGCTTTTGGTGATAACCCCAAATAATACAGCCCTGCTATTATACGATAAGATGTCCTACACTGGAGAGACGGCGTACATCACGGGTAAAGACTCTACATTTGAAGTCAACCCCTGGAGGCCAAAACTAATGACTTTTCACCAGGTGGTGCCAGTGGCATTGGCCGCTTCGTAGTCACCGCGCTCGCCCGGAAAGGGTATGAAGCATGAAACAGGTTTACAAAATTGAACGAGTATTAAGCTAAAATGCCCGATACGCAGAATGAAAATCGTTATTGCGGATCGCAATCTCGAAGCGGCCGAGGAGACCGCCAAAGAACTAAAAAAGAATGGTCAAGACGTTCGAGCAGTCAAGATTGACGTGGAAGACTGGGATTCCCAACGTCAAGGGTTTGAAACCGCTGTGAAGGAGCTCGGCAGAATTGACTACGTTTTTGCCGTTGCTGGCATCTTTGAACAAACTTGGCTTCCCAACAGAGTCAATGCGACGACTTTCGAGAAGCCTAACCTAGCTACTTTTGATGTCAATGGGACTGGTGCGCTCTACACTTCAGCCTTGGCGATACAACAATTTCGCCGCCAGCAGCCAAGCAAGTATGGCTTCCGTGGAAAAGGTATGTTCAATCAACAGTCAGCATCCAGATTCTGGCTTACAGATTTGCGTGTAGTCATTATAGTATCTTCTGGAGCCGGCTTCTACACTATTCCGGCCATGCCTATATACTGTGCTTCGAAAAAGTAAGTTTTCGCTGTCATTCCCGAAGGCCAACCCAGATCCTAAAATTATCTAGTGTGGTTGTTGGCTTTGTGCGCACGACGGGGAAACTGTTAATCGACGAGAACATCACTTTGAATGCCATCTGTCCCGGTATAGTGAGAACTGCTATATCTACCGGGAACTTCCATGATAGAGCCGAAGAGAAAGGTTTACTCGTCAGCTCCGAGGTTATAATTGAGTCATTCGAGTCTTTGCTAGGCACAAATGCAACCTCTGGTGAGACTATTGAAGTCTTGCCGGATGGGTATCTGGTCAAGAAAGGTGCTGAGTATACCAACGACAGGTGCAAGGAGAGCGTGGAAATGACCTACCAACGGACGTTGAAAGCAAAGGCATCCTAGCTTTCTTAGCTTATCAAAGACATACTTTAGATTACATGCTATATATGAAGTTCGTTAGGATATGAAACCTGTCCCAATCGGCTATTTCACCTATATACCTTTCAACAAGACTCAATTCGCCCTCTATTATATCACAACTCTCGAATTAAAACGTTGAGCAGATAATCACGTAGAATAGCTCAAGCCGACATTATTACCACATCCTAAGACCGCAGAAACGGAATATCTCCTTGGAAAATACAATACATTGAGGCTTTGTTTTCGTTTCAAATGCAGGAAACCCAGGATAGTAGTGAGCGACATTGAGGCAACTACAAGAATTGGTAAGATGAATGGTCCAGAAACAACTCGCAAAATGAGCTGGAGCGGGTCTTTACAAGAGTACACACAAATACAAGGTAATGCATATGGTTCTATCCATGAGCCAACTGGATTTTCAGATATCTAAATTGTGCCTATGCCTATAAACTTATAAAATTGAAGCCTGAGCTGTGTCGTCTAGAGCATGAGATCGGATGTTCCTGCCCCTAGATAGCTTTGCACTAGAAGTCAAACGCATCAAGAGCGTCATGATCGTCTATGAGAGCGCAAAGGCGGCTGATAAAATCTCTTGAAGCCGCCTCGGGTTGCATGTCGGGCATTACCTTAGATGGGGTGAGAGTGAGAGTCCAGTAAGCAAGGGCACCGAGTGACTGGCGTCGTAGCTCGAGCCAGGCCTCTTCTACCGTTGTTTTTGGACCGCCGGCTTTTTCAAACTCGGAAACGTAAAGCTCGACGATCTCGCGCTCCCAAAGGCGACGTTTCTCTATAGGGACAGCAGTACCCATGACATAGGCAAGATCACGCGACCAATGACCTCTGGCCATAGCCTGCCAGTCTGTCAAACCCATTTGGCCCTCGGGCGTAATGTACCAGTTGCCTATTATTTATCACAGGATGTTAGTATCTCACCTCATCATATCTGGTACTCAATAGCAGGTGGGTCAAAATTTCATGGACTGGTGACTCATACCAAGGTGGACGTCTCCGTGGACAGTAGTCTGCGGCAAGGAGGCATTGCGCTGCACGGATTTGAGAGTGGCAGGCCAAATCTCTGCCTCTCTTGCAAATAAGCGAGGGGTAATGCCGCTCTTTGCTTCCCTGAATCCATTGCGACAGGCCTCCTCAATTCCCACATCAACCAAGTTTTGGAAACGATCCTTGTACTGAATTAAGCGCTGGAAGAAAGGCTTCTTGCTCTCATAAAACTGCCCATGCAACTTAGCTAGGATTGTGATCTGCTCGGCAAATTGATCTTTCGTTAGACTAGTCTTGTGCGTGCAAAAGTGTGTGCCACTGCCCATGTCTTTCAGCATGATCATAGCGGCCCACGACTTGGGATTATAGTCAGCGAAGTAAGCTACTGGTGCTTCGATATCGATGGTAGGACGAATCTCGTTATAGAAGCAGACTTCGCTGTAGGTACCGCCAACAGACAAGATGATACGGTTGTTCGCCGAGTGGGCCGCTTTGCAGAAGACCGACCGCGGAAACTTGTCTGCATCAACGCCTTCCCATTCAATTTCAATGCGCCGGCGGTTGGAGGAGCCATCATCCTTGGGACCGAGCGTAAATTTCTTGACAGCAGCACTCGTAGATTTCGGTGCAAGCGTAGCAGTCAGCCACTCAGTTGTAATAGCGTCGTAAGAGATTGGGATGTCTCCATATTTGCGTGGAACAGGGTGGTTCTTGGCTTCCTCTTCACAACACTGCCGGATATAGTCGACAATGTCCTTTCGGAAGCCACCAACAGGGGGCATTTTGCTTCTTACAGTTTATAATGTATAATGAGAAGCTAGAGAGAATACTATTCCCAGTCTTGGTCCTTGGTGGCTAGCTCGTAGTTGCCAATGTTGTGAGAGCAGTCAACGAGTCACATCACTGGGACGAACTCCAGACTCTTAAGGACCGACCGGCTTTGTATTAGCGCCCCGTCTCCAGTGTTTGGTGAATTTCGATGTTAGTTCGGCACGACTCTTTGTTATGAATAGCCGTGGGGCGATTAGGTAACAACCAATACCTTCGGTCCAAATGAACACCTCGGTGACTTCTTTTCAAGGCGCGCGCCCCAGTTCAAGGCAATGGTTCCGGCATTATGGGTCGTCAGCTTCCCCAATGCGGGGTGTGGAGGGGTTAATCGGCGATGTTTTGCCTGTCAAACTCGGACGGCGATGCCGCGAATGCAATTGGTCCGATGCCAACTGTCAAGTTGACAAACCTAATTATATAAACCGACCTTCTGTCGATCTTTGTCGCGCGGGACTTGAAAAATGTCACACGCTCGTCCGATTATACGACTCTGTTAAACAGGCTCCAAGACAGCATTCCTTCTTAATTTACCATGTCTTCTGCCGAAGTCTCCTCCTCAGAGGTAAAACCTCTTGAGCCTTTTACTCCCTCACGTAAGGAAGATTCGTTGCCCCCAGCAGTAGAGCACAAAGACTATGACGAGGTTGAGATCGAGAATGCTGATGGCACCGTCCTCAACCAGGATGATATCGCAAAAACAATCAGGAAGATGGATATTGTGGTTTTGCCAATCATGACTATCGTGCTTGCATTCTGCTTCATTGATCGTTCCAACATGGGCCTCGCCATGGTGGTCGGTATGGGTAAAGAATTGCACTTCAAGACTTACGAGTACTCAATCGCCTTGCTCGTCTTCTTCCCCGGCTATGCCTTGTTTGTCTTGCCCAGCAACTATATTCTATCGAAGACTTCGGTCCGGTACTGGCTCACGTTTCTTTCAATTGCCTTTGGTCTGTTCACTGTGGCGTCTGGTCTTGTCCGTAGCTTCAGTGGTCTCGCCGCCATACGAGCGTTTCTTGGTGTGTGTGAAGCTGGGTATGTTTTCCCTTCACTCGATCCATGTGCTGTCGTGGTACAACACTAACTCGGAGTGTGAATAGAGTCTACCCTACCGTGATAATGGTTATAAGCTCGTGGTATCCGCGCTATTACTTCGGAAAGCGCATGGCCATGGTCGGTTCAGGCGCCTCCTTAATCTCTGCCCTTGCCGGAGTTCTGGCATGGGCGTTTTCCCGTATAAATACACCCAATTACGCTGGGTGGCGCTGGATATTCATCTTGGAAGGTGCAGTCACTGTCCTGTTGGCGTTTGGGGCATTCTTCGTTCTTGATGAATATCCCAATAAATCTAAGTTCCTCTCGGAGAAGCAGCGTGAGATCGCCGTCAGATTGATTGCCCAGGATCGACAAGAACATGAAGAAGAGGAGTTGACGGTCCCATTAGTTCTTCGAATCCTTCGAGACTGGAAGATCTGGGTCTTTGGAGCTCTGTATATGCTAGCTGTCGCCACTACGTACGGCCTGGCGTACTTTATCCCATTGATCTTGAATGAAAAGATGGGCTTCAGTGGAGCAGTCAGTCAGCTCTTATCCACACCGCCATACTTCTTCGGCTTCATCCTTGCAGCTGTCCTCTCTTCCATTTCCGATCGCTACCGCATGAGATCACCTTTTGTCATCTTGCTGCAGTTGAGTGTGGTTCTGGGCATTGCTTTAACACGTTGGGGTCCCAATACTGGTTCTCAGTACCTAGGCTTATTCTTCTGTCTTGGTGGAGCTGTCGTCAACGGTCCTATGATCGTAGTCTATGCTCAAAACAACGCACCAACGCGAGCAAAGAGGGGTGTCAGTTCAGGCGTTCAGCTTTCCTTCGGTGCTATAGGTGGTATCATCGGATCCACCGTATTTCGGTCACAAGATGCTCCGGCCTATACCCCGGGGATCATCGTGGTACTCTGCAGTTCCGGTGTTATCATCCTCACCTGCTCTCTGTTGAACTGGTATTTCCAACGAGCGAATCGGCTCCAGAAACAGATAGGCCTCGCTCTGGAAGGACAAGCTGAATTTCTGTATACACCTTGAGCGCGTGAATGATGAGCGTCAGATAGAACTCATCTGCTAGATAATTTGGGTTAGCTGATGTAATAGCTTTTGTCCACATCAAGAAATACATCACTTTTGCAAAACAGTACTTCCGAATTGCACGAGATCGAGATATAAAAAGCTAGCAGTAGGAGATTTTCACGATATCTCGAATATTTAATCAATCAAAGCATTGTTTTGGAGCCTTACACGAGGACTAAGACGGTTGGCCTACGGACGGCATGAAAACAACAAAGCAGTTATCAAATCCCCAAACAAATTCAAATCTCATGAAATACAATTACTTAAGCCAAGGTTCTTTCTGAAAATGCTCAGTCTAAGCCTGTTACTTAGAGAGAAAGCCCCCGATAGGTTTCAAGAAATGAGCCTTGCGCTCGACAACAATATGATTCGTAGCGACCCGAAACTCTTCCGTTTCTTTACTTTTGAGATGGACGTTGAAATAATGTTCCTGGCTTTTGTAGATGCCCATAAACCTAACTGCATCAAGGTCCTTGGAGTCGGGGAAAAGAACAAAGCCAAGCGTCCCAGAATCTTGTCTGCTTGTCTCGACCATACTCTCTAAAGCGCGCAGAGCTTCAGCACCTGTACCCGGTTTGTGAAAGAGCTGCACGATTACCACGAATGGGTCCGAAATCTGGGAAATCTCTGGTCGTGTGAATCCAAAATCGCGATCAACCCCAAGAATCAGTGCCAATGGAGTGCCCTTTACCGTGTCGTCGCTTATCATGGCTCTGACTTTCTGGACGGAAGGCTGTCTGCAATGAAGCTCGAAACCCGCATCGTTTAGATATCTTGAGATCTGGTAAGCTATGGACTGATTCATTCTATCGCTCTGGAGCCGATGAACAATCTAAACATACTCTTCAATGATATAAATGCTTCCAGGATCTGCAGGATCTGCATCGTGAGGTACTGCGATCAAATATCTCAGGGTGTCGGGCTCATCTCTCTGTGCAATAGTCGCAGCCGACAAGAGATGCCCGAGAAACTACTAGGGATTAGAATAATGGTAATATTCGGGCTGCCGGATTACAGACACTTTCCCTTAACTCCTCTGTCCTCGGCGTGAGACTAGCGATAATTGATGTCATCGTGGAAAACCCCGGGCTTGTTGTGCCAAGGTGTTTGCTCGTATATATGACAATCGTCGTCAATGGCTTACTTTTCGAAGAGGCACTTATCGCTGTGAAATACGTTTCTACAACTCGGGGGCATTTCTACAGCCCAGAGTCGTACAGCTTCAATGTACAATGCTTGACCTATTTAGATCTGCTCGTACAGAGGTAATTTGCCGAGGGTACAGCTATCACAACTGAAACCGGAGTTTGTTTGATGGACATCTCCCTAGGATAGCGCTAACAGTCCACTAGCCTTATCCATGATTATACACTCGTTTTGACACACTTCTTGCAAAGCGACCCGATCTACTGGCTTCACTATCATCGCCGACTTGTAGACCAGGATAGGTAGTGCGGTCCTCTAATTCAACATGCTCTACGTATGAGAGATGTGCTATTGCTATATCGGGAGTCCACACCTCGGCTATTAATTTAGTGGGTAAACCGGCCTCAAGTCAGACACGACAAGCCCCAAACCAAAAACGGTCCTCACTCTTAGCTCAAGCACATAGGCCAAGCTTAAATTACTGGTTCGCCATATGAGTACACGCAGTTTCAATCAGGCACCATACCTTCCCTATCGTCTGCGATGACAGACAGACAGACGAAAGCAATGTCGGATGGATTGCTACCATTGAGGAATATACGGGTTCTCGAGCTGGCTGGCTTAGCTCCTGGTAAGAATAATTTAACCGAGCATAGAGCGGGAGTCTGTTCTAACGCTCTCAACAGGACCTTTTTGTGGACAGCTCTTGGCTTCTTATGGTGCATCCGTTCTTCGTGTTGATCGGCCGAACGGACAGAGCTCAGATGTGCTGACGTCATATAAATCATCCATTGTGCTTGATCTAAAGAAGTCAGAGTGCATTGCCTTTCTCAAGTCTATGTTGTCTAAGGTCGATGTCTTGATCGACCCGTTTCGACCTGGAGTCCTGGAAAACCTGGGCCTCTGTCCCAAAACGCTTGTGAAAGAGTACCCACGCTTGATAGTACTTCGGCTCACCGGATTCCGACGAGATGGAAAATACAAGGACCTCGCTGGCCATGACATCAACTACCTGGCCGTTTCAGGGCTTCTCAACCAGCTGGGTGCCTCCGGTAGCCCTCCATCTCCGCCCGCAAACATTTTGGGAGACTACGCGGGCGGTGGTCTGGTCGGGTTCGTCGGGGTGCTTCTTGCAATCATGCACCGTTCCATGACGGGTAATGGGCAGGTCGTGGAGGCCAATATGGTCGACGGCGTCAGCTACTTGGGGACCATCCCCCGGCTCAGGACTAAGGAGCCCGTCTGGAATGGCGAAAGGGGTACAAACCTGTTGGATGGCGGATGCCCTTATTACCGTTGCTACGAGTGTAAAGACACGGGACAGTACATGTCAGTTGGAGCTTTGGAGCCAAAGTTCTTTACGAATCTACTCCTTGGATTAGAGCTTGACACCAAAAAACTTGGATTTAGCAGTTCGACAAGAGAAGACAAAAATACTTGGCCTCGAATGCACCAATTATTCGACGAAAGATTCCGACAAAAGACGCGAAGCGAATGGGAGGCAATCTTTGATGGCCTAGATGCTTGCGTTACACCGGTACTTGAATATGCTGAGTTAGAAAGGGCCCACTATGAACAGAGGCCGCTTGTTCACCTACAAGAATCGCCTGCAAAACCTGTCAAAGCCCCCTGGAAAGGCAAGATTTTAAAGTTGGGGGATGGAGGCATAGAGGCTTTAAGT